TAAAGCAAACAAAATTTTCTACAAAATGCACTAGTGCACTTCGATTTTGTGTTAAGCTCAGTGAAACACAATATTTTTTTTCATTTTCACACAAACAAAACGCCCACTTTCATCTCTTGTAACGCAAAAGATATCTGGCATATTAAATCTTCTCACAAAGCTTTGTATGAAAAACAATAATATATTTACAAATTATTAGTTAGTTACATTATACTCAAAATAAAGCTAACGAAATGATTGAAATATGTGCCCAGGATCATCATTCCTTTGAGTGACCTGACGTCATAGCCGCAGTTAATTTGTACGTTTCCGTTTTGTTTTGCGTCGTCAACTAGAAGTCCCAGGTAAAGGGTCTTGGGCAATCGAAAGTCCAAACAAAGAGTCAGGAGCTGTGGAATGTCCAGGCTGAATACTAAATTATGACTGTTCTTCCACTTAAAAAATATTACATTGAAAAGTGATAGACGCGCCTTAGGTCCTCTTCTACGTTGAATTAAGTTTTTTGTTGATTACTTGTTTATTCCTCGATTTGAAAGAGGTGGTACTGGGCGCTTCTGTAAAAATTCAAAAAATCGTGGTTTTTTAACGAACTCTAGCGCGGGTACCGCTTATCGCAAAATAAAAGCTAAATAATGTATTTTGTAGGAAATTTTATCTACTTTAATTTTGTATAGGGCGCCCATCTTCAAAAAAACGTATGTTTTTGAGATATGAGCAAAAAACTGAAAAAATTACTGAAAAATTCCAATTTTTTGCGTATTTCGGTATGAAACCGACTTCCTACAAGGCAGCAAACAATAAATTCGGATGCAGCACATTCGATAACATATAAAACCGTTGATAAAAAAACTTCCGCAATTTTGTTCCGAAAACGGCAGTTTTAAACACGAATTTACTGGACTAACATTCATTGGAAGTTTATAGACCAAAGACTAATTATTCTTTATCGATTCAACAATTTTCAGTCCAAATTTTAGTTTACCGCCCCCTCCTGGGCAATATTTTCAAATAACTACCGAATGTTACTTTTACAATCATCATCAATAAATTGGTCCAAGAAAGCGGCAAGCAGAACTTGAGTCGAACTGATTAAAAAGATGCAGATCTCGTGGTCTGGGATACATATTTTATATAAATTTGAATCGGATGATGTGTCAAGCTTCGTGGTTTACTCGTATTCCAGCGGATTTACCGACACTAAATGTATGCAACTTGCAAACAATAAGTGGTGCCGATTACATTTGAGACGGGTGTATCTACAGGTCCAGAATTGAATGGGTAAAGAATTGAACCATAAAGACTTTGACTGGTTTACGAACCAAAACAATGTCTTGGAGCCCGTAAGAATGGAAAAACCCTGTGGACCGGATCTCATTTTGAAAATGCTCTTTTGCGGTTGCAAAGAAACGTGTTCTAATTCTTGTAGCTGTAGGAAGTCGGGCCTCAAATGCACTGCATGTTACAGGAATTGTACTGGCAATTTTTGCGGCAACAGCTTAGACCCAGAAAGTGGCGATGCTGAACCTTTATCCTAAATTGTCCATTGCAAATAAATATACGTTAATCATGTATAGTTTTTTAATTAGTTTAGATCAACTATACCAGAAAAGGGGGATGAAGCGAGGACAGATGGGCGGGGAGGGGGTGAGGGCAGGAGGGTGGAGTAAGGGTAGGGGGTATCACACATATCTCTGCTCATGTCTGGGGGGGAGGGGGGAGTGTTGCACTGTCGTATAGTATACACAGCTGTATAGTGCGATTATTGATACAATAAAAAAATCATAACTCCCTTAGTTTTCAATCGATTTTGAGAAATGAAGAAGCATTGGATTTGTATTTTAAAGCTTCACAAATTCCCTTTCCTAACTTTTTCCGAAAAAAATAATAATAACAAAGTTATTAGCAAAAAACGTGAAAATCCAAGATGGCGGCTCAATTTTCAGGATGTTCCGCACCTCGGAGATATGGGGACTTTTAGTATGTTAATGAGCATTATTGGTACTAATAATTTCTGGCATCGCTTGCTTGTCCCGAATTTGTTCTAGGTTGAACTCTAATTTTCCTCGACTATATACACATTTAAATCGATCACTTGATTTATATTATCTGACAGTAGTTTTACACATTAATGTACAGTGCGTAAGTTAAAACTCTGAACATATAAATCTCCTATGTTCAATTTCTTAAAATTAATTCACGCTTAATACTGAAAGAATTAATTATTTCCTTTTACTTGCCTCTTTGTACTTTATTATTTCATGAACGTAAATTGGTGTATTTCGGGAACATTTGTTCTTGTTTAGGATAGGTGTAAAAAGTCTACTGTAGCTGTTAGTGAGGCCAGAATTGAGCCTTAAGATTTGGTTTTGTAAACAGGCCACTTCAGCCCTCAAATACTAGTTCGCGTTTCAGTGGTCAATCGATTCTGAGTATTGCCACGTATCGGTGCGTTCCTGATAGTTCGAAATGTACAGAGAGAGTCAACAAAACATGGAGTGGGTTGAAATGCTCTTACCACATCCGGTTTCACACTTATCGTGTTACGTAGGGTAGCGTACAAAGCCAATAATAAAATCTGGCCTAAACTATGGAGAGTCGGCAATGGTATAGCGGGCGGGTGCAAGTGGTGTAGAACATGTTTAGTAGGCATCCATCTAAATAAGTGCCAAAAATCTCGGAATAATTATCTAAGATCGATTAACCAAACAGAACCAAATATTCGGACCAAGAAACCTAATACGATTTCAGGCAATTTGGAAACGGAGACCATTCGATTCTGTGGTAGCAGAAAATTTCCAAAATGTTAGTCAGGAATAAACGAAATTATCTCATACTGGCCCTTGCTCCTTGTGCTACTTCAAATACAAGAACTGAACGACGGTCACAAAAATTTTAGTTAAAAATCCTACAGGACAAAACGTATTTTTTAATTTATTTATTTTATTGCGTTTCAGAAAGCTCGACGATCAAGGAAAATCTTCCTACAAAATCGGTAATTTTTTTCATGTATTTTCTTCTATGTTGAAGTAGCATTCTTGTTCAAAAGATTGAATACTGCACAACCATATGTACCATTTATTTGAAACTATATATAAATATAGCACTCTTGCATTATTTACGTTAACTGAAATTTACAGTTAAGCTAGCTACACACTTGCAGGTGCACCTGTCAATTCTACTTGTCGCAAGTGACCTGTCAGGTCTACCTATCAAAACACCTCTTAATCCGCACACCACACGGGAACAGAAATCCACTCCCCTGAATTTATAAGCCGATACCCCGTTTCTTTGGTGGGGTATGTCACTGTCGGCTACTCAAATTATCATCGCAGTTCGCGGTGGTGTTGCCTCGACCAATTGTTACTCTCACTTTGGGTAAATGTAACAAAATTACCTTGTGGTAAGCATACGGTAAGCTCAGGCAAAGTGGGGGTGAGTCGGGGTGAATATTGGGGTTCTTACACACAAGCAAAGATAAATCAAAAGCTAAAAGTAGTAATAGCAATCCGGATAGGCGCCAGTTAGTCTTCAGTAAATCTCAAAAAATAGGGGAGAATACTTACCAAAAAGTGCAAACAGGCAGGCTAAGAAATACTTGTTCTGGTCTTGCTAAGCCTCGTGCTAAGCTAAGGAATAAAATAATTGATAGGGATAGAACATAAACAATAATTGGCGTCACAATCGATGGTGACGTAATCAAATGATCTCAAAAATATTACAAATAAGTCACTACAACATATAGATCTGCTATGTCAATATTTCAATTTAAATTAATTTTTAGTAAAAAAAAGGGGACGTAGTCAGAGAAAATATTAATATCAAAACAGGCTTCCGCTGAAAACAAACTGTAATCGTTAAATGAATCTCAAGCAAATGTAATAATTACAATTCGATTGTATCGAAAACCAATATGTCGCAACTTTTGAGCTTAGAAGGGCGCGTTCAGCAAATCTGTAACAGATAATAACTCAAACAAATACATATGAGGGGTAATGAATCGCGCTGCACATAATGCATTGCGAAATAGCAATGCTAACGTCTGATACGGAGGATAATCGGATACTAAAACTGTAATTAATACATAAGAGAATCAATAATTCGGCTGACTTTACACTAGCAAAAGCAAAATTTGGTCGACTACGACTGTCCTTACACTCCGGGTGGAACAGCATAAATGTGATGTTAAATCCAAGAAAAATACTTTAATTTTACCGAGTAAACTTGGATAAATCCGATGGTTACGAACTTCCCTTCGCTACGTATATTCTCGAAAACGGGCTGCGATAGTTCACAGAATGTTAAATTTCTTCACGTTTGTAGGAAGGGACTGTTTGGGAATTAAAGAAATACATAAGACGTATAAAACTAATCCTCATACTTCCCTCAATCAAATCATTTACTTTTTCTCAATTAATTTTGCTTCGCCATGTATATTGTGACACTATGTATAATTTTAAGGTTTTTCCATTTAGTCTACTTATATTCAATATTACCAACTTTTATGCCTGAATGTTGAGGACGTCAGTCATATTTAAAGATGGTTGTAATCTAATTATTTATTAAACCATCGCTTTTGTCAGTCAATTCGAACTTGTACCCTTTTCAGTCGATCCTTTCGTTGTAAGTTTCGTCGCCCTAGGTTAATTTAAGTTTGTTAAAGCCTTACATTTTAGGGCTTGATGATGGCATTTGCCGAAACATGCCGCATTTAATAGTTGCTATCTTTGATTAATAAATTCAAATTTTATGGGGAAGGGATAATAGGGGCCATTTTTTTTAATCTCCTCACAGCAGAATCACGTTATTAGTAAAAATGATATACATGGGTTAGGGAAACACCTAGAACAAACATTTGCCGTGCAATCACCGTCTCATAACCCTCCATGAATCATCAGTCGATGGCGTCGAGTTGCCAGGCGGCAGGGCTGGGTCGAGCGTTCTAAAACTCGCTCGAGCGACAAGCGCTCTAATTGTCTCATAGATGCTCGCGAGCAGTACCCAGCTCTGCCCGACAGTGAAATAACGGAGGCGATTAGACCTATGCTCCATTATAAACTTACACAACTACTGTTCCCCAACCAATGGTCTAAACCATAGTCCTGGTTTTTATCTGCAACTAAGATTCTTTTGAAATACTTTTTCAAACAAGTAGGATTATTCCATAGAACAACAGGATTATTTTTACCCCCAATCACGTGAATATTTGATGCATTTCCATGAGAAATGTGTATCTGAAGAAATTCAAGATCGATTTTCTGCAAAAAATCTGTTTATATGGCCCCCTTTTGTATAACTAGTTAACACCCGAAGACACGAAGAGAGACCGACGGGGCGGAAGAAGAAAGCGAGAAACAGCAACAGCAGGACAAACTGAAGATAAAAGATCATTCCAAGATTTTCATACCTGTGGAGAAGCTTTCTAACACCCTCTTCATAATGCTGCTGCTGCCAGTGAGTCTTGCCTTGAAGATCCTCACTAGATGGAAAATGCTGACCTCCTAACCATTTCTGCAATTCAGGAAAAAGATGGAAATCCTTCGACGTCAGGATCGAGACGATGGGCAAAAATGTCCGATTGAACTTGTTTAAAGTTGTTGTTTAGCGCATAGTACAGTTTTAATAAGCCTTTTCCGATCGAATAATTTATTTATGTTATCGTTCTCGTCTTCTTTATCATTTAATAATTAAACGCATATCTATTTTTAATTGTTGTACACCAATCTGCACCATTAATTGCGGTAATGAGACAATTACCTTGCATAAAAGCAAACGCATAGTACCAAGTATACTCAAAATAAAAAAATTGTATGCATGGTGCAAGGTTACAAAAGCACATTCTTCAAAACCAACTTGGAAGGACCCAAAATGTAAACTGCAATATGTGTCTGCTATACACATTGAAAATGGATCAAGTATTTTTTATCTTTAGAGTTCGCGTCGTTTTTTTATCTTATCCTACTGCTCGAACTGTAACTTATATTGTTAGATACTGAGCATTGACATTCAGTGACAATGCGCATTTTAACCGTGGTGCTTCCGTTACTGTTTGCGCAGACGGTGTATTTAAAGGAACTCCTTCTAAAGGTGCGAGTCAAACAGGGTGAGCTTCGAGGAACGGAAAAAAGAACCTGGGGATCCCGTAGCTATGTGGCATTTTATGGCATCCCTTATGCGGAACCACCTGTGGGAAGCAGACGATTTCAGGTCACAGCGTAATGTTAGGCGAAATTGTACGTTCCTTTGTCAATAGGCCCCGGTGCCAGCGAAAGGTTGGAATGGTGTTCTAAATGCGACCACTCCTGGTCACATCTGCCCGCAGAGAGATATGTTCATCAACGATGTCACAATACGCGGAAACGAAAATTGCCTTTTTCTCAATGTGTACACTCCAAAGGTAATCATAAGACAACCTCATCGGTTGCTCTCAATACTTTTTAGATCAACAGCCAGCAGTTGTTACCAGTGATTGTATACATCCATGGTGGCGGTTTCATGGCCGACAGTGGAGATCCCAGATTGTATGGTCCTGATATACTGCTTGACAAGGACCTTGTCTACGTGACAATGAATTACAGGATTGGTAGGTATACCACACCCTCAGCCGCCAACATTAACTGCATTCTCCGTATAAGGCGCTTTGGGTTTTCTCAGTCTAGAAGACGACGTGCTACCAGGAAATAACGGATTAAAAGACCAAAATCTAGCGCTGCGGTGGGTCAAAGAAAACATCGCCGCATTTGAAGGAAATCCCAGTAAAATTACTATTTTTGGTAATTCAGCGGGTGGCGCTAGTGTGTACCACCACATTTTATCGCCGCTAAGCAAAGGTAAAATTCTTTAAGATATGTTGTGGGGGCTTTATATTGAATTAAAGGATTGTTCCATGGTGCCATATCTAGCAGCGGAATTGCGACCGCAACATGGGCAGTAGCGCAGAAGGGAGAAGCAAAACGAAACGCTCAACGATTGGCAAAGTTTTTGAACTGTCCGACATCTTCGAGCCATTCCATTCTGAAATGTTTGCTTAAAATTGATGCACTCGATATAGTTGAGCAAAATGATAAATTTATGGTGAGCTTCTCCAGCATTTTCCGTTTACAGTCCGTTGATTTTTAGGAATTCAACTATGACCCTGCCATACCCCATAAACCTGTAATTGAACGTGATCATGCCGGTGCATTTCTCAGCGCTCATCCAGTTGATATACTTAAATCTGGAATCTTTGCCCATGTACCTTATATGAATGGGATTACAACTGACGATGGGGGACTCAAATCAGCCTGTTTGTAAATAGCCCTCCACGAACGCTTTTGGTGATTAACCATACTTTCAGCTATTTATAACAACTACAGCTTAGTCGAGCGCTTGGACAAAGATTTTGATCACATTGCTCCTATGGTGCTTCATTACGATCATTTACCTTCAAGCCAAGAGCTTTCTAGAACAATAAGAAAATTTTATTTCCAGGACAGGTCTATTGACAACAACACCAAGGCAGAAGTTACAAACGTGAGATTCTCTATCGGTAACCATATATAAGCCGCGTTGTTTAGATCGTTACAGATCCATTGTTTTATTATCCTCAACGGGTGACAAGTCTGCTGCATTCCAAATACACGAAGCTTCCCGTATACTTCTACTTATTTGGGTATCGGGGATCTGTTAGTATGTCCCAGATTATTGGCGATCCTGAACATGATTATGGTAACACAGTCACACAAGCTAATAAGTTCAATAGTGACGTTATAGGTGCAATCCATGGTGATGATTTGACCTACCTCCTCAGTAACACCTTTTATAAAGGTTATAATCCGACAGAGTCCGATTTAAAGATGAATGACATTATGACCACTTTGTGGTACAACTTCGCAAATACTGGGTAAGGAAGGGAAAACGTAGAAGAAACTTATTGGCGGTGTATTCTAGGGATCCTACTGCCGAACTCAACTCGGATATAAAGGCCAGATGGGAACCTGTAGAGAATGGTAACTTTAAGTATTTCGCCATTCATGATGTAAATAACATAAGAATGGACGATAGCTTGTTTGAAGATAGATTTGAGTTTTGGGAAAAATTGGGTGTACATGACTTCGGTATTAAAACAAAGGAAGAATTGTAATTAAAACGTACGCAATTTTATTATACCAGAGTTGTAGTGATAATAATACTATTACATCATCTGAAAGATCGCTTTAATTATTAATTCTCAGCAAAATTGGAGTACGTTAGTTAATCAATCGCTATCGTTCGAAAAATAACTAATGTCGCCTCCGCTCACCACTACTCATTCCCACATTTACACGGCTTATCTTACATTCCATTCTAAAAATATTTTTGGTAACTGTAGGTACCTAAAATATGAATTTTTATAATGTGCAAAAAAGTTTCCTCTACATTAGAAATAAAAAAAGAAATGACTTTAAATGATACGCTCCTAGATTTAGAAAAAAAGAACTATGGAGCTTCAAAAAGCGTCTCCTTTTCTTAAAATCGAAGCCCCGATGCAACGCAAACTTTTTTTCTTTTGTTATATGGTTGCTATGATAATCACGTGATTAAATTGTTGTTTCTTATCGGAAAATGATATCAGTAATTTTATCTACTAATCTTGTTGACAGTAGGTTTAGGTGGAAAAAGGTCGGAAGTTAATGAAACTTTGGGATGTTGTTTATGGATGGTTTTCTCAAGTTTTCGACCTCTAGAACTCGGTGCGAAAAGAGGAGGAAGACGAAAATTGAAAAACTTTTGTCCTTCCTCCGGTTTTTCGCAGACATTTTTTTCCCTTACATCTTACGGCAAAAGCGTTTCTATGCTGTTAAATTTTCAATAGTTCAAGCATATTTCTATGTTGATTCGTTACCGAAATATTTTAACGAATTTTGAAAAATGACGTTTCTCCGAAGTGTCATTAACTGCTCCATCATTCACAGTTGAGTTTTAGTTCAAAATAATATATTCCATAAACCTTGGTGCTATGTGAATAAAGAGATTGGTCACATGCACTTTTTATAAGATCCGTAAATGTCACAGAAATAAATGAATAAGTGAAAAGTTAACAATCTATCAAAAAGATTAAAAAATGTGACCTTTGAATGCTGTCCCTTGTCTCATAGTAAACATGTGGACTTGTAGTTGGCCCCAGAAAGTAACACCTTTTTAACTATATATATATATGGCACCAATCACATTTGTCGCTTGTAGGCATTTTCTAACTGGTGTACGCAATATAATGTCAAGCTCAAGGCTATTCGGTCACTTACTTCTTGGTGTCCAAAGTACCTACTTCCCAATAACGACCCGAAGTTAATAGCCTTGCCTAAGCGGCATTTAAGTGTTGGATCATTTGTAACTTGTCTATAATTGCAAACCTACCGATTCGTAAGTAAAATTTTTATTTGTATATCAATAATATTCCACCCACAATGTGATAAAAACGAATTGCTTAAGATATTTAAGAGAATGAGAGACATTTTTTACCATCGCTGTGTAGAGTTCTATTAACTTTATAGTAAAAAAATTAACGATAATTATCGATCTAATAATTAACACATAAGTGTAAATCAATAAACATAACAAGACGATTTGGTTAAAATATGTCCTTTTAATAATTAGGTATAATATTCATGCATCAATTTAAGGCGAATAAAGGCCCGAATAGAATAATTGTGATATTCTTTGTATGCCTATTTTTTGGGTAATAACAAAAAGGACGGAAAAAGATCAAAACTTGTAGCTTCACTTTTTCATTTCTAAACTCTTCTCCTTTGTAGAGTCAATAATAAGTAATAACAAAGTCAAGATCACCAAACAAGGTACCAAAAAATTGTCTAGCCTTTTATGCAGTTCTCCATGTATTGTTTCCGAAAATTAAAAATTGCTTTACTAGACGGATCCAATAAAAATCAATTTAGATGTACAAACATTAAATGGAAGAAATGACCTTATCTAGTGCAACGTATTAAAAATGTCGTCTTCCGTTGGATTCCGGATGGACGGTCTTAATATCGCATTGAAATTGTAAACTCCGGGTAAAATTTTGAAGATAACGAAACGTTGGGGTTGTTATCGTGTTACTAAAATGACCGGTAACCTTTCTATACTTGATGCCACGCAACATTTTAGTGAATACATTGAAAATTTCGCAGATAATCCTATTGACTTTTTTACAAAAAAAGAAAGTTTTCGTTTATATAACTTAATTTTAATTAATGCAAAAAAGTTCCTTCGCGAAATTTGATAAGTTTACATTTAACTTCGCTTTGAAATTCTTTACCATAATTGATCGCACTGAAACAATGAACGTATTCTTCGTTCCGTTCAAAACTGAATTATTATCCTTTTTACCGCACTTTTTTTTTACAATATACGGCCGTTTTTAAATCCATTCGTACCACTAAAACCCTGATCTTTCCTTTGCTCTAAAAGAATAGGTATGTCCTCATACAATCTAAATCTACTAAAAAGTTCTTTCACCAGAACGTTTGCCGCAATTGTCGCTTCTTGATTCTCTGAAATAGTTCATGGTCACCAAGAGGTATTTCTTTCCAGCAGCTGTCTCTGGGTAAGGGCCTGCTATATCAATGGCTGTTCTTTCAAATGGACCACCGACATTGTATTTCCTCTTTGGCGCCTTCTTCTTTCCTACTGGTCCGTTACTTGTGGCACAAACTGAACATTTTCTGCACCATTTCTTTACAGCTCCTAGATGACCTCCCGATATGCCATCGTACATTTGTGGTACTACTTAAGATTTCTTGCACCCTGGTGGTCGTGCCATCATCATTTTTAGAACCCTCTTAAGAAAACCATCTTCTAACCGTAACGAGTCCCACTGAGAACCAATACACCTCTAGAACTGGACCGTATCGAGATACGTCTTCCCTGGTTGACCCTTTTTCTCCATTTTCTAGTTTATAAATTATGGTCATTTTCTTGACGTGTCCGGAGTTCTAACGGTGCCCAATCATCCGCCACTAGTGCTATAATATTTATGACTAACTATTTATTACTTCGACGTCGACATTGGAACTACTGAAACGCAATTCGATTTGCTTATATAGCAAATGCCTCTTTCTTCTCGAAAGATCGCCTCCCTCCGAACGCAACCGACCATTCTAGAATGTTCAAATCATACACATACCCTGGTCTACTGAAATTCTTCGAGCCTGAGCTATCGTTGTTTTGAACAGCATTATCGTTTTCTGTAAAAATCTACAACCAGCATAATAAATGTTATGCATCGTGCACTTTTTTATCTATTCGTTCTTTCATGAGCCCAAAAAAGCGTAAGCTTTCATTTTTTATGGTAGACTTGTGTCTTTGCGTGATTTTGCAGAAACATACAAACATAATTTCAGAAGTTATAATTTTACCCCTATCGTTGGAGCGTAGCCTCTGAACCTGAAATATATGTCTTAGCAGAAGTATTTCTTATTTTTTGCTTGGTTTTCTAAAAGTGTTTCCAGCATGTTACAAACATAATTGCAGAAGCTAAAACTCCACCCTTATCTTTGGAGGGTACATTCGTCCCACTAGCTTCTGAATCTCCCAAGAAGGTTTCTTTTATTTTGCATGATTTTACAGAAGCTGTTCCAGCCTATTACAAAGATAATTGCAGAAGTTATGGAGGGTAGGTCCGTCCCTGGTTTTTATGGAATCTATTGGTTTCTACAAAACGGTGCACCCGCGCAAAAACGCCCTAATCGTGCGACAATCAGATTTACTGAAAAATATGTCCGATAGGTATTCTCCCACGATTAGGGCGTTGTGCGTTGATGCACCATCATGTTGAAAAATAAAAACGAAATGGGCAAATTTCGGTTCTTCTGGAATATCTTCGGAAGGAATCGAAATTTTCTGGGATTCTTTAATTTTTTCAAAAGTCTGTAATAAGAACGTCGTAGACATTTAAACGGAGTTTTAATAAATAGTTTTTGAAAGATATCTCGTTACCTAGTGGAAACAAAAATAAGGCTATGTATTAATGATCCTCTTTTCACGTTTTTAGTAAAAAAGAGGCAATAGAAATTCCGTAATCAAGTACCAATTAGACTGTCGACGTCAGTGATTATTCGATTACGGAAATAATTTACTTACCAAGTGAAGAGGTCAACCATACCAAAAGATAATGGCTAAATGTTTATTTTAAATCTTTTAGACACCACGAGTATACTGATTGTACTTGCAAGTGCAATGATCGCCGTTGCCTTCGTATGGTTCGCTACACTGCTCCACGTGGCGCGTTCTTACGGGTCTGAGCCACACGTGGAAATTCGGCAGGGTATCTTGAAAGGCTCAACGCATAAGACGTGGAGTGGACAAACCTTTCTGGCATTTCAGAGTATTCCGTATGCCGAACCTCCTGTAGGAAACAGACGATTTCAGGTAACTATTTCGTTGTAACAACACCCAGTGTTCTAATTTTATGGTAGCCTCCAGTACCCGGTAAGTCCTGGCGAGGTGTTTTTGACGCAACCAAGCCACACGCAGCTTGTCCCCAAGTATCTATATTTCTGTACAATAACTCAGCCTCAGAGAGCGAAGACTGCTTGTTTCTTAACGTGTACACTCCTAACGTGAGTACTCTGGGTACTCATTGCTTAGTTCAATCTGCGAATTACAGACAACTGATCTTTTACCAGTGGTCTTCTTTATCCATGGCGGTGGTTTCATGTGTGACGACAGCAATATGGACATGTACGGTCCGCACATTCTACTTGATCGGGACATAGTTTTGGTTACATTTAACTATCGATTGGGTACTAGGGAAACTACTTGGCGCAAATAACTTCTCCACTTTAAGGTGCGTTTGGATTTCTCAGCCTGGAGGATGAGGCGTTGCCTGGGAATAACGGGTTAAAGGATCAAAGTTTGGCTCTACGATGGGTTAAGGACAACATCCGCAGCTTTGGAGGTAATCCTGACAGCGTCACGATTTTTGGCAATTCTGCAGGAGGAGCGAGCGTGTATTATCACGTACTGTCGCCACTTAGCAAAGGTAACGTAAACGAAAGGGGGGGGATGCGTGATCGGGAGACATTTCAGGATTATTTCATGCTGCCATATCCAGCAGTGGTATTGCCACGAGTACCTGGGCGTTGACAAGGAAGGGCGTTGCGCGTGAGTTCTGCAGAAAGCTCGCCGATAGATTGAATTGTCCTGTATCTCCAAGTCAAACCACAGTAAAATGCTTGCAGGCAGTCAGCTTTGGTGAAATTTCCAAAGAAGTTTTAAAACTATTGGTACGGCGGCGGCGTACAGATGCGCATAATGCTACCGTTCACTTTTAGCTGAGCGACTTAGAGCACAGTATGCTGTTGACCCCTATTATTGAACCCAAATTACCTGGAGCGTTTATAAGTGATCACCCGGTTGATGTAATTAGGTCAGGAAAATTTTCCCACGTGCCATACATGACCGGCATAACGACCAATGACGGCGCCCTTTTATCCGCTCGTGCGTATTTGTAAACTCGCCGTACATCTATTTTTATATGACATCATCTTAGGGATGTATAGTAACCCACCCACTAGGAGTTTAAATGAAGATTTTGAGGATACCGTCTCGACAATTTTCTATTATGAGAATCTCACCACCATACAGAACGTTTCAAAGGAAATTAGAAAATTTTACGTTCAAGATAAGCCCTTTGATCACAACACCAAGGCTGACCTTACGGACGTAAGTATTCGCAATTCTGCATGGGACCGCTTACTTTTCTCATCATTTCAGATAGGCACCGACGTATTCTTTTACTACCCCGCCAGGGCAACGATAGAGCTCCATGCCAAATATTCAACCCAGCCTGTGTACTTCTACTTATTTGGTTACAGGGGTTCATACACCCACTTATCGGATTACGGGGACACCTCCTACAACTACGGTGACTATGACCACTATTTACACATTGCCTAAGTTAGTGCTTCAGGTGTTGTTCATTCTGACGACATCGTCTACCTCCTGAGTGACGCACAACTGGCCCTCCACAACTCAACTACAACAGATATACAAATGCGGACAGTTATGACAACGCTAATAGACAACTTTGCGAAGAGAGGGTAAAATCCCGCTTACGCGGTAGTAGGCATAACACGTTCTCGTTCCAGGGACCCGACCTCCAAACTCGACTGCTTCATCACGCAAAAATGGGAACCCGTAAAGCGTAACAAGTTCAATTACTATGCAATAATGGGACCAAACGATCTCAGAACGGAATCGACTCTTTACGAAGAACGCTATAATTTCTGGAGGAAACTGCCTGTTTTCTGTGAATTGCATGATGAATTGCTGAGATAAAAGTCGCGTTTAACTTATTTTGTCACAGTAATAGTGTCTTTGTACGTCGCTTTTGTTAATAAAATACTGTAACGTAAATTTAATTACGTATAAATAATAGTCTTGAAATGGATTAATTTAAACTGTAATTATAATTTATCACTTACAATTTATAACATAACACGAGCGGAAACTAAGCACTTCACTTCGAAACGATGTTAGAACTGGCTGTAGCACAATTTGATTTACTTATACCCGAAGAAAAAATTGTCTCAGATCGACCCGGAAAAAAATTTCCTCATAGAATGTGGCCTGTAGAATCCATAATTTCAAACAGTTCCAAGATTGGGCTACTCGTTCAAAAGTTACAGCCCTTTGAATTTTCTTTCGAAATTGGTTTCTAGTCTATAACTTTTGATTAAGAAGTCTGATCGAAAAAGTACGAATTATTTTGGATTCTACGCATCAAAATTAATAAGAAAAAGTGTTTTCCCGAGAAATTTTGGTGCAGTCGATTTTTGGTAAAAAAAGGAAGGTTATACACTGCCTTCTTTTGAAGCCCGAAGAAAAAATTGTCTCAGATCGACCCGGAAAAAAAATTTTCTTATACAATGTTGCCTGTAGAATCCATAATTTCAAATAGTTCCAAGATTGGGCTACTCGTTCACAAGTTACAGCCCTTTGAATTTTCTTTCGAAATTGGTTTCTAGTCTATAACTTTTGATTGAGAAGTCTGATCGAAAAAGTACGAATTGTTTTAGATTCTACGCACCAAAACTAATAAGGAAAAGTGTTTTTAACAAACGCCCATATTTCTCGAACGTTCTCGAACGTTTTCCGAACACTTTTCGAATCTTCATACTTCATTTCCCGGAAAAAATGCGCCACATCCGCTTTCGTTTCTCATCACCGATTACGAATCTTTTATGGCGCCTCAATGTTTATCCAGAATATTCGCTACAATACCATACAGTCAACCCTCAATATCATTTCGCATCAACGGAGAATGTTTTTGATTTAGTTAGTTACCTCTGATTCTCTGTAAGACTAAACTCCTCATCTACAACGAGGATGGAGCTCAATAGGGTTTGAAACTGTGTCGCTTTGTCAAATTGGGTGACCGAAGCACTGAGTAACACAGCAACGCACTTTATTCCTCAAGCTCGCAGTCCGAAAACTCCTCTACGAGCCGAAATGGGCGGTTGAGGCACACCCGATTGCATTCAGAGCAGACGACCGAGCATGGGCACGATTTCCTGACGACAGCCACTCCCTGGTTCGCACCCAGTCTTGTCTGAGCAAAATATCGTGTTCAATATAGTCCAGCTACTTTTCATCCCTCTTTTTTTGGATCCAGAGAGTTCCTCCCCCACAACTGGATCTCGCGGTAAACCCACTTAGCATGCTGTATCACGGCACCTTTAGTTGGAGGGAAAGAAGCGACCTCTGGTAGGCTTTTGCGGGCTGCGCGCTGGTACCAGGCATGTCGGAAGGCGTTTATGACGCCCGCGCACCAGCGACCAAGTCGCATGATCTGGTCGCACCCAGGTCGCGCTGGCCATTCCGCGGCACTGAAAGTTCAAGACGACTAATCAAGGCTTCTGTGAACTGTTTTAATTATTTTAATTTTTCCATGGTTGTAGGTCGCTAAAGTAGTATCACATCCTGAAAAAAACGTGTAAAAATTAATCGGTTTCAATAAGGAATGAGGGCTGGGGTTGATTTGATGAAAATAATTTGGGTTTGCCGGACTTTTGGTGGGCCAGAGTCAGTCTAACTAGCCAAACCAACAAATCCACGTCTTCCCCTACCACAACAACCGTGCCACTTGCAACTCCCTTCGGTTGTGACTATCACGCTGTTCGCATCCCCGTCACCCTCAAACTGTTAATATCGTTGTGCTGGAGTTTTAGGATGAGAGCAACAATTAATTTTGCTTTATTACTGACATTTGTTAAGAAACTATCGTGTTTGAGGGTAACGGGGAGGTTGTCTTCAACCGTAACGTCAACAGCGTAGTTCAGTCTCGCTCTCCTACAATGTTTAGCATTTTTAGTGCTAGAGGACACGCCAGTATACCCGTCAAGCACAATGGTGCTGCTCTTGCATGCCAAGGTAGGTCGTATTGTCACTCCACTTTACCCCATGTAATAGGAATCCTCCATCTACAACCACCGTACATTTCACCAAATCAGTGTAGTCGTCGGAAGGAGTAAAAACGTATTAGAGGATTCCTCGTTGGATATGATAGTGATGACCGTTACAGAATTTATATTCCAAACGACCACAAAGCCATCATTTCCAGAGATGTTCAATTTCAAGAAAAAAATCAAAAAATGAGAAAGTCAGATTCAATTTCTAATAAAAGACAACCAAGAAAAAGATGACAGTGATCATGAGCTCCAAGCGGATGCAGAAGAAAAGTCCAAGACGGAAACGGAAGACGATAACAGTGATGATTAGTTACAAGTGGATGCAGAAGAAAAATCCAAGACGAAAATAGAAGAAAATCATCAGAAGAATTCTGAAAGAATCTTGAGGGATAGGTGGAGGAGTTAGTAAATCAAGTGACTGAGGATCCTGAGATGTTTGACGATGTTCTAAAAAGCAGTGATTCTGTCGAGTGGAAGAAAGCCATGGATTGTGAAATCGCTTCGTTGAAGGGAAACTAGATCTGGATTTTGACAGATCTTCCACATGGTGCGAAGTCTATTCATTGCAAGTTCTGACTTAAAGAAAATCCTGACGGTAGTATGGACAAGTACAAGGGGCGGGATGGAGAAAAAATCATTGGAATTTACGTAGATGGAACAGAGTCAATAGAGCTGGAAGTTTTCATTGGAGAATTGTAATCAGAGTTCAAATATTGTCACGAAAAATGCAGACTATTTTTTGGGAATTGAAATCCAATAAGAAGAAGGGTTTATCAAAATTCATCAGAAACCAGTTTCAACTCCAATGTTCAAAAGTACAGAAACTTCCACATCAGGGAAAGTTAACTAGACCTGGAGTTCTGGAGATCTATAGTTTTAGCTGATTTCGGGGGATGTACGAAAACAGGTCGTTCAACTTCAGGAGTCATCGTGAAATACTCAGGAGGAGCAATTTCTTGGTTGAGCCAACGACAAGCAGTTGTAGCTACATCAACAACTGAAGCTGAAATCATATCAACCTGTTCTTCTAAGATTCATTGAAATTCGTTTAAGTTTTCTATAAAATTCATTGTTTCTTATAATGTCCGTCGTCAATGGCAGCGTCCTTTAACGCTGCTTTTCGTAGCTAATGTTGTTGATTCTATTACCATGGTTACGACCTACGCCAATCTTGAGAACATTTCTCTCTCATGACGAATTCGATAAAATATGCTTCAGTGTTACAAAAAACTTGTTTAGTTTAAAGGACTAACCTCGCTCCCTTCGGTCGCTCGGATTTAAATAAGCCATAACGGGTTTATCTAGAATTACAAACTACAAGATTGATGGAATGAACAGTTTGGATTTAAGACGTACTCGAAAAGTTTCATTTCGCGTTCTGAAGAGGCATTATGTCCAATGCGCTTTCATTGCAAAAAAAACATTTCGCTGGAAGTATACTTTGCGTATCAAGTGACATGTGGTATCCCCCATTATTTTACACCCGAATTCTCCTAACTATAATCATGAAATAACCATAAAGTAGACCTGCCATAAATACACATTACACAGGCCACTTACACAGAGATGGCATTTGCACTCGTCTCTAGCAAAAGAATAATTTGGATATCGATTAACATTTTCAAGGTTGCAGAATAATACTCAAAGTTCTGTAATTACTTAGTATTTTAGACATGTGCAAAGTTCCTTTTAAACCACAGAAGAATTCCCCGATAGTCTGTTTGGAATTTAAACAGCTGTCGTAAAAATTCTTTCACAGAATGACGACGTAGACAATTAAGTAAACCACAACCTTGATCTAGTGGAAGGGGCAGATAATCATTGATTTTTCACATAATACCAACAGCGAAGTAAATTCGATCGTGTAATCGTTGTGTACTATTTCTAATCTTATCTCAGCGCTACTTTCGATAGTCAGGTTCAAACTGCGGCTTACTTATATCCGGACTTTTAGAATGTCAACGTTCACTAAAGTGTGCCTCCTGCTATTAATTAATGGGGTCAGTTTAGGGAAAAGCAAATTTCAAGTGCAGTTGCAACAGGGCGTTTTGGAAGGATCGCCTAGATGGAGTTCGGGCGGAAGAGAATTCGTAGCGTTCGAGGGAATTCCGTATGCCGAACCTCCTCTCGGAGATAAACGATTTCAAGTACCCGCCCCAATTTACTTCTGTTTAGCTAACGATATTTTCCGCAGGGACCGGTGGCCGGTAAACCATGGAATGGTGTCTTAAATGCTACAAGATGCTGTCCTATTTGTCCTCAGAGCAACGTATTTATTAACGATTTCACCCCACGTGGTGATGAGAACTGCCTCTGCCTCAACGTTTACACGGCTCAGGTACAGTGGCTTCACTATCGTACACCTTAACCTCACGTGATCTCTTATAGGAAGGTTTAGATAATCTGGTTCCGGTAATTTTTTATATCCACGGCGGTGGGTTTATGACAGGCAGTGGAGATCCTTACATATATGGCCCGGATATACTACTTGACCATAACCTTGTTGTTGTAACTTTTAATTACAGAATAGGTAGTAGGAAACTAAGTGAGCTTAGTGTTATTGAATGTTTTAGGTGCACTGGGTTTCTTAAGCTTTGAAGATGAGGTACTGCCTGGAAACAACGGGCTAAAGGATCAGTCGCTGGCGTTGAGATGGGTTAAAGATAATATCAAACATTTTGGTGGCGACCCTGATAAAATTACTATCTATGGGAATTCTGCCGGCTCAGCAAGCGTTTACCATCACCTTCTGTCTCCTCTTAGTAAAGGTTTAATTCACGGTGCTATATCCAGTAGCGGAATCGCTACCGCAACCTGGGCAGTAGCTCAGAAGGGAGAGGCTAAACGAAACGCTCTGAGACTCGCTGCATTTTTAAACTGTCCCACGTCTTCTAGCGAAATCGCACTCGAATGTTTGCGGAAAGTTAGCGCTCAGAATATCGTTCTACAAAATGCAAAATTCATGGTACAAGTTACACAGTTTTGCAAAAACGATCTATTGAAATTATGTTAAAGGAATTCCTTTACGAGCCCAGCATTCCGCACAAGCCTGTCATCGAACCTGAATTACCAGGGGCGTTCCTTACCAAACTACCTCTAGATATTATTAAATCTGGAGGTTTGGCCCAAGTCCCATATATTAACGGCATAACAACTGACGATGGAACCTTTAAATCGGCTGGTACGTATAGAGTTCACCACAACATTTTTAATTTCAAAATGCAGCAATATATGACAAACCCAGCTTGGTGGATAGACTGAACAAGGAATTTGATCGTATTGTCCCCATGATCCTTCATTATGACCATCTTCCATCCAGTGAGAAAATTTCAAAAAAAGTCAGAGCATTCTATCTTCAAAATCGGAAGGTAGACAACACAACAAAGGCAGAAGTTACAAATGTAGGTATTACTGATTTCATGCATTTTAAACCCAAAAAGCAAGAAAAAATATTCACGATAAATCTCTGGATGTTCTTGAAAATGAAATGGCAAAGATTAAAGATTAAGATGGGCGTCAGCTAGCTAACCAGATTATCTTTGGGGTTTGTAATTGTTATCATTACATAAATTCAACCCTGATGAAATCAAGAGATCGGGCACTATAATGTGGTGCTGTAGTACGACTTCCGCACTAAAGAACGTGAGAAGTTTGTCGTCAATATTGCAAATTTACAGCAAACTACAGAATTCTTAAAGCTTTACTGCGACATACACTTATCCGTTCGAATGAAAATTAAATCCGTGTGGACAGTGGAGAAGCTCCAGGTCCTGGTGCGAGCATGCAAAGCAAATGGATAGTGCGTAGAGCAACCCCCCTCTCATTTATAGACCGAGACATAAAGACAGATTTTGTGCGATGATTAGTATACGTCTGTTACCGCAATTTTTTCTTTACATAAGTTGGAACTATCGTGTAAACGTATATCATCCGTTTGTTGAGCAGTCCAATCTATTTTTATGTAGTTTTCAACATTTTGACAACATAACAAACAAAAGTTTATTAATATAAACGTGTGCCATCAATTTTAAAATGATATTGGGGAGGAAATAATAGGGCGCTAGCACATTGACAGGCGTTTTTCGTTCTCTATTCGCTTGGTAGCATATACGAATATTATGTAATGTTTGATTGGCATAAAAATAGATTGGACTGCTCAACAGACGTATAATATACGTTTACGCGGTAGTTCTAACCTACGTAAAAAGAAAATTGCGGTAACAGACGTCCTAGAAAATTTTTCGTTATCTCTCGGCCTATTAAAAACAGCCCTAATAAAATGAATTAAATAGGTAGGTATTATAGTTCGTCATTTAACATATTTTACCTGTTTAGATGATCACCGATGCCCTATTCCACTATCCCCAGAGAGTAACTAGCCAGCTACATGCGAAGTATTCAAAACGACCGGTTTATTTCTATTTGTTCGGTTATAGAGGGTCTGTTAGCTTTTCTACCATCTTTGGCGATAAAGAGCATGACTATGGTAAGTTTATGGTTCTGGCCCTACTTCAACAAGGATAAATCATTTACAGTATCATGAATATCTAAATGTCTGATTATAATAGGGTTGATTGATTAATAAAAACAAAGAAAATGGTTATATACAAAACGATAAAGGGATGTTTTAACCACGAGTGAATTAACTTTCACGAAATGGTTAGTTTCCCTTTATCGTCGTGTACAATATTAAATTGTACTTTATAGCAGAAGTCATAGAAATCATTATAACACTGCGGAAAATTCTGCAGGTATTTAATTTAGACGTCAAAAATAACAAGCTCCCGTACTTCATTTTATATCGTGCTCCGCGTCCCATTTTTAATAAGAACAGGTGTCATTGGAATGCACAATTATTTGTTTCAATTTATCTACACTTGGCGATACTGCGATCACTTTACCTACCCTTACAGTTAAAGGATACTTATCCTACTTATTCACACATATTAAAATGTCATTTATTTAACATCTGTTAAAAAATAAAGGTATTTTATTATGCTATTTTGAAAAGGGGATTCTGCGCCACCAATTTTATCATAGAAACAAGCAAAACTTTTCTAAACAAAGAAAAATTCTAACAAGTTTGCTACCAACTAAATTTGTGGGCAGTGGCGTACTATTTTTCACACTCTTTCTTTCCTTACAGGTGTCTGTCATGGTGACGATACATTATATTCCATAAGTAATGAACTATTCCATGACTACCAACCATCAGCTACAGACTTGGAAATGAAGAAGATAATGTCAACTTTTGTGTACAATTTTGCGAATACAGGGTAAGACACGTCTAAAAAAAAGACAATTAGGAGTACAGTACAGTACAGTTAGTACAATATTTTCGTTTGAACTAAATGTGTTTGCTTTTTCATTAATTTTGAAACCAACCCAAAGGGGAGTAACAGAGTAACAGATTTTAGATTTTTACAGCGGATTTTTTAACTGTGTTGCCAATTATCTAATCAAGTACTTAGTTCCTTACACTACTTTTTGAAGGGGAACGTTGCTCCAACGGTCATAAGTTATACCTTCTTCCAAATGTTGAGCTTGAGAATTCAAATATTCATTTGAAACAATTCAGAAGTAACTCCCCCATCCCCCTCTGTTCCTGGGGGGACACTCCCAGACACCACCAGGGGCTCCTACGCTGTCACTTTTAAAACTACAACCCTGTTGTTCTAGTTTACCAAAATGAAATATGGCATTCACTTTTAACTTTAAGTACTTTGATAACACGGCCTTGTTCGCTATAGAAATCTGTACTGGGTTGGTAGTAAAGCACGTAAATAAACGGACATAAAGAATGTTCATAGTTTCATTTATCGAATCTCTTTGTATTTAGTACTCTGATTTGAACTAATCCCAACCGCAGTATTACTTTAGGACTAATTATTATACCTTAGTGATCCTACATCAGATGGCAATAATCCAATCTCGGAAAAATGGGAGCCCGTCGAAAATGCAAAATTTAAGTACCTCTCTATAAAAGGTAGCAGTGACGTGAGAATGGAGGAGAAATTGTTCGAAGACCGATTCGAATTCTGGAAAAGGCTTAATATTCATTATCCATCTATTGATGTAAAAGATGAATTATAGCGAATACCTTAATATAATTATAGCCATGTATTGTTACTTGTTAAAAAAATCATTTTTGGAAAATTACTCTACTTATTTCTTGAAAAAGAAGAAGCTGCGTCGTTTAATCCACTTTCCACGAAGTTGTCTTGCTGTAGGTAAAATAAATATTGCCTTATGTAGGGAAATAGATACTTTCTTTCAAATTTCAAATTACATACCTCGGGTAAATTACTTGAATCATCTTGACCCGGAGCAACGAAAACAACATATCGCCAATGTCCGTCCTCTTTATAAGAATTCCATTTCGTCCCACCTTACAGCAATGCTATCTTTAAGAAAAATGCTACTGTTAAATCATTTGAATTTGCAATGAGTAAATTCTGTTCCCCTTAAGTCATTTCTTCAGGTGGCTCATCGTTATCCTTCGTACTAAGTTTCATAAAATAAACGTGTTGCGTGGGGCGAGGGAAATATGAAGGTTTTTTTGCCTTTAACACAGAGAGTAAACAAATATAAAAACTGGCAAGGAAATTGAGTACCTATAATAATTAAGCTAGTTAACTTTGGACGAAATCATATTTAATTCAAAGTATCGAGGTTTCTTTTCACAAGGTCCGTGAAGTTGGAGTGTCGACTTGAAAGGAATTAAGTCCCATGTATCTCATAATTTTGTGCTCATTTTGTGCTAATTTGTGCTGCTAATTTAAAATGTTGTGCTCATCAGCTTAATGAGTAATTCAACTTTTTCTGATGACACTCCAACTTCACGCTGGAGTGTCAACATTGATATTTTCAAAATTTTCTTTTACTATATTTTGTGCTCATTTTGTGCTAATTTGTGCTGCTAATTTAAAATTTTGTGCTCATCAGCTTAATGAGTAATTCAACTTTTTCTGATGACACTCCAACTTCACGCTGGAGTGTCAACATTGACATTTTCAAAATTTTCTTTTACTATAATTTTGTGCTCATTTTGTGCTAATTTGTGCTGCTAATTTAAAATTTTGTGCTCATCAGCTTAATGAGTAATTCAACTTTTTCTGATGACACTCCAACTTCACGCTGGAGTGTCAACATTGATATTTTCAAAATTTTCTTGTACTATAATTTTGTGCTCATTTTGTGCTAATTTGTGCTTCTAATTTAAAATTTTGTGCTCATCAGGTTAATGAGTAATTCAACTTTCTATGACGACACTCCAACTTCACGCTTGAGTGTCAACATCGATATTTTCAAAATTTTTTACTATAATTTTGTGCTCATTTTGTGCTAATTTGTACTGCTAATTAGCAGTCCATGTACTGTATTGTCTAAGTTGGAAACCCATAATATTCTAGACACCGAAAGAATTGTAAAGATATTCATAGAAAATGAATATGATGGTGTAAAGATAGAAAGCTAATATTCTCCAAAAGGTTTCGCAAATACTTGCAGTTAGTAATGAACAATTAGGTACATCTCCAGGTGTAAATTTTCGAAGTAGGTTATGTAATGTCGTCTCACGTGACGTTGCCAATGTCAATTTCGCTAAGATGGCGGGTCCAGGTAAATTGTTGTTCTATGGGTAAAATTGCGATGTCATCCACGTTCTGCGTAAGAAATATCCAGGTAGAGAATAACGTAAAAGTAATCCAGAAGAGAAAATGATAAGAAGTTAAGAGAGAAGTTTGAGCGAACCTTGAGGGAAGATAAAACCCTAAAAAACGTACCTATTAAGAAAAATGCTGAAGTACATACCTCACACTAATTACTTGCAAAGCGTATTCAATGGAGCACAGCCACAGCACATCAGAAATAGAGAAAAAACACTCAATAGAAATATGTTCACAGCCAAAACAGATTGACACAAAGTCAAGTAAAAAGTAATGGCGTATCGAGAAAAATTTGCACGCAATTAACCCAGATCCAGATCGTCTCTGAAAGGAAGAAGTATAGGACATGCGTATGTAGAAAAAAAAGAAGATCACGACCTCTAGTGGCGAACCAAAGAACTATGGTAATAACAAATATACTATAGAAATGACTGGCATCTAAACTAAACGGGTTTACAGAGGGAATACCTAGATGGGGTGAGAAATATAAAGAGAGGTGCAACTCGATTAATTTAGATGAGGCTTATTGCAAGATGCTTCAGTACATCGGCAATTTGGTAAAGAATAATCGATTTCCGCAGATGTAGCAGCGTTTATTTATTTATTTACTATTCCTCTCTTGTTCTGGGCCCTCAACAGGCTTACGCCCAATTACAGAGTGACCCGCATAGTGCTTTTTAGAGGTGCCTCTGCAGAGAAGGTATTAAGTTGTTTTATACTACTCCGGTATTTACCTTACGAATTAGGAAAACTGCAGAAAAACGTCATTCAGAGTAGCGGGCAGAATGCTCGCAACTGGTCTAAGGTATCTGCCACAGATGAAAAATTCACCTCAATCCAGGTTCGAACACCCGACCTCCGGAATTATAGTCCAACGCTGTTTCATTGGTTTTCAATCGGTTTGTGTTGTTGGGTGGCCTTTAAGCATCAGAGTCGCACGTCTAACACACTCACACCCCTCTCACTGTGGACTGTGGGCACGGGAAGCTTCGGGAATATGTATCGCAATTTTACATATAGTTGCGCCTCTTTGCTATTTCTCACTCAACAATCAACGAGTAAAATTCGAAGTATATAAGGAATATAAATTTGGAATATCAATTGGTAAGAAAAGAACGCTACATACTCCTTTCCTTGTTTTATTCCTGGTTGCCGTATTTACCGCTCATCAACAAACAATCAGATATTTAAATTTGTGGTCTCTACGCTTCATGCTTCTTGCTAAACAAAACCAAAACTGGTGAATACTCAAAATGTTTCCTCCAAAATTTACCGCCCCTAGAATTTGCCGCTCTAGGCGCGCAACTAGTCCGCCTTGTGGGAAATACACCCCTGGATGTAGCTCAAGGGAGAGTAATAAAAAAAAGAGAGCGAAGCCGCAAAAGGCACCTTACTGTGGACATAAAAGTTAAAAGTAAAGAGGTTTGTGCCTAAGGCGAGTAAAGTGCGAGCATTTTTCATGCATTATTCGGGACTTCCATAGTCCATTGTTATGTGACCTATGTTTTTCGTTATTAGAAGCATCTATAATTAAAAATAAGGAAGTTAGTATTGGGCTTCATTCCGTTCTTCAGCCTGATAATTGTCATTACGACTAATTATACACGAAAATTGGGTAACCATTTTATCACAAAATTCCATTATAATTCGGATTAATGTTATAAGTTCATAAACACAAATTCAGCCCTATTTCTTTTGTACGATTTGTTTGTTTCTAATTCTTTTAGTAACTGCGTTGTAACTCAAAGTTGATTTTTTTAAATTGAAGTTACAATTTACCATGGTTTAAAAAAATTTATTGCTTTACGAGCTTTCCTAAAATGTATAATACATCATACATCATACTTATTTTCAAGAATAAGCTTTTTACAATAAATTTTGCTTATTAATACATCTTGCCTGAAAGATAATAACAAAAGTTTTTTTGTGGAAAGAGTAGCTAATTAGCTAACACTCCGCCCACTATAAAATAAAGACAATAATAAATAAATAAAAAGTTGGTTATTAAAAGGTCTAGAAAGAAACGACTGACGACATTGGTTATCTACATTAAAAACTGCTTGAATAATGCTAAAGCCATTTCGTTCTAGCTTCAACATTTTTCACTTTTTCTCTCTAGTGAAAAAAACAAAGACGGCAGCTTATTTCCGGCAAAGGTAATGGAATAAGCATAAAAAATAAGGACACGAGTACTAAAACCGTTTTCGTTTATCTGCGCTAATAAGAAAATTACCCATTTAATCCCATCGAAATTGGACTACACTGTACATAGTACGTACGGTACGTACCCACAGGCAGAAAAATTTTATTATTTAGAAGTTGCTTAAAATGATCTAAAATGTCGACATTTGATGAAATTTTTTCCAAAAAAACGGCGATGGCAATATCCAACTAACTGACACTACAGTGAGTATCTTCAGAAAAATTTGAATTACTCATTAACCTGATGAGCACAAAATTTTAAATTAGCAGCACAAATTAGCACAAAATGAGCACAAAATTATAGTAAAAGAAAATTTTGAAAATATCGATGTTGACACTCAAGCGTGAAGTTGGAGTGTCATCAGAGAAAGTTGAATTACTCATTAACCTGATTAGCACAAAATTTTAAATTAGCAGCACAAATTAGCACAAAATGAGCACAAAATTATAGTAAAAGAAAATTTTGAAAATATCGATGTTGACACTCAAGCGTGAAGTTGGAGTGTCATCAGAGAAAGTTGAATTACTCATTACCCTGATGAGCACAAAATTTTAAATTGGCAGCACAAATTAGCACAAAATGAGTACAAAATTATGAGATACTTGGAACTTAATTCCTTTCAAGTCGACACTCCAACTTCACGGACCCGGCAACTTTGCTTTATATTTTTAAGCCAGAAAATGTTTCTGTAGCTAACAAAGTTTGCACAATAATATTAATATGTTAATTTATACAGTTGCCTCAATTCAATCTGTATGTTCTATAAAGGTGCAAACGTACCGACATGTTACCCAAGAACTTGCCGAGATGTAGTCTGGAGGGTTGTACTCATTTTGTTTCGTCACAGCTAATTACCTTGATTATTGAAGTGTATTATCTACTTCATTAGACTTGAAGTGTGTTACTTGCACAATTCGATAAAAATTCTAACGCGTATCACTTTAGTTTGTAATCTTATGGCAAGTAGGTTAATTTATAACTGATTATTGGACGAAGTAAACATTTCCTAATGGGAACATATGGCGGCTTTCATAATGCTGCAATATCTGTACGTTCTAAGGGAGGCTAAGCAAAAAATGTAATTATTTCAATGTAATGAAAACTTGTTCTTAGTTACTAATATTCTCATAGAAGTAGATAGATTGCTTAGCAAAAATTATTGTTATCAAGGCGTTCCTAACAACAATTTTGCGATTTAGTGGCATCAGACATTCCTTAAAAGTAGATGTAAGAATTTGCAACAAGAAATTATCCCAATCTTACAACACTGTTCCAAAATCGAAGGCTGTGGGTATTTCGACCCCTTATCATCAAAATGTAAAGGCAGGCCCTTGCTTAATAAGTAACAAAAATAGTTACAGTTCCATGTTTGACTTTGAATGTACACATTAATCGGAAAATTTGAAGTTGAGTTTTCAGGTCTATCTGCATTAGTGAAAATATACAGTAATTGTATATTATCGTTTTCTACTTCCCTTTTCTTCAACAGTAATTTCTACTGTTGCTTTCCTCACACATTTTTCAACCCTGTTACTGTTTTTGATTCGATTATCTTCATTTTAGGTAATAAAGTTATTAGTGATAGTCTCCTATGGAAACAGTAACTTAATTTTTAAAGTTACTTAGACTTAACCACTAGGTTACTTCATTTTTAGCGCATTTCCACAAAAATTAAAAAAATGCCCTATTGTGGCCACTTCGTCCGTCCGTCCGCTCGTTCGTTGAGACGCTACTAGTTCTTTATCTTAAGAGTTATATTGTTCTACTTTTTTCGCTATTTGGGAAAGAAGGAATTTTTTCTGCGTTTATTGCTAAAAACCAAAAAACCTTTTTTACATGTTCCATAATTTTACACTTTTGCCGTTTATTAACGATCCTAGAGATCGTTTATAATTTTGTATTGCTGTCTGTCGTCTGTCTGTTGGTTTGTCCGTCTGTTCCTTTGTCTGTCTGTCCCTCTATCTGTTCGCTTAAGGCCCCCACCGAGCCTCAACAAAAATCCAAACCACGCTGAACAGAAGGGAAGAAAGAGGGTCAGGCAGACCCAAATGGGTCAAACTGCGCCAACAATCACCTCCAAATCAGTTGCCGACATGTGTTGCACAGTTGAGCTGAAGCTCGACTGCCGTACTAAGGGTTCCTGGTTCGAATCCGGTTTCGGACATGGATATCTGTAAATGTATACTGGGTTGGGTTGGTAGACCCCGCCCCTGCAAAAATTAAGGCAAAAATTTGATAATTTACAAAAAAACCATCCACCTCCAGTGACTCAACTCCTAGAGTTCATTCCGGTCAGTCGGCAAAACGGGTAGGCGGAGAGAAAAAGAGACAGAGGTCAAATGGCTCAAAACCGACCCAACATAATGCCAGCCCTCCTGCAATGGGGATTGGCATCTACCTAGTGACAATATATATGGGCCACATCGCTTTCAGATACAGACCTAAACAATAGAGGGAGATAAACACGAACACACAACGGGGGGCACCGACCGCTGACCGACGGGTAATGAAGACATTGCCCGCGCAATGATGCTATCAGTGCACTTGTGTAATGAATTATCAACATTTACCAAATTACATGGATATTAACGTTACCGGCCGGTCATTATGAAAATGCCCAACTTGGCTGGCCTGGTGACAGGCTTTGAATATAAATATTCAAAGTGACAGGTCAATAACGTCATTGACCGGATGATCTTCTTCCCCCATCACAGATACATTTAAGGTAAATTCCCTGTATATAGTATTTTACATTATTAGCCAGGTAAGTGAGTTTTTACTGGCGATAGGAGAAGTTGACTGGCGAGCCGTCAGGCGAGCCTGTCACCTCCTAGAGCCAGTAAAAATTATTACCTGGCGTATAATGTACAATATTTTATTTGTTACTCATTTGTAAACGTAAATAATTAGTTCTTAAATTGATCTTGAAGAAATGTCTAAAATATCATGTGATCCATGTAACAGAGACTTCGCATTAATTCTGGCCAATGAAATGACTAGATTACTAACTTGTAAAATTTTACAGGTCTGCTGTCAGTTTTACAAGTCAGTAGCGTTTAAACATGACGTTTACCCGTTTGCGTTTTGTCTTGTTAATCAACGTTTACAACTGAGTAACAAATAAAAATTTTATTGTTAAAATTAGTCACCAGTAACCACTAGTTTCACTCTCATAAAGCGGAACGTGTCTTCTGTACCTACAAGAGAAAAAGAGACCCTGAATAACCGGTTATGTGGCACAAACAATATCAGTAACGGTATCGTTTTCCGTTATCCTAACTTTTTGGATATTGGTTCCGGTTCCAAGTGAGGGCTTATATGTGCAGTCGGTTCCGGTTCCAGTACCATTAATTTCGATTCCCCTTTAATATTTTTTTCAGCTTTATAGGTACTTCTTAACCACAGCTTTTATGGACGTACTATACCCTAGATTAAACGTAAAGAGTTTCATAAAGGATCTAGAACGCACTTTCGTCCATTTAAATGGATTTCAGAAGTTATTTTAGAAATCCTTTTAAAAACATCTCGGCCTTTCTCCAAAGTTTCCAAATTGGTTTCACCTGCTAATTCGAATAAGTAAAGCGATATTATAGAGCACCTGCCAGAGAACTTTGGGTTCTTTATATCTTTTTACATCACAAAGCATTCCAGGTCCTTTCCAAAGCTTTACCGTTCGTTTAGGTTCTCCTCCTATACCTAGGAAGAGCTTAAAAAGCTTTAGAAAGAGTCTAAGAAGTATGTAAATCCCCCTCTCAGGCTCTTTACGCCACTATTAGGGCTATGTAGGTACTTTGCGGGGATTCTATCGGAGTTATATGGACTTCCAGTGCTCTTTATTTCATTATAACCGCCTCTATCTATAGAAAGTGTTGAAATGGTCCTCAACTGGCAATGAAACACCGACCGCTTAAAAATACGAATGCTTAAAACTATTGCTACGACCAGTGGCGGTTGCAGGATTTAGTAAACGGAGGGGCCCAAACCCGAACTTTGTCCCAACACGGAAAAAAATAAAAGAAATCTCGCATAATGGAAATGAGATCGACACAAAATTGATGAAAAAAATGGACAATGCCCCCCCCCCCTGGGATCGCCACTGGCTACGACTGAAAATGTTCCTCCCCAGGTTTCCCTCCTTACCACAGCGGTATAGCCGCCCTGCAAAAATGTACTGCTTGTTTTGCAGCACCCTGTATGTCAAAACTTTTTTGAGTTACATATCTGGCGGGCAGTCTCGTCTTCAGATCGTAGCCAGAATTATTGAAATTGAGGGGTAAATGGGCGCCGGGATTATTAATGATAGGAACGTCTGCAAATTTACTGTTAGATCAGTAAGTTTCCCTATAATTATGTATGTAGGTAATAAAGGAATGGCTTCAATGACTTGAATTCTACGCTTCCGTAAGATTTCGTAGATTGGGCACACGAATTTATTTGTTTTATTGGTACCCACCATCAAAGGTTCTTGGTGAAGGTTATTATCTTATCTCTGTCCAAAGTGGTTCGATCTGATCGAGGATGGCACTACTGAACTCGTCGTAAAAGTACCTTATGTACATTAGCATGAATAATTTCAATTATTATTATCGTATCGTCGTGACCTTTTGGGCGAAAGTTGAAAAAATAAAAATAAGAGCCCACTAAACGGAAAAGGCACAAATAAACAACCGGCTACCAATTAACAATATTTCAGTGACCGCAACGCACCGATAAAAAATCCCATTGTGTTAATGACTGAGGCGAAGGTAATAGCTCTTGTGAATTTCCCAAGGAATAAATTTATCGTGCTCAAAGCAATAACAACGGAGGATCTTTACGTGACAATTACAGTAAAAAACGTGTCCGGTGATTTTTTTTTCAAAAACTTTACCAAAAGACTTATTGTGATAGTTCCAGACTTTACACTCGTTCTGTAGTATAACACTACCACCAAAATACTCTCATTTGCCCTAACCCCTAACAAAGACGATTGTTTATACAAATAACTTCCTTGTCAAGTTTCGGGGCTCAATCGTACGTACAAACGTAAATAATGGCATGTACCGGGTATGTAGTAGAATTTGTCTACCAAATTCGGGTAATCTCCAGCCGTTGTCTACAAATCCTAAAAAAATCCTTTTGGCTGATAAAAACGAAACGATTTGAAATGAGAAATTGAATTGCCGCGATATGTTCGTATTGTTCATGCAACGAGTTCCAGGAGAAAGTCTGCACAATGATTTAATATCGCTTTGCGCCTCTAGGTTCATAAAGAATTAATTTAAATACTATAGTGCACGCGGTACCCCACTTTTCAATCACTTCAATATTAAACACGCTGCAGTGAAGTGTTAGTGGTACTTTCACTGCGATTGCCTACGATGAAATATCAAAAATTGCTATTCGTTGTTTTGTTTATATGCGAAAGTTGTGCGGAAGATGGCCCCGAGGTGTTAATACGGCAAGGTAAAATTAAAGGTAAATATTGGACAACGAGACAAGGGAAGAAATTCAGTGCGTTTTTAAGTATTCCGTACGCGGAACCGCCTGTTGGAGATCTTCGGTTTAAGGTGCGTTGCATATTTGGGGCTGCATAAGTTGTCATCCAATTCTGCCTTTAGCCGCCAGTACCGATCAGTTCATGGAGCGGAACCTTAGATGGTACTCAAGTTCACGCCGTTTGCCCTCAGCGAAATATCTACACGAGGAGCGAAATTATTGAGGGCGAAGAAGACTGCCTCTACCTTAATGTTTACACACCCCAAGTACGATAATATACGAAAACCAAAGGTAGTGACGTTGCCATTTCAGATGGACATCTCACCAACGCCATCCTATGCCGTAATGGTCTTCTTTCACGGTGGCGGCTGGCTGTGTGGCGGCGGCAACTCTCACTGGTACGGCCCAGATGTGCTTCTAGACAAAGACGTTGTTCTCGTTATTCCAAATTATAGATTGGGCGCACTTGGATTTTTAAGTACAGGCGATGAGGTAGTTCCTGGAAATAACGGGCTAAAAGACCAAAGCTTAGCTTTGAAATGGATCTCGGAAAATATCGTACATTTTGGAGGTAATCCGAATAAGGTGACGCTGTTTGGGGAATCAGCCGGTGGCGCTAGCGCCCATTATCACATGCTGTCCCCGTTAAGCATCGGTATGTATTCACCCCTTTATTGCTCAAGACTCAGTCTTTAGTGTTTAGGGTTGTTTCACGGAGCTATTTCTCAAAGTGGTACGGCGCACGTCCCTTGGGCTTTAGCTAAACCTGGCAGCGGAATCAGGCAAATCCTTCGGTTGGCTGAGGCGGTCGGGTGCAGCGCGTCCGGGACAGCTGAAGTAGTTGAATGTTTGAAAACTGTCGATCCCTATACCATGGTTTCGCAGGACAAAGTGTTCATGGTAAGTCGAGCGCTCTCAGATTGACTATACTAGGAGGCTTCTTTTTAGGAGTGGGACATTGATCCTATGATACCATTTCCACCGGTAATTGAGCCAAAACTTCCAGGTGCGTTTTTAACTGGCCATCCCACTAAAATCATTCAGTCTGGTAAATCGGCGCAGGTACCATGGATTACTGGTTTAAACACTGAAGACGGGGCTCTAAGAGCTCCCGGTAATAACTTAACACTCCCTCAACTTAACATGCTACAAGATCCTTGTAGGCATTTTTGGAAACGCCCACCTTATGGAAGATTTGGATAAAAACTTTCACAAAATACTACCGATCTCTCTCTTTTACAAAGAGGCGTGCACTTCCTCCGATTACATCTCTAATCAGTTGAGGAAGTTTTACCTTGGTAATAAAAAAGTTGACAACTCCTCGCGTCAAGCAATCACGGATGTAAGTTCTGCACCATGTAACCATTTTAAATATCGTTTAGATTTAGCTATTCACCGATGGATGGTTTCTGCACGGCGCTGACGAGTCAATTCGCCAGCACATAAAACACACAAATCAGCCGGTATTCTACTACCTTTTCGGGCACCACGGCGTTGCAAGCTTTAGCCAAATTTTCGGTGACGCAACCCAGAGATACGGTTTAATCCAGCTATCACCTGCCAATCGCATTATTAACTATTCACCGTAGGTGTTTGCCATGCTGACGAGCTACAGTATCTCTTTCCCGTTGGCGACTCTCTCTTTCCAAACCAGAAGCCAGACGAGCTCGACAGAAGGATGACTGACTTGATGACGGATTTGTGGACTAATTTTGCGAAATACGGGTAACTGTTTTGTTGAGGAATACATTTTTGAAGACAATTTGTAGAGACCCTACGCCCGAATTGAGCTACAACATTCACAACAAATGGAAACCGGTGAAATCGGTGGACGACATGGAGTACTACTATATTGCCGGAGGTGGGGCGCATTCGGCCAAAGGTTTACTACCTGAACGAACTCAATTTTGGAGAAATTTGGAGATTAAATGGGATAGTATGTGTGCTAAGGATGAACTATGATCTACATATGTGTTTCTGCCGACTTGTATAGCGTTTAATAAAATCAGGAACTAAATGCTTAGAGCTCAGACGTTGAGAATGAAGTTCCCAAAAAAAGCTCAAAAACATCCGATCCTGTTTCACAGAAGAAATGAAACGCTGCCAAATAATCAAATCATTTTGCTGCAACTCCTCCATTTACTCCTTGAAAAGTGGTTAGTTGTATTTAGTAACAATTTATCGTTAACGCTCGGATTTTAAAGAATCGCTAATTTGGAGAATGTGGTTATATCTTTGATAATAATATTTTATATTCAATGGTTATATTGAGTACATTTAATGCATCTACTCTCGCTCTAGATTTCAATTACAAATTTAAAACTATTTAATTTAACAAATCCGCCCCTAATACATAACACAAATTGGTCAATTAATATAATTCAGGTTTTCATCTGATGGTACACTTCAGAATATATTGATGGACTAGCAATTTGAATACAAGATTTTGAGCAAAACCCCCAATACACTTTGTGGTACATTGATCGATTACTTACTAACTATTTACGACTTTCTAATTAACCACTAAACTCTAAAGTTAGAGTTCATTTCGGAACAGCTCCTAATACACCATTATCGGAATAACTACAACTAAATTTCAGAGTTTAAATCATTTACTTCAGAAAAAGCGCCCCTATTTCCTTTCAACGATAATTAATAGATTACTTACTTTGTAATTGAATTTTACTTAAGCACATTATATATTAATTTAGTTTAATAATTAATTAATCCTGCAAAGCAAAAGTATAAAGCTAATATCAATTGAATTTCACAGAGAAAATTATTTGCTTCTCTAAAATCAATCCTATGAAGCATTAGTTGACTAAATAATACTGAATTTCTTCACAACAGCTACGCCTTATAACCTTTTATAACACATTTCTGAAATAACAAAAATAAATACGAGCACCTGCGGTTATTTTCTGTCGCTCCAAGTTCGGAAGATGGCTTACGTGTCAACCGACTTCGTCTTCTTCATTTTTAGTGTACACCAAAAATTCAAATTGAAATTAATTCAGGTTAATTCGAAATAATTCACGTAAATTGATGTTAATTCACGTTAATTCAAGTTATTACACGTAAATTCAAATTAATTCAGCTAATTTAAATTAATTCACTTTAATACAAATAATTCCCGTTAATACAAAATATTGGATTGATTTAAAATCGGACTAGAAAGGAGTCGGGAATTTATCACAGACGTAATTCTCATATATCGATGGCATTTATATGCAACAAATGATCGATATTATCGATTTTTAAAATAAATCAAACTTAATGATATATTATTGAGCTCGCTTTTCTAGACTCCTCTTGGATCTCTCACATAGCTTCTCTGTGACGCATTTTCGTAAAATTTAACTATTAATTAAATTAAATTAATTGTTAATTGTTTTGTGTTAATCTAATTGCTAATTAAATTAATGAAATTTGTATTCATTAATTGATAATCGTTAATTTATATAGTGATTTTCCCCAATTAGTAACGCCTGGTCGTTTGTATGACAAATTGATTCGTTACGATCCCACTAGTTTTGCATTAGTAACGTTATTATTATCAAGGAAGTCGCCGAAACAAAACAAATGAAATTTGAACTCTGGTTGACGGCCTTTTGAGCTCAGAAGCGCGCTTTGCTGCCTTATCTGTAACAGATAACAACCCAAACAAACAAGAGGGATAGTGAATAACGCGGCTCATAAATGTTGCGGTAGCAATGTCTAACGTCTGACACCAGTGTAAATCGTATACTATACGCGACGCAAGTGGCGTAAGCAAAATCAGAAATATCGAAGCAATGATCTCCAAAGGGTTTCGTTAATACTTGCAGAAAAACGGGAACAATATTGAAATCTAAACAACTTCCAAGTAAATAGGACGCCATTTATGTAGGTAGAATCACGTGACTAATTTCAACTAAGATGGCAGTGGAATTTTTCAAGGTAAGGTAGTAAAATTCGGCGTAGATGATTATTTCACAACCAATGATGACGTAGTAGTATGCAGGGAGATAATAACGAAAAAGTAATACAGATCAGAAAAGTAGGAGAGTCATAATTCGTACATACCTCACACTAATTACTTGCAAATGTATATCCGAGAGCGCTTATTCAGGTAGACAATAAGTCAAATAAAAGTAATGGCGTATTGAGAAAAATAATTTGCACGTAACCATCTTCTCTGCCAGAAAAGAACGCAACTGTACGCAACACCAAATTAAAGTAGTTAGAGCGCCTAGGTAAAAGTAACAAAAAGTTGGTGAAAATTTGGTCACTTATTCTCTAAGAGACGCACTTTCTAATGGTCAAAAGAAAAAGGTGTTCCTATGTGCCGTTTCTGAGATATTTGACAGTAAAAACAGGGTATTTTAACATGGGCTCTTATGGACATACTCAGTTTTTCTGAGCTAGCGAAGGTTTTTGTATCAAGACTTAAATGAGATGGGTCTCATTAGAAGCGAAATTTTGTGACGATTCTAAATATGCACGGAAAAGTACATGTTCATGATGAAATAAGGAAGATATTTACCGCCGGAGCGCCGTCTGCTCTGACGCGGCGGCACGCTATGCAGCACGCGTTTAAATCTGATGACTTTTCCACTAGGTCTAGTATCTGAGCTAGGACAATCTTTTCCTTCTTCTGCTGAGCACTTTTCTTCACAAAAGGCATGGTGACTTTCAGAAAGAACATCAAACCAGCGATATTTATAAAGGCCTGCACACGTCTTGTTGACACACTGATCGGATCGAGATCAGAGATCAAGATAGAGATCAAGATAGCGGCTGGGGATCTCTAGCGCCAACATCGAAAAACCAAATCCACTGCACCGACTTCACGTAAAACGCCAAATTATTTAGTTTCCCGGCTTTTACATACGTCTCGCATACGTTTTGATTAAAAAGAAATATATTCGTTTAGGATTTACCGCTTACACTGTGAATATTTAGTCGCGGTGTGTCGTCAACATTTAGTGTGCAAAGGTTTGAAACAGGGTCGAAAAGTAGGGAGACTAGTCAAGTTGACTACTGTATATACCTTTTTAAAATTCATGTAAGACGTTTGCATTGTGCTGAGGTACAAAATACCACTCATACCGTATTTCTAATTATGTTTCCTTCATAACAACATTTTTTTGGGGACGTTTACCGTAATTAATAGGTAGGCCGAGTACATCACTTGACTTCAGCCGAACGCGCTAACTACTTTAAAGAAGGGATAGAATAAGTATCGCGAAAAACATCTGAACGAACTCTGGCGGCGAACAAAGAACTAGGTATCTATTTATTAGTGTTCGCTTTCAGGAAATATCTCTACATTACATCATGGAACCTGATACCAGTATTCTCTCCAAATTCCTGCTACATTGCCATTTGCTTTTTTGTCGACTCCTAAAGCAAATTTACCGCTTAGGATGATCGTTTCCTTAACTTTCCGAGCCATTACCGATTTCTTGGTTTATTTTAAGTAAATTATTAACTTATTTATTTCATCTACCACTTCGTTATACTCGTATATCATTGCGCAGATTCGTAGTACCTGAAGTGCATGCAAAGGCAGTTCGCAGCGTAACCATTAATAACAGTGGCTAGAAAAAAGATATGGAGTAGTTTCTCCGTATCAAATCAACAAACTCTTTTCGTAGTGCGTAGGTACTTATATACGAATTTAAATGCAAATGCCTTTTCATTACATTTAAGGGTTGTTTTTATGAATTATAAAGCTCACAAATCGTATTCATAAATGAATCACTAATTAAGGGCACTCTGTAGATAAAACCTTCATGTCACTCATCTTTATTTTTGAACCAGGTCAAATGATTATGTACGTACCCGCTGTCCTGTGAAGTAACGTGGACTTGTAATATACTAAGGTCAGAAGAAACCACTTACCATATTCTCATGGATACCTTGACAGGCGTTCGTGGCGTAATACTGTGTTTGCAAATGATACGCATTACATAACCTTCTGTGCTTACTAAAAGGTGATTGTTGTACCTTGAAATGAAGTGTAGGTAATAATTAGAGATTAAAGTGTGCCATCTAAGTTTTAGGTGTCAATCATCTTCCAGATAGTGAAGTTGAGACATGCTGACAACTATTTTATTTGGATGTGCCATTGTGATATGTGCCGCTTCCCAAAGTGATCTTACAATACAGATTGGCCCAGGAACGGTGAAAGGAAAATATGACACAACCATAAAAGGAGGCACTTTTAGATCTTTTACTGGAATCCCATACGCCGAGCCTCCAGTGGGAATTCTACGGTTTAAGGTATTAATGATACAACGTAAATGGACGTGTACTAACGAGTGCATTAGCCGCCAGTACCACTAAAACCATGGAACGGTGTCCTAGACGCCACCAAACCTCACCAAATTTGTCCCCAAATGGACGTCTACTTTGGAAATTACACGGTTGCTGGAAACGAAGATTGCTTGTACCTTAACGTATATGCACCGGTGGTAACTGAGAAGGCAAGCTTTTCCGTGCTGTTCTATATACATGGTGGTGGGTGGATGAGTGGCAACGCAAACTCAGAACTCTATGGACCTCAAAAACTTTTAGAGAAAGAAATTGTGCTGGTTACAACTAATTATCGACTAGGTAAGCGCAATTTGTACAAAAACAACTTATACCTTTACCTTCTAAGGGGCCCTTGGATTTTTGAGCACAGGCGATTCGGTGGTGCCTGGTAATAATGGCCTGAAAGATCAAAGTTTGGCGTTGAAGTGGGTAAAGGACAATATTAAATGCTTTGGTGGAAACCCGAATAAAATTACGGTCGTTGGACAATCGGCTGGTGGGGCAAGCGCCCACTTTCTTACTTTATCGCCACTTAGCAGAGGTTGTGCCTACGTTTTACCTATACCGTTGTACATTGTCAAATTTGCAGATTTGGTATCAGGCGCTATACTGCAAAGTGGAACTGCATTTGCACCTTGGGCGATCACTTTAAAACCCCTTGTCAATGCACAAAGACTCGCCAGTTACTTAAATTGTCCGTCTACGTCTAGCGAGGCCATAGTGGAGTGTTTAAGCACTAAAGATTCGTCCGATATTGTTGAGCAAGACAAACGATTTTGGGTAACACAGCTAGAAGAAGTTTGTATTAAAGGCTCAATTTTAGGAATATAGCTACGACCCTATGATTCCTTTTAAGCCAGTTGTAGAACGAGACCATCCAGGTGCGTTTCTCACTGAAGACCCGGCCGTAATCGTTCAATCAAGGAAAAACGTGCCAGTCCCACTGATGATAGGGTTAACTACTGAGGATGGAGCATTGAAATCTGCCAGTTAGTGGAGCTATCTGGTTTACCGCCACTAATAAACTGAGTTTGTAGCATTGCATAAAGACCAAAGATTGATCGAAATGCTAAACAAAGACTTTGATGTAATTGCGCCATTTCTCTTCGGCTACGATCAAGCTACTTACAATACAAGTGAAGTTTCAGAGCGAATCCGAAATTTTTACTTTCGTGGCCGTAAAATTGATGAGAGCAATAAAGCGGAATTGACAAATGTAGGTTAGGTGTAAAACGTTGACAAGTGACGTCTTACTTTAGGTTGTTACTGACTCTTGGTTCCACGTAGCTACTGATTTAGCGGTTAGATTGCACGCTGAAAACAGTAACACTGCAGTTTACCTCTACATCTTTGGGTATCAAGGGGTTGTATCCTTCTCAACAGCATTCAAAGATGCAGCCGACAGTTACAATTACGGTAAGGAGAGCTCCCAAATGATACAACATAAAATGACTCCTTTAGGAACCTGTCATGGTGACGAATTACTTTACCTATTCACACAAACCCATTCCCAAGGTGCAAAATTCACTGAAGCAGATAACCGCATGATGGATATTATGGTGTCCATCTGGACTAATTTTGCAAAAACTGGGTACTTGACGATCCGTTTTTTCACGATTACCTAATCTTGCTTTAGCAACCCAACCCCTGATGACAATGAGCTATTGACGGTGAAATGGCATCCCGTCACTAGTAAAAGTATGGAATACTATTCTATCGGTAAGGATGGCGATTTGCAAATGGGAGAAAACTGGGAAATAAAACGATTGAGATTTGCTAGAGAGATTAAGTTTAATGCTAGATGGAACCGAAGTAAAGATGAGCTTTAAAGCCATCCACCCAGGTTTTTTACGGGAATAGTTTTAGTTGAGGTGTAAATACTGTAGGTAATAAATACACGTTAGAACTCAATTTTTATAAGAATATATGCGGCTTCTTTTCGCATTCGGTTACTCACAGGAACATAATAGCAGGGAAATTGATCGGTGAGAAAATCACTGTATCCTAAGTTAAACTACAGCAGTCCGCCCTAAACACCAAAGCAAAACAAAACTCATCATTGGAAAAAGTGAAAGATTATGAACTTCCAAACTCATTAGAATAGGACCACTTCATGGGTTCACTCGTAGCCTACCGATAGAACTAGCCGTGACACTCATCCCCACTATTGCGTTGACGTCACAACTGACGGCGGCCGTCATATCGACTTTTAATGTAATTAATTCCAAGTAGTTTAATGTTGTACACTTAAATTAACTGTATTCGAACAGAATCAGTAAGAAAATGTCAAATACGTGCTGCGTCCCTGGTTGCAAAAGCAATTATAGTTCAAGAGACAAGGTTCCTTACGGTTTTTCGTTTTCCGAAAAATGAAGACGATCAAAAAAAGTGGTTAAGATGTATTCACCGGGACAATTTTGAAATTACTAGTTACTCCAGGGTTTGTATAAAGCATTTCTCCGACATTTTCATTATTCGGGTAGACAAGATGACTAGATAAGACGATACAGTATTAACAGTTCCACGAGACCAGATAAAACTTGCCGAAGACACGTATCCCACCATTTTTGAAAATCAGCCATCATATATGAAAAGGATGTAAATGATGAGTAACGGGAAAATATAGACCTTTGCAACTACAAATGACGTAAAAACCTGTAGTCTCTAGGTGGTCCAGGGGCCGAGATCTCGATGGAACAGACAGATAGGCAGACGACGGAATAACGAGCACATAAGCGTTACCTCAACTTCGTTGTGTTACGCTAAAAAAGGCAGATGTGTGTATTAGAATGTTTAAATTTTATTTGTTTTCAGCTCGGTTTTCAGTGAGTATTTGTTGTTTATGTACGTATTTAATAAAATTTTTGCATAATAACACGTGTCTATAATTAGGAAACAACATATAACAATCCTGCGGCTCAAAATAAGTAATTACTTAATGTTTTCGCGTTAAATGAGTACGCACGCGAATCAAATTGCATTTAAACACATAGTATCGCGTTGCAGTGGCCCATCTCCAGTTGTGACGTCACTAAATCAATGTCACGGCTAGATCTATCGGTAGGCTACGGTTCACTGAAATAAATGGACGGAGCCCAAAAAGAGGAATTAATTTTTTGATAATTTTTGATTAGGTTTTTTATAAAAAACCGAACGCTTTTCTATCTTTGATAGATTATGTTTAAATAATAAACAAACAACCCTTAAACAGCCCTTTAATAATACATTTGTATGTGTTTTAAGCTTGCCCAATATTTTAAGTAATACAAACCATCAGTTTCAGAACACTTACGTTACGGAGGTTGTAACTTTTGTAAAACACGGAACACTTTTCTATCATTGATAGATTATGTTTAAATAATAAACAAACAACCCTTAAACAGCCTTTTAATAATAAATTTCCGTATGCTTTAAGCTTGCTCAATATTTTACGTAATACAAACCATCAGTTTCAGAACACTTACGTTACGGGGGTTGTAACTTTTGTAAAACACGGAACACTTTTCTATCTTTGATGGATTATGTTTAAATAATAAACAAACAACCCTTAAACAGCCCTTTAATAACAAATTTCTATACGCTTTAAGCTTGCCCAGTATTTTAAGTAATACAAACCATCAGTTTCAGAACACTTATATTACGGGGGTTGTAACTTTTGTAAAACACCGAACACTTTTCTATCTTTGATAGATTAAGTTTAAATGATCAACTAACAACCCTTAAACAGCCTTTTAATAATAAATTTCCGTATGCTTTAAGCTTGCTCAATATTTTAAGTAATACAAACCATCAGTTTCAGAACACTTACGTTACGGGGGTTGTGACATTTGTAAAACACGGAACACTTTTCTATCATTGATAGATTATGTTTAAATAATAAACAAACAACCCTTAAACAGCCTTTTAATAATAAATTTCCGTATGCTTTAAGCTTGCTCAATATTTTACGTAATACAAACCATCAGTTTCAGAACACTTACGTTACGAGGGTTGTAACTTTTGTAAAACACGGAACACTTTTCTATCTTTGATAGATTATGTTTAAATAATAAACAAACAAACCTTAAACAGCCCTTTACACAAACCATCAGTTTCAGAACACTTACGTTACGGGGGTTGTAACTTTTGTAAAACACCGAAAACTTTTCTATCTGTGATAGATTATGTTTAAATAATAAGCAAACAACCCTTAAACAGCCTTTTAATAATAAATTTCGATATGTTTTAAGCTTGGCCAAGATTTTAAGTAATTCAAACCATCACTTTCAGAACACTTACGTTACGGGGGTTGTAACTTTGTAAAACACCGAACACTTTTCTCTCTTTGATAGATTATGTTTAAATAATAAACAAACAACCCTTAAACAGCCTTTTAATAATAAATTTCGATATGCTTTAAGCTTGCCCAATATTTTAAGTAATTCAAACTATCACTTACAGCACGCCTACATTGCGGGGGTTGTAACTTTTGTAAAACACCGAACACTTTTCTATCTTTGATAGATTATGTTTAAATAATAAACAAACAAACCTTAAACAGCCCTTTACACAAACCATCAGTTTCAGAACACTTACGTTACGGGAGTTGTAACTTTTGTAAAACACCGAACACTTTTCTACCTTTGATAGATTATGTTTAAATAATAAACAAGCAACCCTTAAACAGCACTTTAATAATAAATTTCAGTATCAGTTAACAATCTTCGAACTATCGGTAACGTACCGGGTTTGAGTTATAAGAATTGAGTTTGTGTAAGTTTGAATGGGTGAGCATAACGCTACATTTGGTCCTTCGAGCCGGATGTTACATTTGGTCCCACAAGGGTTTCGTTCGCAGTAAGTGCTACATTTAGTCCTTCAAACTATCAAAGAGTCGGTGCGGCGTTACCACACGGGTTCGGGTCACAATGAAGTGCTACATTGTGAAATGGTCTCAAGTGCCCAAAATACGGAGATAGAAAAACTGACCACGGAAAGTTCAGATAATGCCACTCACAAATCATGGACCTTTCAGAAGATCCAAGACACGATTACTACGCCAAGAAGTTCTACAAGAAGCCACACATCGTCCTGTCAACGGCAGCTCCGGTGGTACGAACGAGACAACATCCCAAAAAAGGCATACCAAGGAGCAACGATTTTTATGTCCAATGGGACAGCGATGGGAACATTTGCCACGATACGAGGTTTCCAAGAAATAGATTGTCTACCCAGCCTGGAGTCACACGCACCCAAACTTCCGTAGATAGCAAATGTGATTTAATCGGCTTATGAAACATCCGATATTATAGTAAGCAGCGAATTACCTGATATTTTAGAGGCACATCACGAAACTGCACTAACCAAAAATATAGAAGCGAGGTAAAATACTCTAAGCATGCACTACGTGCTCCAAACCGCCCAATATGATGAACTTTTGTCTCCGAAGTAATTAATCCATTATTAACACAGAAGCACGTTGACTTAAGGAAAGCTGAAACCGTATAAAGCAAGTTTCTGAAATCTAATCATTCTGGGAGGATTGCAATTTAATGCTCTACAACTTTTTAATGCACTATAATACCAAAATATTCTTAGTTCACAAGATATAAGAGAGAAACTGAGAAAAGTCCGAAAATTTTGGGATTTGTGGCCCCCCTTCCAGTTAGCACACGGTCAACGAGGTTGAAAACTTGGGATAGGCATCCTGGTGTGCACTTTAGAATATCTCTAGATAAAATGTGATATCGACTGGACTAATAGTGTACTTTGACAATTCGACGATAAGTTCAAATCAAATGAACTTTAAATAGCCTTGTCATTTGTCCACAGTAAGTTCACCAATATAAGAGAAAGTAAGTAATTTTCGTTAGTACTCTAAAGAATTTAGGCCACTTTTTTTAAAATTAAAGTAATTCGTTAATAACTTTATTAATGGACATTGTAGTGCTTCTTTTAAAAAATTCATTTACGATTTTGACATAATTTTGTTCACATGATCCAACCTTTCAGTATTTAGAAGTGTTTATGCAGTTATTTTTTTTATTCAGTCCCTAAACTCACCAAATGTTGATGAAGTATTTCCTGTCTTGTGTGACAGTTCTGTGTTGCACACTCGTTGTGACCAATGCGAGCCTGGAAATCAAGATAGAACAGGGAGTACTGAAGGGATGGTTTGATATAACTAGGAAAGGCAGAATTTTCCGTTCGTTTACGGGAATTCCATTCGCGGAGCCGCCATTGGAAGCGCTTCGTTTTAAGGTACTTTCTAGTGCCGTTTAAAATTATTTGTCATGCTGTAATCTTGTAGCCACCAGTTCCAGCTAAGCCATGGCAGGGTGTTCTGGATGCCACAAGAAGTCATGCCAGTTGCCCACAAGTAAACGTATACATTGGCGACTTCACCATAAAGGGAGACGAAGACTGTCTATACCTAAACGTATATGCACCAGAGGTAAAAACAAACAGTTTACGACAAACATTTCTTATTCGTTCTATAGAATGCCAAAGATCACCCCCTTCCAGTGATGTTCTTTATTCATGGAGGAGGCTGGATGTGCGGCACCTCAGATTCAGAGCTCTATGGAGCACAAACACTATTAGACCAAGAGGTCGTGTTGGTTACAACTAATTACAGGTTAGGTAAGTGAACAATCTGCAATTGCGTGACTGCGTAAAACTAAGATCGTAGGTGCACTGGGTTTTATGAGTACCGGTGATTTAGTTCTACCCGGCAACAATGGATTGAAGGATCAAAATTTGGCCTTAAAATGGGCGAAAAATAATATTAGACAATTTGGGGGCAATCCCGACAAAATCACGATCTTTGGGCAATCGGCCGGCGCAGCCAGCACCCACTTTCACACTTTATCACCACTTAGCCGAGGTAAGCACCTGTGCGTTTGTGATGCTTTGCAATAGAATCTTTTAGATTTGATATCGGGCGCTATTATTCAAAGTGGAAGTGCCCTTGCACCTTGGGCAATCAGCTTGAAACCACTTGATTATGCAAAAAGGTTGGCGGGCTATGTAAACTGTCCAAATCATTCTAGTGAGGCAATAGTAGAATGCATGAGGACTGTAGATCCATACGAAATCGTCCAGAAAGAGCAACGGCTGTTGGTAATTAAATTACTAACTCTAGATTTTGCATACACCTAGTAATTGTAGGAATACGGCTATGACCCCATGATTCCCTTTAAACCGGTAGTGGAACCGTCTCATGAAGGTGCGTTTCTCACTGAGGAGCCAGCTGTAATTATTAGATCGAGGAAAAGTGCTCGGGTGCCCCTAATGACTGGTTTCACAACAGAAGACGGTGCAATTAAATCTTCTGGTATATAACCGAACCGTATTTGATCACGATTTTACAGTGTACTTGTAGCATTATTTAAAGACGAGAAATTGATTGAAGAACTGAATTCAGATTTTAACAGAATCGCACCATTGATTTTTGTATATGACCAAGCCACGTACAATACAACCGGGCTTTCTGAAAAGATCCGAAAGTTTTATCTTGGTGACAGACCAATTGACGAATCCTCCAAGGCACCATTGACTAATGTACGTCAGTCACCGCACCTGTTAAAAACTAATACTCATTTTCAGGCCTTTACCGATACATGGTTTTATGTTGCAACAGACTCAGTAATAAGAATGCACACTAACTACTGCAATAATCCAGTTTATTTTTACCTATTTGGATACCAAGGGGGTGCAACCTTTACTACAGTATTTAAGCATCCTGAAGACCAATATAACTATGGCAAGTTTTAGATTTCTTTTTCATTGTTTCATTGTTTCTAAGCGAACGGTTTTTACAGGTTCTTGCCATTGCGACGAACTAATTTACTTATTTCGCCAAGGATATGTGGCTAAACCAAGAGAAGAAAGTGAAGAAGATAAGCGCATGACGGATGTAATAGTCGCACTGTGGACTAATTTTGCAAGAACAGGGTAAGAGTTCTTGTTACAAAATGTAATGCACATCTGCAACTTTTAGCAATCCAACACCTCCTAATGATAAGTTATTGACAATAAAATGGAATCCTGTTAGTAGCAAAAAACACGAGTACTATCTCATAGATAAACATGGCCGTATGAGTATGGGGGAAAATTGGGAGCCCGGAAGGTTGAGCTTTGCAAGGAAAATTAAGTTTAATTCCAGGTGGAACGAAGTCAGAGATGAGTTATAGGGAAGATTAAAGTTCTTAATGAAATAGTACGTTGACAAATAGTAGCTATTTTGATTCTTTAATATCACACCTTCTGGCCGGTTAAATATCCCAACTTCTTAGCGCATTTTTGAAACAAAAATACGCTATTGACTGGCTGGAAGTCCTGCAGAACTCATGCCTTAATTTTATTTTTAATGTTCCACTTCTGAGTGGCATTTTTTAATGGTAGCATACAAAGGAATTGGGTTCAGGGTGTTGATGTTCACATGTAATATTCTTCCTGGAATTTCCGTCGTCTTCCCTTGTTTGAAGTGCGTTTGGTAACCTACCTTTTCGTACTTTTGCTTGCCAGCTAGCTCACATAACACTGGGTTATAAATAGCACAGATTTCAGTCGATTTCTTTTTCACTTATAAATAATTTCATCATAAATAATTTGTAACAAAAATGTGGAAAGAAATATTATTAGTTCAAAATTGACATGCTAATTCCAAAAAAAGCTCATTAACACTGAATTACGTTTATGACGCTTAAACAATGAGTCAAAAAAACAAATCCTTACACCCTCTTTGAAAAGACAAAAAACCTACTCCTAATTAAGTTTCAAAATATCCCCATCAAATAAAAATCTGAATAATACATATGCTTAATAATTCTATACCTAAACAAATTCAAATTCAATACATACGAAGTATATCTTCCCATTTTAGTTTTTCAAACAATACACACTCTAACTAAAATTATGGAGATTATAAAGAAATCGTATCTTTATCGGGAGTAAATACACAAGAGCTTGATTTTTAATCGTATGATTTTATTTTTACACGAAAGTTTTGTTGCAACGGAAAAAGAGGAACGATTTTATCATGTGCTTTTGATCGAGAGTTTTTTCCAGGAAGCAACAAAATTTGAGTGAATTAAAAATAAAATTATCCTGATGTAAAACCAGGATCGAGTGTAATTTAAGAGGATTAATAAAAGACAGTAAATTTTACAACCACTACATATTTTACGCATTCATACGCGCATTTGTATCGCTGGCAAAAAGCTACAGAACGTTTAATCGCCGATAAAAAGCTGCCTACCTTTTAATCAGATAAAAAATCATTTGATTGGTTAGAATATGAAACAATCACCAAGCTGATTGGTTATATATTAATGGAGTGTATTAATCACTGATAAAATTCGTTAATCTCAGCTTATTGCTGTTGTACTCCTTTCAGAACAAGCTCACGTAATTGGCTTATGTAATAGGGCTTTTGTACTGCAACCCCAAAATAATTTCGATCTTTGTTTCGATTTCAACCCGAACCACGGGCTCTTAAAAAATACAGTAGAATAGAAACTCCATCCTCGGTAATTTTGATCCTTTTTGATGATTTCTGCCACTAAAAATGCAAAGTCAAGAAATCCGAATTTTGGAGAAGTAGTATACGGAAAATCAAGTATGCAATACGAAAGCTTTTAATTAATTATTCCTTTACACGATATCGGAAAAATATGGGAAATATATCAGACTTCACGTTCTTTAAGCGCGCTTCTTTCTAGATAACTTTGAACGCCGTCTGTCGGTTTTTTCTACAACTGCTTAAGTGCTTACCCAGCGGTAATCCAAACCAAGCAGCCTAGGCCTAATCCAGTGAATAGAGGGGGTTATTTTAAAAAGGGTCCGGTAGCGTTATATTTTAATATGTTGTCTAGGATAGTTATTAAGTGTTTAAAATGCAAAATGCACAATTCCCCTCGTTCTGCGCCCGCCGCCATATTGAACAATCCGAAAAATCAGAACTTTCGTCAGATTTTTGCTTTTACCTTCGTTTCAGTGCACTTGAGCTGCAAAAGAGTTCTACTCAATATTGTAGAGAATTAGATTTCCTATAATTTACTTTTTTTAAATTTTCTCTCTAGGACTGATAGTTACGGATAATGGCATCAAAAGCAGAGATGTCAGATTACTATATATGCTTTATCTGGAATAATGATCTGCTAGGAGCCTCTATAAGTGCAGTGACACGTAAAGAGACTCAGATTTTACGTAAATCCGCTAAAAAAAAGGGCAAAAAGAGACCAAATCTTAACGGGGAGAGAGGAAATAGCACATATCAAAAAAATATTGCAATGAGGCTATGATTTTTTTTAATTTTCTTGAAAAGTGCATAATGTCCTACAAAGAAAATTTAGAAACGTCAATTACAGCAAATTTAATTCTTTACAACATTGAGTAGAACTCTTCTGTAGGTAAAATGCACCGAAACGAAGATATAAGTGAAAATCTAAAAAAAGTTTTGATTTTTCGGTTTAAATTAATGAATAATAAATACAAACGTCGCTTTCATATAAATTCATATACCTATTGCTTTGATAATGGCCATTAAAATTATATGGCCGAAACATATAAATATATGTAAGCCAACAACAAGATTAAAAATAAATTTGGGAAAGACAACGATTTCTTAATTATACATCCCAAATATAAGAATATGGATCATCCACTTCATTATAATTCTAATATAATATTTAAATAAAATCAATTAATACTATAAAAAAAATTCTAATCCGCTAGCGTATTTTTTTTTAAATTTTCATTAGATTTTATGAATATTTTGTTAGCATTGTATTGTATTGATAGTATGTCCCCTTCTTGTTGCACCCTATCTTCTTTCATAATATTGTTCGCTTTTTCCGTTCTATTCTTCTTTCTAGTGTTCTTTCCTTTTTTTCTTTTTTCCTCTTAGTGTTTACTCGGCTCCTCCGTTCTCGATTTCGTCATCCTCTCTCTATCATTTATTTATTTATCATCACCGGCTTTGTTTCTTTCTCTACTTCTCCAACTCAACTCCTCTTCTTCTCCATTATTTACAATTGCTGTTTTCTTTCTTCTCTTTCTCCTTTGTCCCTTCTCGTTGCTTCTTCCTTTCACTTTTTCGTGATTCTCTTTCACATCCTACTCCCCTTGTTCCATCTTTTCTTCCACTTCCTTTCGCACCTCATCTAACTTTTGCTACTCCTTTTTTCCCGCCCCTACGCTTTCTCGTGTATACTTCCCCTGCTTCCCTTCTTCTTTCTTTTTTACTTTTTAAACCTACCAACATATATTTTCTTCTACCCCTTCTCTTCCTCTCTTTAACCCCTACTAGTCTTCTCCAACTCCACCCTCTCCGCGTTTTGTACTTTTCTTATATCTTCCTTTGAAGCTTCTTCCATTCTTAGCTCCCCCCCCCCCCCTATTTAATCATAATTCTGCCTCGCTATCTTTTTTGGCCTTCTTCTCCTTTATCCACTTTTCTCTTTCGTTTAGTGTGATTCTTGTGTTTCCATAAAATTGTTTGCATAAATAAATTTCTATTCTTAGTTTTTTTATTATTATAACTTCAGTTACCCACCTGTTGCTTGGTGTATATTTTCAACTGAAAATTGTAATTTTAAATAAAGGCGCACCAACACCTTTGTGCGAATGATAGAAGTTCTCTGTAATGGGCTACAGTTTCCCAAAACTATGACACAAGATTTAGCATGTGAGATAATCAGAATTGAATTTCACAAAGTGTATCTTAAGGCAAAGTGCACGGTGTAATTCTATATCAACACATTCGGTTAGAGAATCCTCATAAAAATAATCTTATTTCTTATTATCGATGACAAACCGTCACCAAGACTTCCCAAGTCATTACACGGCTAACGCGTTATAGAATTCAATTACGTAGAAAAACTGGTCGCTAAATTTAATCAGAAACTACAAACCTTTGCTTCCTTTTCCTATTTAGTATTAATTTCGTCATACTGTTATACTCTTCATCATTAAGTTCATGTTCATTTTTAAGTTACAATCTCTCTAATTCCCTTCTTATTGAAGTTGCAGCTTCTTTAATATGGCACGATACTTATTTTCCTTTTAAAATAATAACATCGACAAAACGATTTTAGATGTTTTTTTTTATTCTAATTAGAAAAAAAAAGATATGGTCTATTGTAGCTTGTATATTAGATATAGATGTACTTTTGGTACTTGTAGCTACAAAAAATGGTATTGCACATTCAAGATTAAAAAATATCAAACATATTATTGTTATCAATCAAAGGTTAACTAAGAACTTGACAAACTAAATTTACGATAACATTAAAGAAAATATTTGTACTGAGCACTATGAAATATCCTCGATTCTCCTTGAAACCTAATTTATTCCTCTCTTATCGGGCACGTGTACCCCATTTTGTGCTAAAAAGTTTGTTCAGTACGCGTTGTTGAATTTTATAATTTTTAGGAGATTTAAATAACGGTCCACAGGGATCCATAGCCTTATCGTTTTGTCCGAAACCAATTTTGTAACTATCTACCGTAAAAATGACTATAGTATCTTAGTACCGCACTAATCTATAGTTGCTCCCAAGATGATTCATTCGGTGCTCGATCCTGTGAGCAATATTTTTGATACTAAAGTCTGAGATAAACTATCAAAATACTATACTTATTCAATTCACCAATTATTTCTTCATAATTCCACATTTTGATTTCGTTTCTTATTCATTAATTTTTCCCAAAAGGCGATTCTGTCCATAAACACATTATCCACCATCCGGGTTTCCACGTTATTGTCGATGAAGTATAAATTGGAGTTCTCCAAAGTCGTGGGTTGCCAAATGGGTAACTCGGAATCTGGGGTCGGGTTCCTAAAAACAGTGTACAATTGACTTACCCACAACAATGCGATCAGATTTACCCAGTTCGTGCGAAATTTTCCCAAAGTTTGGTAGTGGTTTTAACAGCTCGTATATCAAGCTCGCTCTTGTGGTAAATTCCATAACGCGTTGTGGTGAAAAAGTTAAGTAGCTCATCGCAATGCGCAACACCTGTCAGAATTGCAGAATTACAAAGTGATCAGGAACATTGCACTATGTTATACCATAATTGTGTTTGTCATTCCCATATTTATCTGCGTACGTTCTGGGTGCACGGTACCCATACAATAACTGGAAAACATTTTCTTTTAAAAACCGTGCGTGCATCTGAGCCGTTGCGTACATGGGGTAGAAAAACCACCAATCCGTAAACATCTAAGGATGTAAGTTAGCGTTAATGTTTTGTTAAACCGGTTACCTTGGTAATTTCCGACGTGTGCTTTGAGTCAATTTCTTGACCATGTACGTAGAACGACCGAATCTTATTCGTCCACGTGAGATCATCGTAGATTAGTGCTAATGGCGCATTCTTTTCAAAATTCTTAGTAAATTGATCAAAAATCTCGCTGTGGTTAAACAAACCTAAAATTACAAATAGGGTAACTCCGTACATGTTTGTTTGTGAATTCACCTCCTGACATTAATAACCCATCTTCGGTTGTTACACTGAGCATGATGGGAACTTTTGCTGCCTTACCCGATGCGATTATGTTTGCAGGGTGATCTGGCAAAAATGAATTTTTGATATTGTGTTCAATGACAGGTCGAAATGGTATTGAAGAATGTTTATGCCACTCCTGAAACTAGAATGTGACTTATGCATGTATTTACACGCACTCACATAAAGTTTTTGAGATGCTTTCGTTATTTCCATTGCAGATGGTGTCTTAAGACACTCTATCATAAGTCTACTGTCAGATAATGCACAATCAAACCGTTCCGCTAAAGTCAATGATTTGTTCCTCGCTCTCTCTTTAGAAGACAACGCCCACGGCGAAAAAGCGGTGCCACTTTGAAGAATGGCCCCGCTAATTAAATCTAAAACAAACTGAAACGTGATACGCTTCCTACGGCCAGAAACAAACCCCTGGTTAGCGGTGACACTGTTTGGAAGTGCGTGCTTGCTCCGCCTGCTGAATTTCCAAAAACGGTGATACGATTAGGATCTCCACCAAAAGCTATGATGTTCTCTTTTACCCACTTTAAAGCTAAAACTTGGTCTTTTAGGCCATTGTTTCCCGGCACTACATCATCTCCCATGCTAATAAACCCAAGTGGACCTAATAGGAACGAATTGTCATCTGTATTGTTCTGAAGTTACAATTTACCTAATCTATAATTATACGTAACCAGAACCAAGTCTTGATCCAAAAGAAACCCTGGTCCGTGCCATTCATCATTGCCGCTTCCAAGCATCCAGCCTCCTCCATGATTATAAAACATTACGGATACTAGACGATCGCCACCCAGTCGTCTCTGTACACAATAATGAATTTCTTTGAGACAGGTAGTAAATTACCTGAGGGGTGTAAACGTTCAGATAAAGACAGTCCTCGTTCCCCGGCACATCCGTAATGTTCAGTAATAATAAGTCCTGAAGACAAATCGATCCATATTTGGTCGCGTCCAGTACATCTTCCCACGGTTCTGCTGGTACCGGTGCCTAAATTAAAAATCTAGGTAACACGATCAGAAAATGAAGTCATCGCACCTCAAATCTTAGTTCTCCAATTGGTGGTTTGGCGTAGGGAATTCCAGTAAATGAGGTAAAACTTTTACCGGTCCATGTCTGTGTTAAAACACCTCTAATCCGTCCTTGTGACACTTTAATTTCTAACGTATTATCGGCGTTTGCCAAAAAAATGTAGATGAAGGATGTGATCTGTAATACGACCAGATACATTTTTATGCTAACTGTAATTTTATCATTCGGTGATTAGTAAAATCAGTGTACTAGAGTACTAATTTTACAGCATTTTTTGGGCGGTAATGAGTTACAATTACAAAGTTATCAGTGGCAGGGGTCGGAAATTGAGACACTTTTTAAGTTCACGATCCTTGTCTAAATAATTGTATAATGCAATCACTTACTCTCTATCTATCTATGATTGTAACTGGCTATTATGTAACGTAAACTTAACTGAAACAGAACGATAACTATACCATCCCTTTCTAACGTCAGCAGAAGTTTATCAAGGTATCAAGTGTAACGCACCATAAACCAAGCGTTTTGAAAGTTGCCATTCAATTTTCATACTTACACATGGAAAACTTTTTTGTTATATTACGAAAAAAGTTATTCTCCATAAACAGTCCTGCATGAACTGAAAAGTAAAATGCAACCACCAGAAATTCTTTCAGTCGTATACCAAGTATGTCAAATAATATGAATCAAGCTCGTTAATTATTATTTAGCACAGTATTCTAGTTAATATATGTAAAATAAATGATTTTGTATCAATAATTCATCATCAAAATGCCACAATTTGGTAAGCTTACAGGTTATCAAATTTTTGTTACCAAAGTCAAGTTAAATAATTTTCTGGCATTTTGCGCAAGCGACAGGCCAAGGGAGGAGAAATCGATCAATATTATTGAAGTACAGAAAGATACTTTCGGTGACCTCTAGTGGCAGAAAAGGGAACTATGAAATGAAATCTATACCAATAATCTAAATAACAACGAATTTTGATATTTGATGGTTGCGTTTTAGGTTTCAAATCATGCAGACTTTTTTATTGAAGGATTTAACTTTTTTTTAAATGTTAATAATAAAAATGTTTCCGCGATGCTGCGAACTTAAGTGAACACACTGTATATTTGGAGTGCGGTACGACCGAGTAAAATTATATGTAGCGCTTCATACGGATGGTCATTGCGAGTAGGTTTTTATTCTTAAGGTATAAACTATCGTATCGATCAGAACGAAGAAATTGATTGATTAACAAAATTGCGTGATAAGTTTCAATTCCGTTTTAAAAGCTTAGAAGACCCATATTTGTCACTAAGGGGCCTTGTTAAGAAGATCCTGGGCCGAGTCCAGTTGCTTGTTGCCACTGAGCCTGGAAAGTAACTTTATAACTGTTTAGCCTTAGTAAGACAGCCCGGAACGCTGCATCGTCTTAATGATTTAGCCATATGGAAGCCTTTGGACCTCTGCCTCCACAATGTAAAACTCTAGTCACAGGAGTACCTCCATGGTCAAAGTTGGCGTGGTTTTCATGGCTCCAGTGACTCCCAGACATGCGGGTTTCTGTACCTTACCCAGCTGTTTCCTGTCCCCGTTCATAATGTTCATAATACGGAGGAGCCCGCCTATTCCTAGGCCTCACAGCAGTGAAGACAACACTCCACCTTGCACGCATCCTCTAGTGACTGAAGTCTCCGTCGGCCCGATTGAGGAAATAATGACCCTGCTTCCGAGCATGGTGCGGTTCCATTTTACAATTGCCCATCAATGCCAAATGGAATCGAATGTGGTGTTGTTAAACGCATCTTCGATATCTGCAACGCTCCCATGCCCTTCTGCAGATGAGCTGAGAATATTCCGTCCGGTTCTGCACACTTAAATGAGCGGAACATGATATAAGAGATCCTTCAATAACCACCCGGGCAGCTACTTTCCATTCATCGGCCTTGCACCGATCCTGGTAGCTCCTCTTGCTGAGTCCGAAGTTCCCTAGTCCTCGGAGCTTGGAAAGTGGGAAAGTGTGTTTCCAGGAGACATTTGGGAGTCTCAGTCGCGGTAAACTTATATCTGCCGCATGTAAGCCTCAGTGTGTCCACTTTTTGCACCGGGTCTTTCAAAAGGTAAAAGCCTACGAAATATTCAAGGTCTGGGTTCCATCCTCGAAAGGTGCGCAGTTCACAGCTGTCCTATGACGATGTTAGATATGGCGCCGCTTACTAATGCGACAGCTCTTCCACCTGCCCTGCTTTCCGACAGACCAAAGGTGGCCCATCCTACCGCTCTGACAGTTTCGACACTGTAATGGAACCGAATTTGAATATTTAAATATTCCCGAACCCGCCCCTGGCGAGACAAAAGAAGTCAAGATTGCGTATTGTTTCGTTTCCGTAGAACACGTGTTTTTTCTTCTGCCCTACATTGAAATGGGCCATAATTTACAATAAAAGTGTCAAATATAACGCTATACGAGGGAACTTAATGATCCCTATCGACCCGACAACGACTCGGAGCACGGTCGATATTAACAATTTTCGTCTAGGATTTGCTTAAAAAGGGAAAATTTAGGGAGAGGTATTTGTGCATTTGTTGAGGGCAGAAGTAATTTTTGCGTTTCGAATAGTGAGTGCAGCTTTGACAATTACAAAGATATTCATTTTTATCTCTATGTCTATTGCATCCATCTAGTAATGATATGATCGTGTTAGATTATTTGCCAATTTAACGGCATTCTCGAACAGCATGAGTATTGCCATTTATAACCCATCCTAAATACAAATTGCCCTTTTATAATTATACTGGTCACAGTTTGAATTATAAATGCATAGAGATTCTACGTAAATGTTGTTTTCCAATTTACAGTACTTTGTTCCTAGCGCTGGTTTTGCCGGCCAACCCGCAATATGAATTACTAACCGATTTACGTGTTTTATTTATACCTATTTAGATACAGTATGTTCCCTTAGGGATAATATTCAATACGAGTATCTCGACGAGTATGCAGATAGGTATTCGTAGATAGTGCTGCATTTGAAAACATCTTTACATGTTATATTACTATGACGTATTGACTCACAAAACGAAGAGAAGGCAAGGTCCTTTCGGGCTAGTAATTACTACAATTACAAAAACCTTCAAAAATGTAATTGCGAGCCTTAGCAACAAGCCTTTTTTTGGAAAAGTACTGACAGGCAGGTACTACCCATTTCTATAACCAACGATAAAGACAGATCTGTGGCAATCCATATATTGAAATGTCAGGGGTGTTGAGAGCACCGTAGCATTTCTCAAATTTTGCATGGATACTCAGCGATTGTGATAACAAAATTGTTGAAGGTAAACTTTGAGATAAAAGGAAAATGAATTTGAACAAAAACATGTTACGAGTTAGTATCTCTTTATTACGTTGTAACATGACAACTAATTGACAGGAGAAGAACTTAGTTCCTGTTCTTTTCAATCCAGTCAGCGTAGGCAGAGACTCTGGTAAAGACGTCGGGTGTCCCTAATGCGCATGGGTTTGCCATTGACGCAATACCAATCTGGACTCCAGACCTAGTGACTAATGGTCCACCGGAATCGCCTTTGCACGCTCCTTGACCAGACCTTGTCAAAGTGCAAACTTGCGTATCGTCAATTGCGAGGTATTCCCAACCAGCAGCATCCCACATACCCCTACACTTGGCAACAGAAACGGTGACCACATCCAGATATTGTAACTCGTTGGCTGCCGGTCCGGGAAATTTCATCATTCCAAACCCGGACAGGACACAGTCGGCACCGCTATCAACATAGTCAACTGCTAGATGTTTTATAGGTTTAACCTTATCACTGAAAACTAGTGGAGTCTTTAACTTTAATAGTCCTATATCGCACTTAACGGACTCCATTGGGTTATACAATTCATGAATTCGGCGTTCAGCGATTTCATACCAATCGCCACTTGGATTAAGCGTATTGGAACCAACGGTGATATCCATACGCATATCTTCAAACCTGCGAAGTAAAAAAGATAAATTCAAATTCATTTTCAATTCCTTTACGTACCCAGACAAACAGTGAGCAGCAGTGAGAATGGTGGTGGCATCAATTATGGATCCTCCGCAGTTATGTTCTCCAGCGACACGTATAGAGACTTGGTAAGGAAAAGCACCGTCAGGTGCGTTTTGGCCGCCAACAACGCGCCAGTCATTGTTTATGGTGGCACCTGCATAGTTTGTTACATGTTAATTGCGATAGTGCATTAAACAGTAACACTTACCAAAAACACTGGTTGAGAGCAGTAACAGTAGAAATCCCGTCATTTCGTCGATCGGATACCAAAGGTAGCCTAACACGCAATTCTGTCGTCTTTTATACCGTCATAAGCACTTTCGGCGCGTCTCGACCATTATCTCAAGTAGTCAAATGGATAATGATCGAGATAAAATTTTCGCCCTCTTAGCATCGTATTGTAGGGATTCTGGAAAAGGCATAGTAACTACAATTTTCCATGGTAGCGAATTAGAATCCATACCCTAACCATTAGCTTGGCCGTCAACAACATCTTCGACCACTTCAGCCATTACACAGTTTAATGAATACAAAAATTTCCGAAATTATCAGATTAGGTTCTAATTTCGTATAAAATCTACGATTTCATATCTACGTTAAAACGATATTTTTTATCTCAGTAATAGACTTTGGTTTGTAGGTTCAATTGTTTTTGCATAATTTCTCTATTACATCACCTCACCTTATACTTTCTCCACATGTTCGAAACGCCCAATTTCATTAACCTTCGTATTTCTTTTCCGCAAACGGAAGGTGGTTTTACATCACAAAAAGCGGTCGGCAGCTTTTGACTGGAAAGTACCATCGATCTAAAATTTTGGTAAATAGCATTCAATGCCTCCTGTACGGCAAAATATCTCTGCCCGCCCGTTTCTTCTTCTGTTAACGTTTTTGGCTATTTCTTGAGGTATAATGCTATTTATTCTGCAACAGGATTGCATAAAAAGGATCTTGAACCTCCCTCCTTTGAAATGACATTAGCGAATTAATTATTTGAACATGAATGTTTGCCCAGAATTTTAAAATGACCTCCCACGAGCCCTATATGAAGTGAATTTTTTATCTGGTAACACTCCGAACAAAAAAATTGCTGTTTTTCCTTATTTACGTGAAACTTTTTTTGTCTCTAAGTTTTTGTCAAATTTTTTTAGTTCGTGGTTTTATCTACTACTAATTTTTACGACCTTCGGTTGAACAAGATAATACACCGTCCATTCAGTGATTGTTGCATAAGCAGAATAAGTTTGTACCTGCAAAATCAAAATGTGAAAACCTACTATAAGGAATATGAAAGGTTGTTGGGGTGGATGAATAGGGAGCATCATTTAAGCAAAGTCTTAAATGTAGAGTTAATGCTGGCATATATGAAGGAAATATCAAAGGTATTTAAATCTTCTGCTCTTTGGTGAATGCATTCAAAACTTCAATCAATATTGTGATTAAATGTGAAACAGATTTTGCGGAATACCTGCTCTAAACCACGTGCATTTGTAAAGGCTCCCAACAAAGGATACGAGCCAAACACCCCTTTTTCATTTGCAGTAAGTCATCTGAGAGGATTTTTTATTTCAGTCCCAGATTTCATATGTCATATTTGAAGTAACGTTACTGTTTTGCTGGTTCAAAATCGTGTTTATTGTTCGACGATTACAAATCAAATCCTAAAATTCACATTCTTTTTCCACAACATAAAATAAAATTAATCTACGCAAGGCAAGGGAAAACCAAATAAAATTAGAGTTTTGTACAGTGACTTACCAAGAGCGATTCTGATGCAGGTATAATAAAAATTACTATTTTACATCAATGAACTTTTTTCCCTTATGATTTAGTATATAAACAGCTCCAAACAGAATAATTTAATTTGTAGGTAATTGAAAATTGGTTAACCTGAACTCTGCCGACGTAATTTTTACACGAAATGTGATATGGGTTTATTCCTTAGCCGAAACTCATTATCTGTTTTTATAGTGCGCACATACAACGAAATAATGTTAATACCTTATCTCGTTTAAACGTAATATTTCATTTCCGGATGAGCCCGTTAATTTATTTGCGCTAAAACTTTATTTTTACAATACGGTAAAGCATGCCGTTAACTCAAAACAGAATGAAGCTTCAGTTTCAGACTGACGTGCTATATCGCAGTTCGAACCGTAATAAATCTTAGAACATGTATTAACTATCTCGTTGCCCAAGAACGAATGCCTTCCAAAAATCTCCCCGTAAGGATTTCTACTATCCTTTGTTATTAACTGCCACCTACAAAATAGCTTCTTATCAATAATTAACTTGTTTTCTGTTTCTTGTTTCTGCACTGCAATTAAATCAAACTTACGTATGACCTGTAACATACCACATTCAGACTCCCTGTAAATTTTCTATGTGGTTGATTTTTTTTTAATTTCGTGGATTTGTTATTCTAAATTTCCAAATGCATTAAGCGCACTTTATTCCTTAAGAGCAAGGCAGGATGTCATGGGATCTTCCCTTCGTCTTTTAATGGCGTAATAAAAAATATCCTTTCAATGTTGCTATATAATCGGAAGCTAAAAAAATTTGCAAATTTTGACTTTCATGGAACCCATGTGTTTTTGAGATGTAATGTCAGTGTCTAGGGAGTAATTTTTTATTGGTAGCTGACCATCTCGCTCCGTCGATTTAGGTTATATATTAAGTGGGAGTGGTTGTGAAATTAATGGGGGGGTGGGGAAAAAGCTAATGTAAATTTATTAAGATGTAATTTCGTTGAGAGCATTTTATTTATTTATTTATTTTGTTTATTTACAAAACGGAACTTGCCCTTTTACATTGCCAGTAAAGTGATTTGTTAAGGCGTTGTCGGACAAATTAATTGGCTTTGTTTCCTAACAACGCTAAGTACAAGATAACGAAGGCAGGTGGTCAATACGGGCGAGGAAGCGGTGTTTCGAGAATCGCCAGCGAAAAACGATATTAAACGGGTGAGGGGAGGTGGCTTGACCTTTAAGTACGAAGAAGAAGAAATAAACGACGCTGTTTAGCCGAAGGCGGATGCCTCGCCGTAATGCTGTTTGCGGGTATATTGAAAAAGCGTATGTCACTATAAATTGGGCTAAATTATTACGGGCAAATGTTCGCCGATTATAGAAGTTTAAGATTTTTTACGCTTGAAGTTTTACTCATGCGTTGGATCTATTTCAGCGATTGGTTTTTTGCCAACATATTCAAAGCTTTATGGTAATGTATTCATTTATACCAGTAATTATTATTTATCACTTACAATTTATAGCATCACTCAAGTACATCGAAGCTGGAACTAACTGAAATACGCTGCAATTTGCTTATACAGTAAACGACAATTGTTCTAGAACGATTCGAAATGTTCTACAACTTCATTCTTCCCGGAAAGATTGCATCACATTCGCCTTCGCTCATATCACCGATGACTAATTTTTTATGGCGCCTCGATGACTATCGGCTTTTCTGGAATATTAGCACAGATTTAAATATACTAAATCTGTGCAATAAGTTTGTGTTTAATTTTGTTAGCAGGCAAGTTCCGAAATCAAGTGATAAATCTTATTTTCAGGGAGAACGGAAAGAACTCTCATTAACTCTTCATCATAAAATTTGTTAAGAGCTAGCCGTAAGTCAATTGAATATCTATCAAGTTCACTTTAGTTAGTTTGATATTTTAATTCAAAGAAGGGAGGATCAATCCATTTATTGCAAAAAGCCTATTGCACTTTTGTGACAATGGACATCCATCGTCTGTCCAACGTACACAAATAGACCCACAACGGACATCCATTTGTACATAGACGGACATCAGTCATGGTCCATGGGTCTACTTTGTGCTATATGGGTTCAAAAATTTTGGAGATCGAGATGCGCTACATCACATCATGGAAGATTAATGATAAAGACGGTCAAGGTGGTACCAAAATCAATGCAATACCGATTTGCCACCGTTGGGCAAATATGGTTTTTTCCTAAAGCACCAAGGTTTTGCAACTGCCTTATTACAATAAAATTGTGAATATTATTTTTTTATGTTTCGGACACAAAAAGTCGTTCGTTTGGAAAAGGTTCTAAACAAGGAACAAAGGTCTTTTCTTTAACGGATTCAGAACTTATTTGGCCCGTATGAATAAAAGTAAGCAAATGCTTATACTTACAAAATTCAAAGTAAATTGTGTATTATTGACCCTCTACAAGATGGCATGCGTGATTGGGAGTGGGAAAAAGTTTTACTGTTAAGGGTATAACACTTTAATGATTAACTCGTTACAACCCCTACTAATATGTGCTTCTACTGATCTTGAGATGCTGCCAATCTACAGGCAAGTCCATATTACAGTCAATATAGGTACCCTTAACTAGTAAAAGCAATTATCTCTATTATCAAATAGATCTATACTAAAGGCCTCTTATCGTAATTGGATGCAATATCTTCCCAGAATGATATTCTATCAGATAGTGCATTTTTTACAGTTCTTCCATCGAAATTGTTATCTATGTGATAGTAGGTCAAATTATTCATGTCGATCGGATCCCACGGTGAGAACTCATAGTTTGGTGTAGGATTGCTAAAACCGTTGACCATTAACGAACAATCAATAGTTATAACCGATTTACCCAGTTTTTGCAAAGTTTGCCCATAACTTTGTTATCCCTTTGACGGCTTTCATTTCTAATTCACTTTCATGGTAAACGCCGTATAAATTGGTTTTGAAAAGATACAATAATTCATCGCAATGGCATACACCTGTTGGAGTTGCCTGTATCAATGGAAGCACATTATTTATGGGTAAGTACCGTAATTGTGTAAGGGATCCCCGTACAAGTCTCCATAGGATCTTGCTCCACGATAATCAAACATCAGTTGGTAAACCGGCGTTTTTGCATATTTCAGGTGCATGTCTGTCAATATATGAATTGGATAGACTACGAGTATGTCGGTACCAATCTAAAATTTCAAATGCGTGACCAAGTAATCATCAAGATCTACCTATACGTTAATAATTTGCAACGCTTTTTTCAAACTGACATTCTCGTTTCCTAAGTAAAATGATCGAATCTTTTTTGTAATGTCAGAATACTTTTTGTAGTCGCGGTATAAAAACGTGGTGGGTCCCAGCTCTTCAAACCCTTCAGTAAATTCTCTTGTAAGCTTACTATTATTAAAAATGTCTAAAAATTAGTGTCAGTTGTAGTGTTCTTGTAATGGAATTTTTAGGTACCTACATCCTGTAAATAATATGCCTTCCCCCGAAGTGAAACTGAACAACACTGGAACCTTTGCCGATTTACCCGATCTCATTAAATTTTCAGGCGTATCCGGCAGAAATGCGTTGGCCGATTCACCTTCAACTACAGGTTTAAATGCTATTACTGGTGCCGTTGCCCATTCCTGAGAAATCAAGTTACCAAGTGTATGCAAGAAAGTAATTTGCTAACGTAAAGTCTTGAAGATGCTTGCACGATGTCAACTGCGCTGATTTTTCTAAGGCATTCCACCACATGCTTGCTTTCAGTAGACGCACAACCTAAGTTGTTGGCGAGCGCAAGTGTTTTGTTTCTTGCTTCCTCCTTAGGCGTTAGTGCCCACGGAGCGAAAGCCGAACCACTTTGGATGATGGCCCCACTAACGAAATCTACATAAACGCTATAGTAAAATATGAGAGGTGGAATTGTTTTTACCTCGTGTAAGAGGCGACATCATTTGAAAATGTGAGCTCGCAGCGCCAGCGGAGTTTCCAAAAACTGTAATTCAGTTAGGGTCACCACCAAAGTAAACGATGTTATCCCTGACCCATTTCAAAGCTAAAACCTGGTCCTTAAGTCCATTATTACCAGGAACAACTTCATCTCCAGTGCTGAGAAACCCTAAGGGACCTAAAAGAGACATGGGAATCGTAGAAAGAGGATGTACACGCACCTAATCTGTAATTGTAGGTAATTAATACAATGTCTTCGTCTAAAAGGAAATCTGGTCCACAAAATGCATCGTCTCCGCTGCCGGCCATCCACCCACCACCATGTGTGAAAAACATGACATGGTAGGAGATCACTGCTATCTTGACGTATCTATGAGCATATTGTAAGGATAACCATAGAAAATGTAGAAATCATACTTGTGGCGTGTAGACGTTAATATAAAGGCAATCTTCACTGCCGGACACCTCCAAAACATTCATTAACACATTGTCCTGTGCACACATGGACTTGTACGTCGTCGCGTCCAGCACGTTTTCCCATGATTCCGCTGGTAATGGAGGCTAGAAACACGATCCTTTCAAAATGAACTATTACCAATGGCTTTACCTTAATCTTAAATCTTAAACTACCAATCGGTGGTTGCGCGTATGGTATTCCAGTAAATGAAACGAAATCTTTGCCTGTCCATGTCTTCTTAAGCGATCCGTCAAGTGCACCGTGAGGTATGGTAACCCTCAAGAAGTATTCTTTCGCCCTTATTCCTATGAAAAAGGAATAAATCAATAGGAAATGAGTGGACCGCATTTCTCTTGGCACGTTTGTTTATTGCTAACCAAAATTTAATCAATTTTATCCTTTGACCCGTCCATGATAGTTCTTATTGAGTAAGACGAAGAGATAATTGACTTAATGAACGCTGCTAATCGAATCTAAATGTTTTTTGGTGGTGGGCCAGATGGCCTTGATACAGTGTCACCCACCACGGGCCAGTCCAACGAATCTCTGCACGAATCGACGTGTTTGAATATACGTCATGAGTTGCTTTACGTTCCGAGGCGTAACCATTTGACTGATGGCGGCCGTTTTTTCTGGAGTCCATGGGGCGTAATGATGTGCCCCAGGTATTTAACCTGTTGGCAGGCGAAGTGGCATTTTTGCCGGCGAGCGCGAAATTTGAACTGGTCAAGTCGCCGAAATACCTGCTCCAGACTCATAAGGTGCTGTTTGGTGTTCTTGGTAGAGCTATTAAATCGTTCAGGTAAGCTATAGGAGAGGCACTTCCGGTATCCCGGTGCGCAAGCGGTGAATGAGCCTCTGGAAACTGACTGGGACCCAAAGGGCATTGGTTTGAAGTGGTACAGCCCAAATCACGCCTCTGGGAAGGCTATGAAGGTAGTATGTATGATGCTGTTCTGGAGTCGGACGGGTACGGTGGTGGACAGAACGTTTCCTATCCTACCATCTGCCATGGTCAGGTTCACTTGTTTTACATGGACCGGGCAGTTCTTGGCTGGTAGGTGGACATACAGAGGGTGGTACCTGTGAGACTTTGGCGAGTACCTGTGTCTGCCACCGTTCAATCTCTATTTGTACAGGGTGGCCAAATACGAATGCGAGGTACTGTATCTTGCGGTAAAAAAATTTATTACTAAAACGGCCACGAGAAAAAGTTGGAAAATATTTTTAAGTTTCTGCAATGGCCGCTAGGGGGCGTAACTGCAATCTGGAATCTAAAAAAGTGATTTTTCTGTGAATTCCGCTGTACTAACCTAACAAAAAAATGTCCGGTCTTTGAAGTTGACCATAATCTGAACCTTTTTTGTTTGACAATTTTTCTGTATCTCTAAAAATGAAGTGGTGGGGGGTATTCAAAGGTTTCCGTAAAGAACACCCTGTATGTTCGAATCGACTGAGCCGAGTTTAACAAACTCGGGGTAATTGAAAAGAGTTATTTTTCGGCTACAAATATTATAATATTAATTGAAGTTTTGTTAGTTTCACATATCGCCGCTTGAGGGCTTTTTTCGACATTCTGACAGAAATGGTTAATTTTCTCAAAAAAATTAAATGCGTTGGTTTGATTTTTTTTCATGAAAAAGTAGCTAAATGATGCCTAAACAAGCTCGCGAAAACCGCATCTTGATATCTTGTTCCTAACCTAAAATGTAGGCTAAAGAAAATTTTATACCCTCAAAATTTAATTTTTTGAAGCTAATTTTTCCGGAATTATTTTTATTATATAATTTGTGCTTTTAATGCCACCGTAAATGCTCGAAATGCCGACCATCACGATATATATCTATCTATGTCATATACCTACTCGTATATATCTCAAGATATCGAGATGCTGTTTTCGCGAGCTTGTTTAGGCATCATTTAGCTACTTTTTCATGAAAAAAAATCGAACCAATGCATTTAATTTTTTTGAGAAAATTAACCATTTCTGTTGGAATGTCGAAAAAAGCCCTCAAGCGGTGATATGTGAAACTAACAAAACTTCAAATAGTATAATATTTGTAGCTGAAGAATAGCTCTTTTCAATTAACCCGAGTTTGTTTAAATCGGCTCAGCCGTTTCGAAGATACAGGGTGTTCTTTACGGAAACCTTTAAATACCCCCCACCACTTCATTTTTAGTGATACAGGAAAAATTGTCAAAACAAAAATTGTTCAGATTATCGTCTTCAAAAACCGGACATTTTTTTGTTAGGTTAATATAGCGGAATTCCCAGAAACATCACTTTCTTAGATTCCAGATTGCAGTTACACCCCCTAGCGGTCATTTCAGAAACTTAAAAATATTTTCCAGGTTTTGCTCGTGGCCGTTTTAGTAATAAATTTTTTTACTACAAGCCTCTGCGATGGATAGATTCTCAGATACAGTACCTCGCATTCTTAGTTGGCCACCCTGTACAATGGGCGAGGAAAAAGTGGAGATCCTCTGGCTGACGGCCTTTTTTGCACACTGCAATTACTGCGAATTACTCCCATTTCTTCGCAGTCGTAACAAGCGAGGCCGTTGATGCCGGGGGCCTTGATGAATACCACGCTTGGGGCCGGCTTCCTGACTTACGTCTCCGGCACCTTCTCGGGAATGCCTGGTAAAATGGCGGTAGGCATCTTCCATCTTTCGGACACCCTGGCGAGGTTTTTAAGCAGTTTGACCTGTGGTCGAGGTACTGTGCGGCGTATTCGGAGGTAGAGCAACCCGTAAACCATGCTCGCCTAGAATTATTTCCCCGGGCGTTGGTTTTCTGGGATTTCATCAGCGACAAGAGCTGTCCTCTCTGTTCCATCTCTCTCCTCCTGCTCCATGGATAGGATGGTGCGGTTTATCGGAGGAAAGTACTCTCAAAGGCAAAATGAATCAACTGGACGAGACATGTCTATTGGTGAAGTGGAAGAAAATACCTTGACAAGTAAGTGTCGGAAGAGGGTACTCATAAAAGGCGAGTGGAACATCAGGGCGAGAGCTAAGCACGGATGTCTAACTAATTAGCGAAAGTATAAGTGATTACGTATCATCAATGGTGTGAAAACTGCACATTTGGATATCTCCAATACGAAGTGTCGAAAGAGAGTACTCTCAAAGGAGGAACAATGAAATGTCTGAACGAGAGGTGTCTGTCTGAGAAGTAAAAACCTCATCCAGATATCATGAAAAAGGGAACGCCAACGAAATGGATATAAGTCCTGAAGAAGACGTCAGAGCATGTACCCAAACAATCCAGCTTATACTGACCTTGTTGGAATAATGTATAAAATTCATTGGTGGGTTTTGCTTAGTCTTTAGAAGACTGCGCCGTAGTTTGGCGAACTTTAAGCACTATCGCACTAATTCACATGAGTAAAAACTTGGAATTTTACTTTTTTGCATGTACCACAAATATGTTATAATCAAGAACGTACAGTAAGTCATCATTATAGCTAATACGAGTAAACAATTCTTTGAGATGGTCCTCCAGAAAGTCTTCCTGAAAGTCTTTCGGTATCTTATCCATGACAGGGATGATTGATGCGACGAATGCTAAAAAGTTTCCTTTTTTGTAGAAGAAATATCAAGATTATGCCACTACCTTTAATCTCCACGTCTGACATACTCAAAGAAATCTTGCTTAAACTGCATTCCTGTGTCTTAAACCCAACGCCGCTTAGAAAATTGGAAAAACTTTCTTGGGGTCTTTGAAATCTGCTATAGGGCGTTCTTACAAAGTCATCTTCTGTAATAAATGCGGACCAGCGTGGACGATTCCAAACCTTTTTGTACACGTCGTAGAGAACGCAGCTTGCTGGAAATAGAAGTAGAGCATCCCCACCAGGTTTCATCATATTCAGTATATTAATGTACGTTTGCCTACAATTAAAACTGCAACGTTAGTTTTGGCACACGATAGACTTACTCTTCATCTTTAACGAAATGCAGAGCCCAAAATGAAAAGACGTAATCGAACGAGTGCAAAAACTCCTCGGGCACCTCCTTTTTCTCTATGTTTAATTGCCTAAAATTAATTAGCTCATTTCCGTAGTGCTGGTTGGCATGATTGACCATTTTTTCCGACTGATCAATACCTATCAGTTGACCAACCTGATGACGCAGAGGAAGATAGATGTTATTGTAAGTGAAATGTCCGGGTCCCGCTCCAATATCTAAAATAGTCTTCTTTCCATGATCTCCATTTATAAATCTGTGTAAATAATCTCCCAACACTGATAATGTGTATTGATCTAAAATCTTCGTTCCGATTTGCAGGTACAGTTCTGGATTATTCATATTTGTCGATAACGTTAGAGGCGCACATACGAATGTTCATAACTTTACGTCAGCCCGATATTTATTCATATCTCCGATTGCGAAAATTTAACGAATTACGATGATAATTAGATTATCAGAATTTGTGCAATAATTATTTGCACATATCCAGTAGGAAGCCGTTGACTGCAAACTGGTCGCTTACTACTAAAATTTGACACCCAAAATATCTTGTTGAAGTAAAAATTTCACTCTTAAGTCCAAATACGCAATCCCTTACTTCAATGCCCATTAAACAGTTTTTGAAAAAAATTGGAAGGGAGGTCAAAAAGGTTACCTGATGTCACCACTTTTGGGGATCGTATGGTAAATCGATAAACTTTAACAGTTAATTTACTAGATAAGGAATAATTTTTGATTACGAACCACAGCAAAATATTAGCATTTTGCTTTCTCATGGTGGCAATAGCGTATTATTATTATAATTATTTTCTAGGCGTCTTGCAAAATCCGTCATTTTACAAAATTCCTAGTCATTTCGTGAATCGTTGACAATGTGATATGTGGGGTAGTGTCCCTATCCCTTCTAGATCGATAAAGGATGCTATTTATTGCTCTCGGAAGGGAAGGGAGCCCAATTAGTTAGCTCTGGGAAGTACACTGTGGCACAGTTTGCCCGCGTTTTATAAACCGCCCAGGTGTTTTTAAAAATGGCGGATTTTACAAAATGTCTACAGCACATATATCTTCAAATCCTTAAATTTAAATTCTTTTCCTAACTTTCAAAGCGACACATACATAAACCCCCATAAACCCAAATCACCCTCGATACGATATAGGCAAGTCATGCCCAACCGAGGTGCTGGGATTAAGATCTCGACGTCTTAACAATAACATTTTTTTAAGGACAAGGATAGGCGCAGAACAGGTGAGAGATTGAGAAGGGATTTAATTTCAAGGATGGGTACGAAAAAAGGCGACATCTAACGCAGGAATTTTACGACACATAGAGATCCTTGTCCTAATCTTGATAAAGCTAAAAGGGTAATGAAATTATGAATGTTAAATGTAAAAAATATCTGATATTTCAGAGAATGATTGAAATCGATGACAATTTAATTCAGAATTTTATTGTAAAATATAACAAATGGTTTCCAAACTAAATAATAGTTGAAGATATATGAGTCTTACTCAAAATCAAAATTTAAATTCAGTAAGTAATTTACAAAAAGGGAACAATTCGTTAGAAAATAGTTATCGAAATATAATAACGTAGTTCAAATTATTTAAATGACTATCACAAAAAATACATTAATTACGGTTCGGACGTATCGATAACCAAGACGCAATTAACGGTTATCTCACTGATTTTCGACTAAATAAAATATGACCTTTGAACCAACAGATCGCAGCCCTATCCGAGCTCAGAAGGGCGCTTTCTGCCAATAATCTCCAATCAGATTAAAGCACAACACAAAGCAATAAAGGGTTAGTGCAGAGCCTACTATAACTACCATAGTAGGCTCTGGTTAGTGATAGTGCGGCATATAAAGTACGAGAATAAATCAACGTTTGTCACGGCGGGTAATTAGAATACTGAAAAACCATAATTACACATTAAATGGAAAGCATTAATTCAGTTTACGTTAAAGAACAAAAACAAAATCGCAAATCGGCAATAAATAAAACTAAACGTCAAGTAACTTCATAAATTAATTTGTAATACACAATTAACTAAATCGTAAAGATCGAAATATTCAGGGTAGAAAAGCAAAGATGACAGGAGAAGAGAAGACAAATCCCTAAAAGAATATGCATGTTAAAATAATTTCGCGTCCTCATCTGGTACATACCCCACGTCGTAAATCACTAGTAAATATAAATCCACTAAAACGTATTCGATGGAGAAAGCCAACCACTACACCAGAAAGAGAAAAAAAACCAAAGAACATATTATAATATATCCGATACAAATCCATTTTCAGGTTGTCATCTGTCAAGGAAAAGATCTATAAAGGAACAAACAATTAGCACCCGAAGGACCAAGAAAACATCGATAATGAGAGAAAATTACAGAAAGGTAGGTAATTCAGATGACCTTTAGCGGAAGAATAAGAAACTATAAAATAAAAACTTTACCAAATACAACGAGAAATATACGTATGACATAAAATCTGTTACTTAAATGGAAAAAAAACTTTGAATTCTTAGAATTTTTCAAATCTTTAAGAATGTTGGGATTCTCCAGATTTTCTGGATCATTCAAATGCTTCAGTTTTTTGGACTTCATCGGTTCTTCGAATTTTCCAACTTTCTCACGTTCTTCAGACTTTTTCGATGCTTCGTATGTTTCGGTTTTCCGATTTTTTGAGACTTCTACGATTCTTCGCGTTGTTTAAACAAGTTTCATTTTGAGATTGTATGCATTATACACGGATTTTCCGGGTCCTTTCGATTCGTCCCACTCTTTGGGTTATTCGAACCCAAAAATGTATCGTTTTTTCGAACTCTTTCAAATCTGCTCCTTGTGTTTTTTGAATCCTTCAGATTCCTTAGATGCGCCAGAGTGTTAATTTTTTCCGGATTGTTCTATTTCTTAATGATTCTTTTATTTCTTTTGATTTTTGAGATTTTTTATTTCTCAGATCCTTAAAGTGCTTCAGATTCTTCCGTTTGCGCGAATACATTCCACAAATTCATCAGTTTCTTCAGATTCTTCAGAATTTTCAATTTCCTCCCTATTTCGTTAGAGTCTACGGACCATTTAGATTTTTTATATGCTTCGTATTTTAAAAACCTTTCGATTTTTGTATACTCCTAATTTTTCGGATACTTCAAATTCTCTCATTTTTTTAATCTCACCATTTCTTCGACCACCTTCAATCCTTGTTTATCTTTCGAAGTTTTAATTCTTCATACTGAACAGACTCTTCAGGTTTTTGACATTCATAGGATTGTTTTTCAGATTTTTCAACACCCTTGCGTTCGTTCAATGTTTCAAATTCTTTCAATCCTTTACATTCTTTCGTTTGTTCGAATTCTTGAGATTTTTCATTCGATTCTTCAATTTTTCCATGGCCATCATAATTTCAATGTTGAATTAAATTACAAAAAGGAACAAAAAGGTATGACATAACCTTGCATTTTTTTTCCAATAAGCTTAATTCCGTCCCTGATAATTTTAGGTAGGTTTTTAATGTGACTAATTCCTGGACGCTACTTTTTAAATGTTGAACCATACCATATGTAGCTTTGTAAGTGGTCTTCGAACGTTCTTTGTATTATTATTAATCGCATTTAATAAATCTCTAGAGAATCAAGTAAAAGCAGCAACAGTTAGATTCACAGTCTAGTAGCCTAGCAAATTATTATTCGCAGATAACTATTTTTCAGGTGTTATTTATTGTTGACTATTTTGTAAATTTGAAAAGCTAAGCTAATGGACCCTACTAACAAAAATGGTCTTTAATTAACAAATTGTCTTAATTTTTTACAACTCGTCTCTGATTCTCATCCTTCTACTGTCCAGAGGAAGACTTCTCCAGAACTCCGCCCGCTTTGCGAACATATCCTTCTTCAACTCCACCTTCGTCCCCGACTGAATGTAATAATAATTCAGTTTGTCCTTCTTCATCGATTCCCATTTAACGGGTATTGTCGAATCTTCCGACGGTGTTGGATTGCTGAAATTATATGTGCAGCAAGTGACGAAAGCATGAATAGGTCTAACCCGTATGTTGCGAAATTTGTCCAGAGACTGACCATTAGCTGGCTGGTCTCTTTGTCCGCTTCACTCGGGGTGTAATTTGGGAAGTCCAAGTCGTTTTTGAAAAGATAAAGAAGCTCGTCCTTGTGCGCAACCCCTGAAGTGGGGGTGATTAAATTCGGGATTTGTTTTACTACTTACCGTAGTTTTTCGTGTAATTTAAAGTATTGGTGTAGCTTTCTGTACCGCGGTACCCAAACAAGTACTTATAAATCGGTTTCTCGTAGTACTTCAAGTGAAGGTCGAAACTGGAGCGCATACCTTCCAAATAGAGGCCATCCGTAAACATCTAAAGCTACAGTAGAAAGATCCGGGAAGGTTGTGGTGCAAACTTACGTTAGTAAAAGCTTTTCGGGAATTTTCACCTATTTCGGAGTCGCCAAAGTAGAACTCTTTAATTGACTGTCCAATGATTGTTCTGTCCTTGACTATAGCGCTTTCTCCATAATGCAGCTCGTGAGATGCCACTTCTTCAAACTGTTCCTCCCACCGTTTTAGTGTTGCTGCGTCGTTGAGTGTCTCTAAAAGTTACCCTGTTTCAGGTTTGAAAAGCGGTGGGGGTGTACTTACTGGCCGCATCGATCGCGCCACTTTCTGTTGTAATGCCTATCATGACTGGGACCTTAGCGGCCTCGCCATCACGTACTATATTTATTGGATCCTTTGGTAAAAATTTAGGGTCTTTTGCCAATTCTATTAGTGGTTTGAATATTTGGTAATGGCCCGATTCCTGGAAAAAATTCAATCGGATCGGGTACTTTCGTAAGGATACTATACCGTGATGGCTTTGGTCGCATTAATAATGTCACTCCCTGCGACAGTTTTTAAACATTTCACCAACTCTTCATAGCTAGCCCTGGTAGGACATCCAACAAATCCCGCCATTACTTTGCAACGTATTCCTACCACTTGGATTGGAGCTAGCGCCCAAGAATTGAACGCGGTGCCGCTCTGGGCGATAACCCCACTGATCAAGTCTAAAAACCATCATAAAGCGCATATTTCCACAATACAACCCCATACCTCTACTCAAAGGCGAAAGCATGTGGTAATGTGCACATGCTGCCCCCGCTCCGTTACCAAAAACGGTAATTTTCTCCGGATTGCCTCCGAAGTGCATTATATTTTGATTGACCCATTTCAAAGCAAATGCCTGATCTTTTAAACCTAAATTTCCGGAAATTGTACCGTCCTCGGTTAGGAAAAAACCAAGAGCACCTAAAAGTGCACGTTTAGTACCGCTATAATTGGCGGAGAACTAACCCAATCGATATCCCACCGTTACCAGGACGACGTCTTTGTCGAGAAGAAGTTCAGGTCCGTATTTGGCTTTGTTAGGGTTTCCGTAATCGAAATCCTCACCGTCAATGTAAAACATGACAGGTAGACGCTTTTGTTCATCTTCCGAAATCTGCGATCTTACTTTTAGTACATTACTACGATTAGATAAGGAAGTTTACCTGAGGAGTGTAAATATTTAAATAGAGACAATCCTCGTCCCCGATAACGGTTTCTCTTGCACTTTTTGCGTTAAACTGTAGGCAGACGTTGTGGGGCCGAGTGGCGTCTAGGATTCCACTCCACGGCTTCGCGGTGGTAGGTCTCTATAACTCAGTGTAAGAAATTGGAAGGTTGAGAGACATTTACCTCGTATCTATACCATCCAACGGGAGGCCTCGCGTATGGTACACCCGTGAAATAGTAGTAAGTGCGACCAGTTTGCGTTTTACCTTCTCCTCCTTGTAGCTCTCCCTGCTTAATTTTAACAATTGGTCCAGCACCAAATACAAAAACAACGCACACGCTGAGCAGCACAAATATTGACAAATTCAACATTTTCTATGTAAAACGCTACGAATCACTACACTTTTCTGACTTTCGTTTTATAGTGATAACGTGTGAGGGTACTTCAGATAAGCTACAGTATTTGGAAAGAACGTATAAAAATTTGACACGTAGATCTACTAGTGCTTGTTAACGGTTAATTGTGGTCATTCAACTCGGATGACCGTGAATCTGAAAATAATTGATTTTTGAGTTCTGGATTTAGGGAGGTGCGTGAACAGATGGCCACATGCACTTAGACTTCAGTTTCACCGTTTCTACGTCAGTCCCGATCCTTAGAACACTAACCTATCATACTCGAGACGAACTTGGGGTCGCTTACAGAGATGGGGTTGTTTCTTGCATCCCCAGTATGATTCAGCCCAGAAGTTGTACCGAACTTCCACTATTTCGGGCAAAACATGAGGTAAATGCCCTTTCTTTTTCTTAAGGTGAAAATTGCAACCAGAAAACTGTATCATAATCAATACCAAATTAACGTTAATTATGCCGGCGACTAGCTCAATCGGTCCTCTTTTTTACTTTACCTGTCCTATTTGGGTTTGCTTTACGTGTCTCCTCTAGCTGAAATTGTTACCACGAAAGGTGTTGTTTGAAATTTGTGCGGTTCAACACAATGACAACAACGAAAATAATGAAGTTTAGTATATTGATGAAAATAATCACGAAAAATATTGAGGACATTTAAGGATGCATCTCCATCAGTACTTTGCTGTTTATAAAATGGTCTAATAATAATAAAAAAAAAATAGAATTATTTAGGCGTTAAAAAGCCTCCGTACCAACCAAACGCTAAGCTCTCGTACTGACTCTTCGGGTGCCAAAACAAGAGACTCTCTTGATTTCATGCAAATCTCATCCCCACTCTGTATACTAAGCTGATATAAAACGCCTATTTCATGGTAGAAAGCAATGGCGGCGATATTTCGTTAATTTTGATTGGTTTGCCAAACTCAAAAGTTGTCTACATCAACGCTGATACAACAGAAATATACTTATTTCTTTCCCAAGGAAGCTTAATTTGCAGTGTAAGAAATGAAACATTATATGACCTCTTTTTATCGTGTAAAAGGAAACAATTTCCCGGCAAATGTAATAAAGCTCGCTAAAATATACTTGACAAAGTAAAGACTTGATCATGACATGATGAATATTTATTTGGTTCCTTGTGATTGAAAACTTGACCGTCTTTAAACTTTTCCTTTCGCATATTTCATTGGAATGAATTCGAAAAAAAATTACGTAAAGTCGGCCCCCTCGTTACAGTGTTCATGTTAAAATCGATTGTCACAAACAGAATCACCTACTAAGAAATTATATTAGAGGACCTCCCCTTTTCGTATTGCTTATGCAACGTTCGGCCGCGGGCTAGTGTTTTAAAGGATGGATCATTATAAAACCGGAAAATTTGGGGAAACACGGACTTCTTTGTGTTTTTTTTCTCGAGCGTAAGGAAAAATTGGCTTTTGGGAGAATTTGGATTTCTCGCGTTTTTACTGAAAAAAACCTATAGAAGTATATTTAGGTGAAAACTGACCACTTAAACGTTAGAAGTCGCTAATAAACCTTTGCTTTTAAACAAAATAACTTTCATTAAATAAATGAAAAGGACACAAATAAAATACTTCATCGGAACGAAATTCCTCTTTGAAACAAAAGACCGTTAATTAAAAAAAAATTCTTCCGCCTTCTTCTTGGTGACGTTACCACTAAAGGCATATCTCAAATACGATTTGTCGAAGGAGAGCACTCACAAAGTGAACCATCTGGACGCGACATATCTATTGCTGAACTCGAAGCGAATACCTTCAACACCAAGTGTCGGAAGAGGGTACTGCTACTCATACAGGCCAGGTGGAACGTCTGGACGAGACACATGTGCTGGTGGTGTCCAGACCTTCAGTGCATATCTGCAGAACGGAGTTATTCTTGTTTGTAATCACTTTTTTTACTTCAGAATGAAACAAAATCTCGATGGTCGGTCGGTCTGTCTGTAGGTACTCCAATTTCCCGATAAAAGGCTAAACCGATTGAAACCAAATTTCGTTCACGTATTCTTAGGCATAAAAGGTAGATCGGAAAAGCTTTTGAGCAGAATGGCACATGTGCAGATCTGTCCTAGTCGCGCAAATTTTTCATTCTTCGACAACTTCGTTCCAATGGACCAGTGGAACATCTCTAGGACGGTATTGATAAGTTTTTAGTGCATTTTCCAGCTCATCTTGGAAGGCGCTATTATGGCCACTTTCTCCGCTCGTCCGTCCGTCCTAGGCCTTTAACTACTGCTGTAGTTTTCAAGATATTTAGTACGCGTAGTCGGGTCCAATATGAGACCAACTTTTTAGTCGTTTGAGGAGATCTCTGCCCTACAACGGCGTTTATTACGTTCAAGGTAAGATTGTTTTTATATTATTACTTTTACCTTCATCATTGATCATTGATTTTTGTGAAATTCTGCACATTAACTTACTCGATCATTATTGAGTTAGGGGATTCTTTGGGGTTTAAGTTCAATTTTAACGTGATTTCCAACCCTGATCTAACTACCAGTGTATGCTGCGGGGTTTGAGTAAAAACAGCCCAAGCTACTGTTATAAGATCCCTTGTCCGTGTTACGTTTGCAATAATATTTTAAATCCATCACCTGGTATCCGAGGTTGACTATTCTTATTTAAAGCAAAGAAGAAACCGTCCGTTCAATTGATTTTATAAATGTTACACCATTTAGTCTCCAGTCCACTTGATTGGAAACAAACTAATAATTTCAAGTAAGCTTCTTTTATGAATTGCTCCAAATCCGTGGTGCGTCTGCTAATAGATCCGTTTCACATACAGCAGTAGTGTCATTTTTAATGTGATAAAAGTGCTGCTTGTTCCCTTCGAATGTTTTCCAGTGTACGGACAGCAACTTGTCTTCGTTCGGTGTGGGCTCGCTGAAAACAAAAGGTGAACATTTTAACCGCAAGCTTGCTCCTACCCATATTTGGCGAAGTCGGTCCACAACGTCGTCAAAAGTTCAATCATCTTTTTATCAGACCACGTAGGGACGTAACCAGGAAACAGTACCGTATTGTTGAAGAGGTACGGAAGCTCGTCTCCGTGCGTTACCACTAAATAAACTGATGTTCATAACTAACAAGTGAAGAGGATTATTACCAAACTGTTGGTCTATTTTGTAACGTTTAGCAAATGTCTCCGAACCTTGATATTCAAAGAGATAGTAATAAACCTGAGAGGAATGCGTGGAGTGGATTTGAATGCTCTCATAAGCTGCTTCTAGAAACACTACATCGGTGCACATCTACAAGTTTGGTTAGTAACACGAAGGAGGATATGACAACTTACTTTAATGAGTAGTTCTAATGACGAGAAGTTTTCTGGGTCTGTACCCAAGTAATGGTCTCTAATTGACTTGGTAACATTTGGGGCTTTCAAGTACCATAAAAACAATGGCAATGTCTTCTCGAGGTATTCTTGGCGGTTTGTAGCTGGCATACCTGCTAATATATCTGAAAACAAAATGTATAAATGATGTTGTCCCTGTACACGGCAATTCCGGTCACCCGAGCGGATTAGATTATACAAAAAAGTGAATAGCGTACCTGGAACAAACATCGCTCCATCTTGTGCTGTTGCCCCTGTTATAAAAGGTACCCTTGCCACCTTCCCCGATTTGGCAATATTCGTGGGAGCATCTGATAAGAAAGCTCCAGTTGCATTCACTTCAATGGTCGGTCGGAAGTAAATGAGCCGAGTTCCGATGTTTTCCTAAGCAATTTTTACAAATAATTATGGGAAAACGCACTTAAGTAATACATGCAAACTGATCGCAGCTTTTAGTATATCCGTTCCTTTGAGCACTTTTAGACAGTTTATCAGATCTTTACTTGTTCCTCTTTTACACCCGGCAATTTCCGCTAAGGTTAAAGAGTGGTTTCGTAGTTCTTTTGAGGGAGCTAGCGCCCATCGAGAGAATGCGGTTCCACTTTGGGCTATAACTCCGTGAATTAAATCTGAAATAGGCAAATGAGTGTGTGTCTTAGCAGTGTTCAACCACAAATTTCTCCCAGCGGTATAGGAGCTGTTAGAAAAAATACCTTTACTCAAATTTGAGAACATATGCAAGTGAGCGCTGGCGGCACCAGCAGAGTGTCCGAATACCGTAACTTTCTTTGGATTACCACCGAAATGTTTGATGTTATTCGCTACCCATTCAAGTGCTAACGCCTGATCCTTTAACCCCATGTTTCCTGGTACGACTTCGTCGCCGGTACTAAAAAATCCGAGAGGACCTGCACCAGGTTATAAGTAATTGCAGGTATCAAATCACCTAGGCGATAGTTTGCTGTCACCAAGACTATGTCTTTGTCCATCAGAAGCTCAGGCCCGACTTCTTCGCGTTGGGCTGTACCCTCAAAGAAGCCCCCGCCGTGAATGTAGAACATAACGGGTAGCAATTCGACATCAGTTGATGAAGGCTGCAAAAGAGAACGGAATAGCTAATTACGATGTGTGACGAAATCGTCAACAAGAATGCTGATAAACAATTATTGGAATGACACGTACAACTTGTGGGGTATACACATTCAGGTACAAGCAATCTTCGTCTCCATCTTGCTGCGGCCCGAAAAGCCCAATATATTGCAAACACTTAGCATGTGAACGTGTGGCATCGTAGATTCCTTCCCACTTGCCGAAAGCTCGGGGCGGCTAAAAATGTGAAACATTAAAACGCGGTTAAGGGCGCGTTTAGGTAAATACTTCAAATCTGTAAGATGCAATTGGCGGTTTGGCGTACGGTATGCCAGTAAAGGAGTAAAACGTGCGATTACCAAAAGAAGTTTGACCGCTACCCTTGAGGGTACCAGATTCGATAGTTATTTGTGGATGGTCGCCATTTGCTAACAAAGTGACACACGCCACAAGACCGTAGATGAAAAACGTTCTCATTTTGTGTGACAGGGCGACTCTTTTGAACTACTACTAGTCCACTACCAAATTCGCGTTCAATATTCTGATAACCTCTTATCTAATCACAAGCTTGTCATTTAACGTCCTGGACTATATGGTAAAAGGCAAAGGTTATTAAACATGACCACAAAATACATATAACTAATGAGATAAGTTTGGTTTCAGGAACATTCACCACCATAAATCTGGCTCCAAGTAAATACTATCTAGGGCAAAGCTTTCATGCCTTCTGCAATGGGTTTGCACATAGTTGGTGTTGACCCTGCCTTTTTCGGAATAATTTTGAATGTGAAACTGAAAATTGTTTCGCCAAATAATTTTAATGGCCTAAATTTTATGGTGATATACTGAACATTTGTCCTTTTTCCTTTATGAACATCAACTTCACTTGGTGGCAAAATCACAAAATCACAAAGTGATCATATAGTTTTGAAGACATTGATGAAAAAACATTGTGAAATAGCACTAACTTACATTTCCCATTACATGATTTTCTATTTCTAGTTTTCAGAATAACTAAATCGAGTTCGTCGTCACGGTCTTTGTGAATTACCCCTAACTTAATGCCAGTACCGTACTAACAATGTACGGTACTATGGTACTAATGGGTTCATAAATGCAAAAAATATATGCAATACAAACGGCTTCAAATTTACCCAGAGATTGAGATCTTTAAGAAGATACAGATTCAATTTTCCTTAATTAAACTTCAATCGATTGCAAGTTACGACAAGTTTTCTTAAATTAATACAACCCTTAATTTTCACATAAATAAACGAATGTCCTTCTGCACATGAAACAAGCTCGGTTGACCCTCATTTCATCCAAAATACGGGAAAATCAAAGAATGGAGCTGTAGATTGAACTTCTATAGTTAGATTTACAGCAAGCACGTCTAATTAATATTAAAGTTTGTTCTTAACGGGTCTTATAAATTATTATGAACCTGTGCTAAGATAAGTTTTAATAATAATAATAATAATATATTTATCCCATTTATGATGACTACAATTTTTGTGGAATTTTTTGGAATAATAATAATAACCATCTTCTCCAGTACATGATGGTTATAAATAAAACAAGTCCATTAGTACTACAGCTTACTCATTCTTCCTTGTTGCATTACTTTGAAAAGGTAGCGGCTACTGCAGCGCGCGCTCTCGATGGTTCTGTGGTACTAATGATAAGTTTTATATAGGCACATATAGGTAATAAGTGTACAAATACTTCTAAAACTGAAACTAATGTTAAACCTGCACTTATAATAATATCATTATACACGTTTGCTCGGTAATGAACGCATTTATGAAGGTATAGAAGTTAACACCTCTGTATCTGTAACTTCGCTGAGCCAGTTTTTCAGGCGGGTAACTAAAAACCTTCACGGAATCCAAATTTTACACATTACTTATTTTATTTATTTATTTTTAGTTTATTGTCTTTATTTTATAGTGGACGGAGTTAAGTTCATGAATGGTTTTTGTATATAGTTGAGCAGTATGTTAATATTCTACATGGGTCTAATTGCACAAATTGTTAGTGATTATCTCTGGTAATTGACCCTACTTATTGTGCTTAGCTCCAGTTATTTGAAAGCCAGTTTAGGTATTGTTCTCTAGCTGTTGGAGGATCTGGGAATTATTAACATGTAAGTTAGCAACCATTGATCACACGCTATCTTATCTAGGTTTTGTTTATAGACAATCTTAAGTTAAAAGTTGGTGCCGAATTATTCAGTAACCCTCTTAGGGCATTAAATGTAGATGGGTTCAACGAGATATCACAAGTGGTTTGTTTTTAGTGTTTATTTCCTCTGCTCCAAATCCGGAGATCAACCCTACTTTTCATTTCTAAGTTCGAGGGTTATCAATCGTCTTCACACAAGCATTACGATATCCATACATCAGTAAATACCTGTGACCATCTTATCCACTTCAAATCGATGTCATTAGGTCAACAGGAATTAACCAAGGATAAGGAAGAGAATCGTTAAGGGGAAACGATATCTTACCTTTTTTGAAATATAAATCTTTGGTTAATAATTAATCGTTGAATACCAGTTAATGGTGGGAAATTAAATTTTCGGGAGATAACAAGGGTGAAACCTTAAACTCGTTGGTGGATAGGGCCGAACGTATGGCTACAGCGAGGAGGGCATTTGGCAAGACCAGGTCTGAGAAACAGCCCACTTATTAAATTTGACGCTATGGGAACGGACCTTAGGTTAAAACCACCTTGGACGAACATGCAATGAGCACGTCGACCACTATCCTGTTATTCCTGTTAAACGGAAAATCATCAATGAAGAGATGGATAAAAGTTAGCACTTTATTATGAATTTATTAATATTTATATTTATAGCTCATCGGAAAGTTTAACTTCGTGCGGTGTATCAAATAGCTCTTTCCAGAAACTAGCATCTTCAGAAAGCAACCCTTCCTTGCATTCCAATGCAGCATCCTGCTTTATGTGATAATAATATTCCTTGTCCTTTTCAACGGCCTTCCATTCCTCATATTTCGGATTACTTTCTGTTGGAGTAGGGTTCCTACAAAATGAATCGCTGAAGTCGCCTCCCCTGTTGGCTGTCTATCGTTACCCATAAGTTGCGAAATTGGTCCACAGCGTTGTTAAAAGATCCACGAGTTTTTTTTCGTATTTTGTGTCGGGGAAAATCCCATTGAAAAGGTACAACAGCTCATCCGCGTGCGTTACTCCTGTAAGTGTTTAATTGTAATTGTTAACCTAAAAAAAGCATTACCGAATTCGAAGTCTACGCCATAGTGTTTCGCATAAGTGTCAGCGCCTCGGTGTCCAAAGAAGTAGTAATATATTGATTGGTTGGTGTATTTTAAGTGTGCTTGAATACTTTTATGAGCACCGTCAACGAAAACTCCATCGGTACACATCTAAAAATAAGTGTGTGGTCGTGTTAGCTTCCATTGGCCTTACTTTGACAAGTTGATTAATTTTCGACAAATCGAGTGAGTCGCTATTGAAGTAACGTTTTGTAATTGCTTTGCTGAGGTTCATTCTGATAGTAGCTGGGACGTCATAATAAAACAGAACGACGGGCAACGCCTTTTCACCTTCCTGAAGTATTCCTAGAAGTTGAATGGTTCTAGGTAAACTAAAATCAGTGATTTCGTACTTGGCACAAAAATAGCCCCGTCTTCGGATGTAATCCCAGTCATGAAGGGTACATTCGCAACGTCGCCAGTTTTAATGCTCTCCAATGGATGTTTAGATATGAATGCTCCGTCTACATCTGGTTCCACAGTTGGGCCAAAGTAAAAAATATGCGAACGTCTCTGTTGCTAAAATACATCTATAGTGAAATTGACCATGGTTAATGTAAACCTAATACATCCAGTGTGGAAGTGGCTCTAATTATATCCGCTCCTTTCACATCCCGTAAACACCGAACCATCTCGATGTCACTTGCTCTATTACATTCGACTAAGTTTGCCAGAGCAAAAGAATGATCACGTAGAACTTTTTCGGATATCATGGCAAATCGGGCAAAGGCTTGCGCACTTTGAGCAATCACCCCCTTAAACATCCCTTAAACATTCGCAATTTTATACAGACATCCTACAGCAAATCTTACCTCTACTCAAGGGCGAAAACACGTGCAGGTGCGCACTAATCCCCCCTGCAGAATGTCCAAATATGGTTATCTTATTTGGATCACCACCAAACTTTGCTATGTTATGTTTCACCCACTTTAAAGCGAAAGCTTGATCTTTCAGCCCCATGTTTCCATAGAGTCCCTCCTTCAAAGGGCTAAAGAATCCAAGCGCGCCTACAATTTGGTTACCACATGGAATTGACGTGAATAGCTTTTACCTAGTCTGTAATTTACGGCTACCAGAACAACGTCCTTTTCCATTAAGAATAACGGACCGTATTCTTCAAACTGAGCGGATCCTTCCACGAAACCGCCACCGTGAATGAAAAACATGACGGGTAGCAAGTTTTCGCTTATCTGTAACCACATAAATTAAATTTCGCCCTGATCACAATAAAATTGTAACCTGCGGCGTGTAGACATTCAAGAAGAGACAGTCTTCATCTCCAACAACTTTCGTTGGCGATCCCACCACCGGTTGTAAGCACTTGGGGTGGGTTCCTATGGCATTGTACACACCTTCCCATTCTCCAAAATCTTGGGGAGGCTAAACAAAGCGTTAAAAGTACAGTCGAACTAAAAGGCCTGGTGGGAATTATTTGAAACCTGAGCGCACCAACGGGTGGTTTTGCGTAGGGTATGCCGGTGAAAGTGTAAAAAGTGCGGTTGTTGATGGTGGATTGTAGTCTTCCTCTAATTTCACCTTGCTCGATCCATACTTTGGGGAAATCGCCATAAACGATTGATAACAGGCACAGAGTGAACGTCAAGGTTATACCCATTGCGCTCTGTTTAGACTAATGCAACGATAGAATATTTTCAATGGCCTTTGATAAGATAATTTAATGTCATGTGACATACGAAGTACATAATAAATAATTTCGGATTTTCAACGCGTCATTGAAGTAATATTAAGTATCGTGTCGTTATAAATACCAATTTGATTATCCTCGTCGGCAACCCAACAGATTAGATTGTTTAATTCATTCTATCGAGAACCATTACCCTTAAAATGTTTTAGGAACCAAACTCCAATTTTTAGTAAATTGTGTTCTACTGTTTTCTTTATGATGCAAATTTTTGTATGGTATTCCACATTTTAGAAGAGAAGTCCATTTTGACACTGATATTCTGTATGGTGAATGCAGGTAGCCTTATTTATACTTTATAGATGATACAATTTATAATAATTTAAAAAAAATATAAAAAATTATAAAAAAACTAAAAAGCTATATAGTCCAGGCTATATAATATTTTTTGACAAAAAAAATTAGATATCGGTTCAAACCGGGTTTTTCACGCAGGTGAAATGATTAGAAATTGGGAAAAAATAATTAAAACAACTGAATTTTTCCGTGGATGAAATCCCGGGGGTTGAAAGGGGTGGAAAGTGGTATTTTGCAATTTATAGCAAAACTATTTCTTTTTCTTAACTTATCTTAACTTATTTCTTAATCTTCTTGAATTGAATCCATTTAAAAAGTATGGTTAGATGCGATAACTTTTTTACCTGACCCCGTAAACTTATTACAAAGAAACTTTTGTAATAGCACATTTCAGATGACTGTATTTTCTAAGAAAAATGAAATTGTACAGCGCGTGGTGTTTGTGCGCAATACGTCAAATTATTATTTCGCCTGCCCGATCTGCAGATTTATTAGCACATCCCAAACTCCGTTCTCCAAATATTCGGATTTGAAGTTTTTACCTTACCAACATTGCTTTCGGGGTGAATTTTCATTGCAGTACCGTGATTGAAGCATTTTCAGCACCCATACCGCTTCTACACAAGGGTCCGGAATATCAACATTTGTTAATAAAGGCATGTAGGTTAGCGACCAAATTTGACCCTATAACTTTTAATGGTGGAAGAACTAGAAGGTATAAGATACTAGTTTATTGATCGATGCCTATGCTAAATGTGTATATGGAAAAGAGTACTTGGCAAACTCCTCCCTTGGATCAATAGGTCGTGGAATAACGTACATCAAGGTATCATCATCAAAGTGATCTCCAGTGTCTTGCGCATCGGCAGCTTCTTGTAAAGCTCTCATTCCTCGTGATCTTGGCGTGAATTTCGGAACATTACCATACGAGTACATTCGTCGTGAAGCTTCTCGAATCACATCAATCACTCTTCTGGAAACTGTATCATCACATTCCATATTGAATGGCAGGTTCAATTGATTACATTGAAAAACTGTACGTCCCAATATTTCCACAACTAACCTGTTTCTGTGAATTGATGGGACGATTTCGATTTCAAAACCAAGATTCGTTAAACACCCTGGAAGAGTGGTGCCTCAATTGACGTCCGTCAGTACAGTTTTACCTTACGAATGACGCCGATCAAATGATGTGGCCTATGTCTGATGATTCCATTGTACTCGTAAGATCCGTAGCGTAATTTTACGTGAGGAATATCCATAGTCCAAAATGTTCAAATCTGACAGATCAGAATTCCTGTCATTTTGTTTGCCAAACCGTTTTTTTTTTAATTATTTATTAGTGCAGAAGTATACAATCAAATTTTGAAATATAGAAAGTCCTACAATTCGTCTTTGGATTTACCAGACCGATGCTTCCGGAGCGTCGTCGTTCTTTCGTTTAAATCTAAATTCCTCCAAAACTCAGTCCGTTGTTTATAGCAATCCTCTACACTCGGCGATTCGTTAATTACATAACATTTTCGATCTTGGGCACTGTACGATTCCCATTTCACCAGATCCGGCTGCGAATCCGGCGTCGGGTTCCTGCAAGTTGTAAATCTGAGTACTGAGTAATCGTCGTTGAAATTTACCCAAATTTAGCGAAATTCGTCCACAGTTTTGCCATTAACTCCGCCACTTTGGACCCTTGCTGATTTCGTAACGAATCGGGAAAGAGTTCTTTGTTGCCAAACAAGTAGAGCAGATCATCTGAGTGACACACTCCGTAACTATCGGGAGAAAGACCCTCAATCAAACTGCAGTAGCTCTCCGGCCCTTTGTATCCAAACACGTAAAAGTATACCGCATTTTTGCCCTTATTCGAGTACAAGTCGCTCGCGTAGTTCGCCGATGACAAATAGTTGGCATCCATGTACGCCTGCAAATATTTCAATGCCAATTTTCTTAGAAAGACGTGCACCTTTTACCTCCGAGAAGGCTTTTCTGCTTTTTTCGTTTAATTTCTTCTTGTTGAAGTAGAAATCAGCAATTTTGTTGGTGGCTGCCTTCTGATGTTTTGGAGTGGCGATTTCCTTGTAATTTAAGACTAAGGAGATGCGATCGTTAAAATGTTGATTGAATTCTTCTAATAGCTTGGGATCGTTGAACAATTGAGCTAAAATTTGTACTCCCAGACTGACTTTTTGAGAGTAATATTGCACAGACCTGTTCTAAAATCTCCCTCGTCTTTTGTAATCCCAGTCATGAAAGGGACACTCGCAGATTTCCCAGAAACAATTATATCAATCGGATCGGCTGAGAGAAACGCGCTTTCATGGTCTGGTTCCATAACCGGTTTAAATACGGTAACAGGTTCTATATCCCACTCCTGCAAAGACTTTTTTACGTAACACGCAGACGTGTACTACTAACCGTAAGGGTGGTGGCGGCTTTAATAATTTCTTCGCTATCCTTCGACATCATGCACTTCAGCATGTCATCAACATCTTCCTCTGTTGGACACTCTAGCCGTTGGGCTAAAAAGTTGGACATGCGAACAGAAAGGAAGTAAGGCATTAAAGCATTAAGAGCAAGTGCCGTGCCGCTTTGGGCAATAACCCCACTGATTAGGCCTGCAAGCTCGAATCGTTAGTCGCACTTAGACTGTTTTCTTAAACAGTTCACCTTTACTCATTGGAGACATAGCGTGGAAATGTGCACTAATTCCTCCAGCTCCTTGTCCGAAAAGTGTAATCCGCTCCGGATCCCCACCGAAGGCAGCGATGTTTGCTTTTACCCATTTTATAGCTAGAGCTTGATCTTTGAGTCCGTAATTTCCTAGAGCGTCTATTGAACCACTGGAAAAGAATCCCAGTGGACCTAAAAATGCGGCGTTACCGAAGTTCGCGACCTTCTGATTTACCTAATCTGTAGTTAATGGTCACCAGGAATATGTCCTCGTTCATAAACAAAGAGGGATCGTAATCCATGGCGCTTCCCGTAATAAAAGCGCCACCGTGAATAAACAGCATAACAGCGAGGTTACTCGTGGGTTTCAACTGAGGCGTGTAGATGTTCAGATACAAACAATCTTCGCTTCCAGTTACTGTATGGTTTTTCAAATATGTGTACGCCTGCAGACATCTCGCGTGCCCTTTTGTTGCGTCAAATACCCCACTCCAAGGGGCTGAAGGGACGGGAGGCTGACGAAGGGATTTTGAAACATAGCTAAGGCATTTGGTACTTACCTTAAATCGGAGTTTACCCACCGGTGGTTTGGCGTACGGTATTCCCGTAAACGAATTGAACTCATTTTGCTTTTCGGTAAGTTTCACGGCCCCTCTTAGGGTTCCCTGTCCAATGGTCACTTCGGGGCTACAAAGTGCTGCAGATATTACAATGAAGAAAAAGGGTATTGCTGCAAAGTTATGCATGGTTAAGATTTTAGAATGAGGTACAGCTACTGACTGATAATGGCAGTAATCTTGGGACACCTATACGAAAACTCAAGTACTTCACGTCCACGTAATACTGATATCGGTTAAATAAATGATTTGACACTTTATTGAATCGGCATCTACATGAAGTTCTAATTTTGTGAATTTCATAGCACAGTGCAAAAGTTTCAAATCCTGTGGCAAATAAAAAAAAACTCTTTAATTATAAATTCTGAACATAAGCGTAACCCCAAGTGAACGCACACAGTCGGCGGGACTTTAGGTTTAAGTTATGGCAATCGGAGATAAGGGATAAATTTGTGTTGCACTAAATTTACAGTGCTATTCACTCTGTCTTCTTCGTGCTTTTCTAGGGTTACAATCTAATTGTATTGATCTGCCTTGCCTCGTAGTATCCAGGACGTCGACTTAATAGCGCTTGAGAGTGCTCGTTGAGGGGGCTCACCCAGCTTAATTCAGGACAATAGAAATAAAGACATTGAAGCTTTGTGAAGTTATGCAATTTTTAATATATTGGACTCTTAAAATACATACCTTCTAAAAGCTCAAAGACATGTACATTCTTAAAGGGAGCAAATACTTACCGTTAAACTTTCAGAAAGTCAAGGAATTGTTACTTTATGACAATGTTAATTGAACATGAGTATAAAGTTGCAAGACCGTGCACTTTACGTAGATAACGCGGATCTTTGATTGACCTAAACATTCCAAGCAAAAAAGGGGTATAGCTGGAGCTATACATTTAGAAATTTTAATCCGGCTAATTAAGTGAGTATAATTAACTGTAGTTAATAGTATTGCAGCAATCTGTATCAAAATAAGTCATGTTTGGTATCCAATGAAGCGCGCTTAATTAACATGCATTTTAAGATTAGCCTCAGAATTTTATCGCGTCAGAGGACCGAGTAATTACTTTAAAAAGTTTTAAATTTTGAATGTTATCACCAGAGCACGTCGTGTCGGGTGGAAAACCACCGGCGGGCCGTTCCACAAATTTCCTAATTCCATTAAAGATGAAATCTTCATTTAGAGGAGATCTTTTGGCTTCGTTGTAACAGTATAATCACCATCCTATGTATACCTTGAGAACGGTTACCGCAACGAATGGATACGTAAAGTTATCAATACAAATAAATGCAGACGATGACATTGTAAATAACTCAACGCCTTTACATTGTCGTATGGCCAATCTTTAAAAAAACACCGTGTATCAATTCAATTTAAAATTTAAAAAAAATTGCTGTGGCTACCAAAGATACCACCCACACACCTGCGCATGCGGAATTCTACCGTGTTACGTTTAACAATATGTGTGCCAAATTTGGTTCCGATCGGTTCAGCCGTTTAGCCGGAAATGAGACACGGGCCGACAGACAGACAGAACGACATCATCGAGATTTTGTTTGATTCCTGGTGCTTCAAAACGTGTATCGCCGTCAAAAAAAGGAGGGGTCATTTTTTACGGCAAAGCAATACCTCCCTTACTAACGTGCGAGTGGTAAAAAAAAACGTAGCCCTCGTTACAGACCCTTATTAATTTTTAGGGCTCTAAATGCCAAAATATATTAAAAGTCGTCCCTTTCTGGAAGATTTGCCACTCTTCTTTGCTAAACCTTAAGGACAAAGCTTAGCGTTATGTACCCCTTGAATTAATGACTTTATCTCTGGCTTTGGTAGACAAATGGTGGTGATTACATTTTTTTTACTGTACAGGCCAAAATTTATTAGAAATTATCTCTTTCTGGTAAGTCTGCGGCCAGTTTTTCCTTGACTCAATTTTAAAAGTTACACAATGAAATATATATTATCATGCTGTAAAAAAACCAGAAAATTCGTATTACTTCTGCCAAAAAAACCTAAATTTGTAGATTTGGTTTTTATTTTTTAGGTAGATTTCTATCCACCATGGTACCAGTATAGTTATAGGTTTATATATTTATAACTTCCAAAAAACACTGTAACTTTCGTAATTATGGACCGACTTCGACCAAACTTTAAGGGTTGGTGTAATTCATAAGTAACTCAGTTAAGTTCTCAGTTAATTCCGCCATATTGAAACAAAATGGCGGACACTTTTACATGTTAATGCGGTTAAAGAAATCTACCTACACCTGATAAGCCGAGCCGAAAGGGATTTTTGTTGTTTTCTGTTTCTGATGTTATTTGAGCTGATACAGAAAAATAAAGAACACTGCCAAGGCTGCCTTGTAGAGCTCAAAAGGTTTTTAATAAAACGTTTCGTTTCGGGGCTACCATCGTCAACTTTATTTTTTTATATGACCCGTAAAAGAAGTACATACTGTATTGACTAGCATATTTTATTACTAATATAACCCACAAAAAAAAACAAAAGCTGAAAATTGTTGGTTTCAACAAAATGGTGCACCCGCGCAAAACGTCCCAATCGAGAGAATACCTATCGGACAAATGTTTTGTTTCAAAAATCTGTCTGGCGAACAAGCTCAATGGCCACAAATGCTTTATCTTTAACCTAAAGCTTTAACAGCTTTATAGACGAGTACTTCAAAATGGAGGACACGAGAACGTTGCGTAGGTGGATCCAGATATATTTCTTCTTATCTACTATTGACCTGAAAGATGCGTATTTCCTCGTAGCCATTGCTCCGGAAGACCGCAAGTTTCTATGGTTCTCCTTCCATCCTCGTCAACAGGTTGGGAGCAAGTTGTAGGAACAAAACGGAGCGAGGATGGTGGTCGGTAAAATAAACGAACAATTACACCATATTAATTTTCTGGAGCTTCAGGCCATTTTGTTGGATCCAAAATGTTTCGGTGGAGGTTTAAAACATCGTAGTACATTCAGGAATAGCTTCAGGAGACGATGTCTTCATGGCAACAGCCCAAGAAGTGATTTATTTTATTTACTCCAACAATTAACGCGCACAGGGCCGAGCTGGCATCAATTCTATCAGTAAACCTAGGTAAGGATCCAATGTTCAGGAGATTTTGGAACCTAGGCAAATTTTTAATTACTTTGAAAAACACCCGGCGGAATTTCTAAAAACCTTACCTTAAAAAAAGCATGTTCCGGTGTCCCTAACTGCCACCGTCAGAACCAGGTACCCAGCTTGAATAATTAGCGATCTTCTTTTGGACGAAGGAGGTATTGTTAAAGAAACCTCATCACCGATGTGATTAAATTCGATTCAATGGGGAAGCAAGTCCGTATCATTCCTGTAACGCCAACACACAATGATCCTCTTCTGGGGGCACTACAATGCCATCAAAAAGAGTTGCTGTCGAGTCACCTTTGGAAAATCATATTTAGCTCGAACTTCCAAAGACGACTCGACGGCTATTTTTGATCGCCCGTTACTAGAGCATAGCTTTTTAATCTTAATAGGAAATGGATACGATATCGTGTGTTGATGAGGTTTTTAAAAGGTTTTGGAACTGACTGAGCTCTCCAGTATCCAGTAGCCCAAATGGCATGGTAAGCAGGCTATAGGTTTGGGTGTAGCGATTTGGTGCAAATGGATCCATGGTTCGCATCAAGGTTTGGGTTTTGTGAAATACTGAAAATTTAAATTAAAAGCACTTAATTAAAAAATAGAAAAATAGTGGGGCCACGAATCAAAACAAGTAGTTAGACCCCCATGTTCAGATATCCACAGACACCAGCTGCTTTTCGTTCAACAATCAACTTGTAAAAAGCATATGATACAAAAACATTCCCTAGAAATACTACTTTATCTATGTAAGACAATAAATGGGATTTTCCACATAAGGTAACATAAGGATTTTCCAGACACGAGTATTGATAACTGGTTTTGTAGCGGAATATTTGCAGTGTAAATATAAATAAGGCGTCACTACTACTTGTTGGGTTATCAGTCAGCTTTATTGCCTGATTCATTATTATTGTAAACTTCATGATACCCTCGCAGTTAGTTGTTCAAAACCTAAGCAGCGAAACACCACAAACAAAGTGCACCCAGCAATGTCTATTAATTTCATTTGTTCCTCAGTGCTATTCTTTGTGTATTTTTTCATAATTGCAAATGCCGAAACCTCAAACCCCCAAAATTCCGTAAAACAGGGAGGTCTTACCGGTAGGTATATGCGAACAAGGAATGGTAGACAAATTAGTGCGTACCTAGGCATTCCGTATGCCAAACCGCCCATTGGAAATCTTAGATTTAGGGTAAGTAGTTACAATTACCATATTTAAAGTTTAGTTTTCCCCCTTAGCCCCCCGTTCCTGCAGATCCATGGTCAGGAACCTTAAACGCTACGGAACCCGGTTCGGCATGCGCCCAAGGTGCGGTAATTTACGCCACGCCGTACCAAGGAGATGAAAATTGCCTATTTCTAAATTTGTACACGCCTCAAGTAAGAGCAATTCGTTTCAAAAGACTGTTACGCTTAATTTCACTATTTACAGTTACATAAAAGTGAAAGGAGGTCATACGCTGTTATGGTGTATATACATGGTGGAGGTTTCGCTTTGGATACTGGAAATGGATATGGGCCCGATTATTTGTTAGATTATGATGTCATACTCGTCACCTTTAACTATAGGCTTAGTAATCTGATGCAATATAACTTGCGGAAAGAGACGATGCATTATACTTTGTAGGCGCACTTGGCTTTATGACAACTGGGGATGAAAACCTTCCCGCTAATAACGGCCTAAAAGATCAATCTTTGGCCATCAAATGGGTTCATGAGAATGTGGGTGCATTTGGTGGCGATCCCAAACGAATAACTTTATTCGGGGAATCGTCAGGGGGCGTTAGTGTACATTACCATATGTTTTCGCCGCTTACCAAAGGTAATAAATACGCTATAGTAATGTGGCCAATTGTCAGTTCGTATAGGATTGTTCCATGCCGCAATTTCGCAAAGTGGGACGTTGTTTAGTATCACGTCAATAGTCGACCCAAAGGCACTTATCTCGAACAGTAAGCGACTATCTGAGTATGTGGGTTGTCCAACGGAAAACCATGCCAAAATGGTGGAGTGCCTGAGATCGGTGGACGCCAGAAATATTTCTGAAGCCGTTAGCATCTTTGCTGTAAGCATTTACTTTTTCTCTTCCTTGTACGCGCCCGTATTTGTAGGAATGGGACTCCGATCCTGTAATGATCTTTATGCCGACCATTGAAACTAACCACAGAGGTGCATTTTTACCGGAAGACCCCGTAAACATCTTAAAATCAGGAAAGTACGCAAACGTACCTTGGATCTCTGGCATGAATAGCGAGGAAGGAGTGTATAGAGCTGCTTGTATGCCCATATGGCGCCATTAACACCTCTAATAAACTGCATTTCAGACCTGTTTACGAGAGAAGATTTGCTGAGAGACCTTAATCAAAATTTTAGTCGAGTTATGGCAATAACCTTAAACGACAAAGATCCCGAGTTTGACAGGTTTGGAAAGCAAATCAGAAGTTTTTATTTCGGAAATAAAGCCATTGACAATAGCACCGTTGTCAACTTGGCTTACGTAAGTATGTATTTCCTAGGTGCAGTTTGTAATATATAATTGTCCAGTTGTATTCGGACATACACTTTGTCTCTGCTATTCACTTGGCTGTCCAACTTCACCTCAAATATTCCAACCAGCCAGTGTATCACTACGTGTTCTCGCACCAAGGCCGGAATAGCTTCTCCGAACTGTTTGGAACGCCACCATTTATCTACGGTTTGTTGCTATAACCGAGATAGTTTACAAATTATTTCTTTTGAATACAGGAACTAGTCATTTGGATGATTTGATGTATCTGTTTCCATTTGAATCTTCGTTTGGGAACACGCCCTTAAGTCAAGGAGACCGTCACTACTCAAACTTACTCTGCACAATGTGGACAAACTTCGCAAAAAGATGGTAGAATGTGCTAAGGTGATTAACTGTCTTTACTCATGTTTTCTTCCAATTAGCGATCCGACTCCTGATACTGATATCATAATTTCCTCACGATGGGAGCCTGTCAAAACAAGAAATTTGGAATACTTAAATATTGGAGGGGGACTACATACCGCTAGTAATGCTTATCCGAAAAGAATTCAGTTTTGGGAGAGGCTTAACAGAATCCGAAATCTGAACATTCGAGAAGAATTATGAAAGTGCACGTTTCAGGCTAGGTTAGTGGTATGGACAGTTTGTTCTACACCTCAAGGTCCATGTGCAATTTAAACTCCAAAAATAAAAGGTCCTTATACCCTCAAAAGGTCGTTGCAGGTATTATTTGCATAAGGAATTTTGTTTGAAGTAATTTTAATAATCCTAAAGGAATCGACTCGCGAAAATTATTTGCATGAAACTAATTTTGTATTATGTTTATTAATAAGAATATATTCGATTGATTATCAATTTTTTATTTAATATATCAGTGATACCATTCCTCGGGTTGCATTAAAATTGTGTTTAGCATTCAGAGGTGTGTGTATATTGTGAACAGGAAAATGTTCAGGTAACTTATTTTTAGCAGTAACACGTGATCACGAGACAGGCTTAAATTTTTTTTTGCGCGATCGGTCATTTCTGACTATTTACCATGGGTGTTTCCATGACAGTAGGTAGAATTTACCAGTTGCTATGATTACGACGACGTCAAAATTACTTACCGATCTAAAAACAGAACAGCAAATACTTACCGACGCCTTTTTAAAAATCAACAGTCTTACATTACATTTAATCTTTAATTATTGTTAGGTACATTAAACGTACAATTTGTGCTGTTATTTCCTATAGCAAGACGCTCATAAAGTCATAAAGGAAGTTCAAAGCTAGTAAACTACATCAGACACATGCACATTTTTATGAAATTATTAACTTCAATTTTGACAAATAAACTGGTTACCTAGTGATATACACCATACCACTTCGATCATTTCGATTTATTCTGCTCGTTAATTTCTTAGTGCATATTTATATTGGTTGCATAAATTTAATTTCGATCGCGCAAAAAATGTTATAAGCACGTCGAACGTTAAGGGTTACCGTTCTCAGACAATAATTGGAGTCGTCGCTTCGCTCCTCCTCCAAACAATTGTCTTCGAACGGTAAAAATCCCTTACCGTTCTCCATACTTAATATACTATTTATGAACCAAACAAGTATTTTAAGTACAACTTTGCAAGAAAGATGACTCTTGATGGTCTTTGTTTTTATTATTATTCTATTATATTATATTCAATCAACTAAGTTCACATGCAAAGTTATTTGAGTTCGATCAAACTAGAACATTAGATTTTGAATTTCAGATTTTAACAGGATTAAAGAGGCACTTCCGCAAGGTAAGGGGTATAAGAACTTTATTACTAAGCTAGCCGTGATTAAATTAAAAATGAATTGTCGTATAACATTTTTGCCTGTGCCGTAGAAGTTCAATTTTATTTAATGCAAGTGGAGTCTTCACCCCTTACAAGTAACTAAGCCGTTACATCTTTCAGGGACGCAGGAGTTCGAGTTTTAATCTTCATTTACGCATAAGCAAGGACAACACCTTAACCCTCGCCTTAACCAGCGCTCTGTAATTAATGAGTAATTCCCCCTCCAGGAATTATACCAATGTAAAAGTCATTCATTCGTAACCAATTCAACCTATTGATTTATTATCGAATTGATTTCGGTGGTTATATATACGTAGGTGCTCCTTCTCCTTGATAGATAGGGGTGCGTTGTTAACGTATTCGATCATAGCTACCCAAGTCATCATAATTTCAATTGCTGAGTGGATTAACTTGGATTCTTCATTTCATTGCTTTGTTTCAGTGTGAAAGCGTCGATATAGAGCCGTCTTCAATAGCAATTTCTTCATTAAAGGTAAAAGGTGTATGATTTTTGGGTTGATGGTCATCGATCACTAGTTAAATACGGAGGGCAAATCTAATTTTGTAACAAGTGACTAGAATCAATCGTTTGGCGCATATCAATAAGGAGAGACAAAAATGAAAAGCTAGCACAAATGAAAGCACTTTAATGTGCAATAATTTCTGCACCAAAGCCTTCTCCAAAAATTCTTCTAAGAAATTCCAACATGGAAGTTTATCTTTTAAACACTGGCAAATTAATGTAGTTCAAATTAAGCTAAGGGCATAACAAACTTTGCCGTCTTGTAGCAGCGACATGTGAAATTCTGAAAGACGTTCCAATGTATGCTTCAAAGGCATGTATCTGGTTTCCTTATAAGAACTGTCACTTTTAGTTCACGGCATTATCTCTCCTAGAGTTCAAGTTATTTCAATGACGCATTGACTTTGATCATGCTCTTCTATGATATCACATTCACAGCGTCTGTCTGGTTTTTAAATTAGTTAGATTCTTCAAACTACTACTCGCCGTCAATTTGGAAACTGTTAATAATGTTTGCGAAATTCATCTGTTTCTTTACGCTTACGTATTTGATATCAGCTGGAGATGTAGCGCCAAATAATAAAGTTAACCAGGGTGGATTAACTGGTAAATTTTTGAAAACAAGGAATGGTAAGCAGATTAGCGCCTACTTAGGTATTCCGTATGCAAAACCACCTGTTGGTGACCTTAAGATTTGGGGTAAGAGAAATTTACTTTCTGACGAACTTGCAAATTAATATTAACAAATTTCAGGCCCCAATTGCTGCTGATTCGTGGACTGGTTACTTTAATGCAAGTGATTATGGTTCAGAGTGCCCCCAAGTAGACATCCTCTTTGGAAAACCATACAAAGGTCGCGAAAACTGTTTGTTCCTTAATGTATATACTCCACAGGTACGTTGTTAACCCTATTAAATTTAACTCATTGACGCATTTATAATATTCAGTTACGCAAAGATGATACCAGTACGTATGCAGTAATGATTTTCATACACGGTGGAGGGTTCTTCTTTGGCTCAGGTAACCCCTACGGGCCCGATTTCTTACTGGATCAGGACATCGTTCTAGTCACCTTCAACTACAGGCTTGGTCAGCTATTTTACATCATTATTTGTGATAGTACTAACAGAGATTTGTAGATGCGCTTGGATTTATGAGCACTGGCGCTGAGGTCGTGCCAGGTAACAACGGGATGAAGGACCAGGCCTTGGCAATAAAATGGGTGCATGACAACATAGAAGCATTTGGTGGCGATCCCAAACGTATTACCCTGTTTGGTGAATCTGCAGGAGGTGCTAGCGCGCAATACCACATGTTGTCCCCTCTTAGTCAATGTAGGATTGTCGATTGAATCACATTAATTTGCTTTTTTAAGGTCATTTTAGTGCAGCGATATCTCAAAGCGGAACTATATTTAACGTTTGGGCCTTTATGGATAAGAGCATGGTAGTGGGAAACACTCGACGGTTAGCTGATCACGTGGGTTGTGCCACTTACGACAATGTGAAAATGGTCGAGTGTTTACGGTCCGTAGATGCTAAAAAGCTAATGGAGGTACGATTTAGTTTTATGGTAAGCGTAAGCACTATGTGAATGACCTAAAAAGAGAAAGATAACAATCAATTTTAGAAGTGGGACCTTGATCCGTGGATGTTGTTTGCTCCGATAGTAGAACCAAACATAAGAGGTGCATTTTTACCAGACCACCCATTAAACATTCTAAAAGAGGGAAAACATGCACCCGTTCCTTGGATAGCTGGTGTTAATAGCGAGGAAGGGATTTTGAGGGTTGCTTGTATGAAGGAAGTCCTAACATACTGTACCTAGACTAAAACTTTTGCAGTGATCTACAAGAAAGAAAATCTTGTAAAAGAACTTGATGAAAACTTCAGCGAAATCATGTCAATAACGTTTAATGATGAATCCAAAATCCAGGAATCTTCAAAGCTGATTAGGGATTTCTACTTCGGCAACCAGAAGATTAATAATAACACCATGTTCAACCTAATCAACGTAAGTATTCGCTCACACTACCGCAATCTACCAACTCAATTACTTCTAGATGTATTCCGATATGCTCTTCAATTATGGTATTCATGTTGCCGTTAAGATGCACTTTAAATACTCAAAGCAGCCTGTATATTACTACCTTTACTCACATGTTGGCCAACACAGCCTTGCTAATATTTATGGAGACCCACAACTACGATACGGTAACTTATTCCTTAATTTTTCTATCACTATTCGTGATTGTAGGTGTCAGTCACTAGGACGAATTGTTATTGCAATTTCCATATTCGTACGGTGTGCAATTTCGAAACGCCGTATTAGACCGAAGAGATCTCCACTACTCTGAATTACTCAATAAAATGTGGACCAGTTTCGCCAAGACAGGGTAAGCAAAATGAATGTTTGTTGTTATTATTTCGTGTTCCATTAGTAACCCGACACCGGCAACGGATTCCTTTGTTTCTACAAAATGGGAGCCAGTTACCACAGAGAGCCTGGAGTACTACAACATAGGTGCTGGTGTTCATTCCTCAAAGAATTTATATTCGGCGAGAATGAAGTTTTGGGATAAGATGAATCAAATGAGAAAGATAATTCTTCGTGATGAATTATAAAACAAGAGAGAAGGCTGTGAAATAACTACATGCGAATATTCGAATTTCAAAGTATAATTTCTCTTAACCATCATAAATTTGACATAAGAATAGTGTTTAAAATTAAAGTACACTTTATGCAGACCCTTTATGGTTTAGTAGTAGGTACCTCAAGTACTTATTACCCTTTTTTCGTGGTCCGTAATTGTTGGGGCGATGTCTGGAGTTTCAGAATCGATTCGACAGTAATGCAAGCGGCTGGACGGCAGACCAGAGTGTCTATGATGCTGTCTGTTGCTATAATCAGGCCGTTGTTGAGATTCCGGATGTTGGTGTGCCCGGATTTGTCTCTTGAAGCGTTTGCCGGACAGGCGCGAAATGATTGTACCAGGAACCCACTTGTCCATTCACGGGTTAAAGAATAAACGGCTTGTGCTGGGTAAAACAACCGATATGGCGCTGGCGATTCAAAATTTGCTCATTGTGTTTCAGTGATTTTTGTGTAGGTACAGATCCACAGGTTCGAGTTCGTAGTGATCGTCCCAGAAAAAGTTGTGCAGGCTGTGTAGTGGTAGAACGCGGAACCTTCAGGTATTGAGATTGAGAGCATGATTAGAGTTCAATTTTATTTTCAAACTCTGGAATCTTCGTACGGCTTGTTCGTAGGAATCACCTAGAACCTGAGGACTGGGTTTTAATGGAGCGGAAACTACGAATCTTCCAGATGCATCACGTCTAAACGTGGACTTAAAATGGATTTACACTGTGCTCACTTCTCTATTAAAATTGACTGAAAAAGATTAAATTAGACTAAAGACTATGAGTTTATTTAAAGTAAGGTAATGGAATTGAATGAAAGCATTGAATGTTAATAGTTTGGCAACGTTGACAAGTACAAGGACCTTCTAAAGCCCAGTCGAAGTCGAACGCCAGATGGACAGACTCGAAAACCCCTGTATACAATTTTGGCGGTTAACTCCTACACTCTCACATTTTAAAATACCACATATATATTTACAATTTTATGAAACTTATGTTAAGTTTTCGGTGCTTCCCTTCCGACTTTAAGAATTTTTCATCCAAATACTGCACGTGGCAACACGACAAACTTCTTGCTACAGGACGCTCTATTCAGTCACTTAGGCAAAATTTACACGGTAACTAAAAGACACAATTATCTACGAAAACAAACAATTTTTTCCGATTAAAATGCATCGTTATCCCTAGATAATTACACCACACCTTTATAAAAATAAACGAAATACCTCATAAATCAAATCTGAACTGTCACATAAATGATTTAACAAAACAAATTGATAACGGAAATAAGAGACAAACATTTCCACATCCTTAATAATTCTAGGAAATAATCGCTTTAGAACCAAACAATTAAACAAATAACTTGAAATGGACTGTAATGAACATTTGATTAGTAATTAACGACTTCTCATTACTTGAGGCGACTGGACCTAAAACAACAACGTCCACATCGACATTGTTTGCACAGAAATTTATACAAACTAAGCGAATTATGTTGATATTTGCAAGCTATTACTTTTTCGATCAGACTTCTCAATCAAAAGTTATAGACTCCAAACGAATTTCGTAATAAAATTCAAAGGGCTGTAACTTTTGAACTAGTAGCCCAATCTTGGAACTGTTTCAAATTATGGATTCTACAGGCCACATTCTATGAGAAAATTTTTTTCCGGGTCGATCTGAGACAATTTTTTTTTGCCAAAAATTGACTGTACCAAAATTTCTCGGGAAAACACTTTTTCTTATTAATTTTGGTGCGTAGAATTCAAAACAATTCGTACTTTTTCGTTCAGAACTCTCAATTAAAAGTTATAGACTAGAAACCAATTTCGAAATAAAATTCAAAGGGCTGTAACTTTTGAACTAGTAGCCCAATCTTGGTCAGGTTCAATTTTTGCTAAAAGTTCAGAAGTCTATCATTTCTATTTTCTATTGTTCCACCCCCACGTGAAAGACCTATCACATATGTACACTGACTATGTAACTGGGTTTTAATGTTTTCTGCACGGGGAAAGGCATGTTTCGGTTAATTAAAAATCGTAAAAAATAGGGTTATTTTTGGTGCATGGCAAAAATTTAAAAAAAATGTGGTAATAATAATAATAAATAAATTTATTCATGTAGCTCTTATGGTAAACCAGATATGAACAGTGCATACAAACGTACAAAATTAATGTAGACATAGATAGCTATAAACTGGCAAACGATATAAAATAAAACATGAAAATATGACAATATTTAAATATTTAATATATCACAGTTTGTTACGTCATAACCCATCAAAGAAATCCTTTGAGTGAAAATGTCATCAAGAATTTTCTTATTCGGTCCTCCTCCGAGGTAATTTATATTCAGGTCACCCATAAAGATAATAATTCGTAGGATTTGCTTATGAAAGTAATACAGGAAGCTAAGTTGATAAAAAAAAGTATTCAATTTACCCGAAGGGGGTCTGTAGATTGTAAGTACGCATATTTTACCGTGCACCAATTTTAATGATATCGCACATAGTTGAATGTTGATGTCACATGTGAATTTATTTGTAAATTTGCAAATATTGCTACACCGCAGCAAATATGATCAATTCTGCAGTAGCTGGCTATTAGTTCTAAATTTGTTTTAGATACGGAATTGATGATATCTTCTTTAAGAGCATAGGTATCCAATTTTTTACTAACATTTTAAAATCGATTTTCCGGCGGAACTAAGCGAGTACACATCTTATATAATTTGGGCTAAGTGGGGGTGTCAACTTTATGGACCTCTCAAAACGTAGACACTGATTGTCGGTAAAGCTCCCCACCCATTGTCATGATTCACATCTTTATCAGTATAAATACGGATACGCATTTGAAATCCGTACTTAGTGCGCGAGGTTACAGGAAACGATGATTATCAAATTGGTTTTTACTATTCTGGTATACACCCGATATTCTCAAGCTGAAGATCTATCGTATCCCAGCAACAGAATAAAGCAGGGTAACCTTACTGGTAAATACATGGAATCAAGGAGCGGTAGACAATTTAGCGGTTATTTAGGCATACGCTACGCACAACCGCCAATCGGAAATTTAAGGTTCAAGGTAAGAAATCTCTAAAAAAAAACATCATTAATAATCATTTATACTGCTGTGTCTTAAAATAGGCAACTTGTTACCATAACAAGCAGGCATTTATGTAGTAAATAAAGTTTCTCTCTCTGTTGGGATTCCCAAAACGGGAATGGTACATTACACTACGGTCGTTGAAAGCGGTGCATTTCACACGTGTAAAGATCTATTAGAGAACAAATGTATATGGGAGAGTGGTACCTACACAATGCATCCGTTTTTTTATTTTTTTTAGTTCAAAAAATTGTTACGTTTCGCGTTGATAGTTTATGTGTAGGGGGGCCTTCAAGCGTGAAAACGCGACCCATAATTCATTTAATAGCAATAACGCGTTAGATTTCACAATTTTTCGGATACGAATTGACACTAAAGTGATTCAATGCAATTTTTTTTTATTTTAACGCAACTTGAACTGAAATAAAAATACATTCAACTCAATAAAAAATATTCGTATCTGTGAACGCATTGAAAACAAAGCGTAGCACAATCCCAAGCTAATATGCAAACAGTCTTCTATAATTGGTGATATTTTCAGGAAACTTGACTAAGTAATACGAATGAGCCTTTTTCGATGCCTATAGTCATTTCGATAGACACGAATTGATCTTCCTTTCTCTTCTCTTCGGGATTATAATAGCTAATCAAGATTATTGTCGTCTGAAGAGGCTTGTCTATTTCAATGGATTCTGATTCTGATTCTATTTCGTCTTCAGAGTCTTGCTTTTGCATAATTCGGACAAATTTTGTTTTCTTGGATATCTTCACATTAGGTTTTTTCTTCGTATCTGTTTTATAAACCAAATCCTTCAATTCAGGGGTACTTTTTTTGGATCCTCTACTTTTCCTATTCTGCGTTCTTGGGGCAGCCTGCAAAGTCTAGTGGAGAAAGAAATGGGGCTGTTTTGGAACTATCACTACGATCGTACGTAATCTTTAATTATTGTTAGGTACATTAAACGTACAATTTGTGCTGTTGTTTCCTATAGAAAGACACTCATAAAGTCATAAAGGAAGTGCAAAGCTAGCAAACTACATCAGACACATGCACAATTTTATGAAATTATTAATTTCAATTTTGACAAATAAACTGGTTACCTAGTGATGTACACCACTTCGATCATTTCGATTTATTCTGCTCGTTAATTTCTTAGTGCATATTTATATTGGTTACATAATTTTAATTTCGATCGCGCAAAAAATGTTATAAGCACGTCGAACGTTAAGGATTACCGTTCTCAGACAATAATTGGAGTCGTCGCTTCGCTCCTCCTCCAAACAATTGTCTTCGAACGGTAAAAATCCCTTACCGTTCTCCATACTTAATATACTATTGTAAATGAAAGTACATTTATAGCAGAATCTAAAGCATTCATATTTACCTACCTTGTTATGCACAGTTTTTAGAAAAATGACCGTCAACTTCCAAAATTCGTGTAGCAGATGAAAAGTGCGTAACTTTTTATTTCACGACATCGATTTCCAATATCTATTCATAGCTCATTCGATGTTCCAAAGCATTGTGATTATTTTATTTCCTATAACATTACCGTGAATTTTTCATAATAAAAAAGTTACGGCCATTTAAGTAAAAACCTACCCACCTCGCCGAGTCGGGAGTCGCGAGTGAGACGGAGAGGGAGGGATAGTCAGCAGCGTTCGCTAAACAAGGAGCGATGCGTACTTTACTAAGAAATTTCTCTCCGAATACCAAAACTAGCTACTTAGGCCGTTTAGCGTTTAGAAATGCATTCCGCCGAATTGCATTGTAAAATCTCAAACAATTCATTACCTCCATGTATCTCAGTTCTTTGGTGAAATATATAGGTACAAATAGATATCTTTCCCTGTAAATTTTGGGGGTTACTCCACATTAGGTATCTCTTGTGCTGTGCTGTATATTGCAAGATCAGCAGTGACAACGGTATGATTTTGTCCCAAAGATTCAGGTTTGTTTTTTGATTTCACTAGACGATGGTTAGGATGGTATTGTAGCTCGTTGGTGGAGAATTCAAAAACGGCATAGGTACATATATTGAATGGTAGATACCGGAACTTACTTAGGATTATCAGCATGAACTTAGGCTGTTAAAGTCAGTTATTTGGTCGTTATCTAGTGATAGGTAAACGAGGAATTTGGATTTCTTCTGCCGATGTATCTCGCTTTTGAAAAAGGACTGTGTGTTGAATTTTTTCGTCTGTTTCCACAGAATATTTCCTACTTATTCTTATTCTGTGACTGTTTCCTCATTGATGTCGAAGTTATTAATGCTCGCTGTGATAAAATTATCATTTTTTATTTGACAAATTTTTGTGAAATGTAGGTAGACACCCTTAGCAGAACATGTAATATTGACGTTTACTGTACTTGTTATGCCACTGTCGGAGAACATTTTCTGACCCGAAAGACCAATTTGCAAATGAGTGTAACTTTTGTTTGAAAAATGACCTTAAGAAAAACTGTTCAACAATTTTGTTCCGTATGTACACTACACAACAAACTTCGTGGAATTTTGTCTATTTTCGTTGTCCGGCCAAGAATTGCAGTGGAATTATTTTTTTCGAATTTTCAAAAACTAATTTCAGATTCGCGATTTTTATATCCAAAAACCACCAGATACCAAATTTCGTAGAAATCAACATTTTTTCGCACCCCTGTTGAGGGGTGTGCCCTTTTGTGGTAGGAATTTTGAAAAATGATTTGCAAAATCGGAAAGGACATACCTACAGCAAAACCTATTCAAAGACTTCCCACCAGTCTCTGTAACTGTTGCTAAGAAAAAAATTAAAGGAGAAATGGAAACTTTACCACTTTTTTGAGGGTGGCTCCTAAACGAATAGATGGAGTTAATGAATTGTTTGAGATTTTACAATGCAACTCGGCGGAATGCATTTGTAAACGGCCTAAAGAGCTAGTTTTGGTATTCGGAGAGAAATTTCTTAGTAAAGTAGAACCTCTTACGCATCGCTCCTTGTTGCGCGAACGCTGCTGACTATCCTTCCCTCTCCGTCTCAACCGCGACTCCCGACTCGGCGAGGTGGGTAGGTTTTTACTTAAATGACCGTAACTTTTTTATTATGAAAAATTCACGGTAATGTTATAGAAAATAAAATAATCACAATGCTTTGGAGCATCGAATGAGCTATGAATATTGGAAATCGATATCGTGAAATAAAAAGTTATGAGAGTTCAAAGTGCGCACTTTTCTTCTGCTACACGAATTTTGGAAGTTGACGGTCATTTTTCTAAAAACTAAGCATAACAAGGTAGGTAAATATGAATGCTTTAGATTCTGCTATAAATGTACTTTCATTTTACAAAAGGAATGATTGATGTATATCGCTTAGTTGCTGAGAAAATAAATACTTTCGGTGGTCTAGTCGCGCGCGCGAAAATGAGTAAAGTTCAACTTTAGCGGCCTATAACTTTTGTCAGGACCACGGGAAAATGTCTTAAAGCGAGATTCTGAAGGTTCAAACATTTCTGAACAAAATGGTGTGGGTCCCAACTCCGAAAAAAAAAACTACCTCAAATAAGCGAGTTAGCGCCGGCTCTCCGCTGCACTATAGAGGTCAACTGGCAAGAGAGTGAACTTTTAGGAATGGTATATAGAGCCGCTGATAGTATTTTCACCTGTTGTCGAGGACGATAGGAAAGGATCATTTTTGCCAGACACTCCTTTGAATATTTTAAAATCCGGAAACTACGCTAACGTACCTTGGATGAGCGGCTTGAATAGCGGGGAAGGCACCTTCAGAGCTGCTGGTATGTATTAGGAATGGACTACCTAGTCATTTTTTTCCACATGTACGCAGTTATTCACAATAACAAGCAGCTTTTGGAAGAACTGGACAAGGACTTCAATCGCATTATGGCGATAACTTTAATGAGGAAAGACCCTGAGTTTGAGAACATAGCAAAACGTATTAGGAACTTTTATTTCGCAAACAAGCAAATTGGCGAAAATACAATACTGGATCTTGTCGATGTACGTAGATTATCATCCGGTGTTGCTATATAATTACAGCTTGTTGAATTTGTTTAATTTCAGTTATATTCGGACATCTTCATCATTCCTCCCGCGCATCATGCGGTGGAGTACCATCTTAAGTATTCCAAGCAGCCTGTATATTATTATCTGTTCTCCCACGCCATCCAGTATAGTCTCACAAATTTTTACGGGGTCCCATTATTTCGATACGGTTATCAACGCTATATACAATGAGTATTTCATACTAATTCGTCATATTATAGGCACTGGTCATGCGGACGAGCTAATATTGCTATTTCCTGTCTACGGAACCAAATCGTTGGACCAAGAGGACCTTCGTTACTCAAAATTGTTAATCGGCATGTGGACAAATTTTGCAAAATACGGGTAATGCCAAAACGTGGATTATTGTCATTACAGTTTATTTACTTGAAATAGCAATCCAACGCTAGAAACCGATTCTTTGGTCACCGTTAAGTGGGAGCCAGTTACCACATCGGCACTGGAATATTGCCATATTGGAGGTGGTGTTCACACCTCTAGAAATTTATATTCCGAAAGGATCGAGTTTTGGAAAGCGATTAATAACGAAACAAAATTGAATATTTGTGAGTAATCGTGTACTCCCCAAATTTACATCTGGAAAATCAAGTCAAAACTTGATCTCTTTTAGCATTAGTTGATAGTATAATTAACTTTAATTTGAGTAGGTTGTAAGTAACAAAACTGTTATATATGTTATTATTTATTGACTTCGCATATGAAAAAATGTAATGTATGACAAAGATAGTTATGCATAGCATTATTTTATTAATAAACATATTAAAAACTATACAAGATATCTATGCTGAAACCAGTAGAAAAATGTTAGTCGGAAAGTACGGTCCTATTGCTTACAACAAGTGCAAATGCGATGCTCAAACTAGGAAAAAGTTGCGACATTAAAAAGTTATTATTATCCAGAAAGTTCCGATTACTTCCAAAGATATGCCAGAAAACCCGCAATTTGCCGATTTCATTTTTATGTTTTTCTGATATTATTATGAACAGATACAAAAAAATAATGCCACTATTTGAAGTACCTATACAAGGCAGCGTTAAGAGATTTGCAATACAACGTTTCGTTTCGGATTAATCATCATAAACTATATTTTTTATATGGCTTGTAAAAAAGTACATACTCTATTGAGTGGCATTTTTATTACGCATACAATCTGATATATGACACAATATGACTTTATTATTTACGTCAAAACGACAAAATGTCAAAATAGTTGATTTATGATCTAGTTAAATAATATGACATGTAGTGTACATACACATTGAGCATTAAAGGCATTAGCCATAATGGTCAGAGCATCATCATCATTCTACGCTTTGCAACCTTTCTGTTTGCCGGAAACCGGAGACCGTTTTATCAATCTTTTTAATTATTTTCTTTGCATAATTATCTTCTTATCGTATACATATTTATACCAGACCATAACATTCAGTAAGTAAACTTGCTCAACTGTCAAGAAATGTCAAAATTTTCATCTTATCTTAAGCAATTAGCCTTGACGCCTTGAGAAGCATGTTTCTCTCATCATAAAATATTAATAAAGGACGATTTCGGATCAATAACCCTCAGTGTTATAAAAAAAAACCTAACAGGGTGTCTTATAGTTCAATCGGTCGCTCGGGTAGAGACATTGTCCTTTAAAGTGCAGATAAAACAACTAGTTATCTTAATAGCTATTAAAGCCATTAGAGCATTAAAGTCATAATAGGACAGAAACCTTTGCTTTGCTCAAGTTCATTAGTTTTGTCTTTTTATCGCGGGTTCGTTGCAAACAAACTATTAGATCCCGACGAGATTATTGTTAATATCACTCACATAAAACTCGGAAGTATTGTTCGGTGTGGTGATCTTATGGTAATTTGCACCGAAAAATTTAAGCTAGACTTAACTTAAGCATAAGATTTTTTTAAACAAGATGAGATTTATGGTAATCCCATCTAAATTATTGTGATAATCCTTATGATGATTGTATTACTGTAAATGGTAGATGCAAACGTCGCAAAATTTCTGCGTCCATCTCTGGACGCTGTGTGCACAATGAAAACGATTCGTCTACGAGAGAACCTGAACACCTTAGTGTCAGATATGTATCATTTGTATGTAGGTATCCTCTTCCGACAATATGTTTTCAAGATATTCGCATCTGAAGTTTGATTGACGTGGGCCAAGCAAAGGGTTACTCTTTGGGTCAAGTCCAGTCCAGTTTAAAAATCTACTGATTCCGTGATGAAATGTTTCTAAACGGTCAGTTTTAGAAATTCCTACTTCGACTTAACGCCTTGTAGTCCTTTTCGCATCATACTGTATGGCGTCGTGGCGCTTACGTTTTCGTGTACGATGAATTGGGCTTCTTCAGCCATTTGAACCAAGATAACCTAAAGAAAGCTATGAAGATGTCTAACATGGGGATCTCGGAAACCATAGAAGAGACGAAGATGGTCAAGTTAGGGAAAAATTGCGCATTATCATTCAATAAAGAAAGCCTAAAAATTCCGATTACTTCCTAAGATATGTCATGATAACCGAAATTTACCGATTTCGTTTTTATTTTCTTCTGATGTTATTTGATACAAAAAATACTTATTAATTGTAACTTTTTGAGCTCTACGGAGAGATCATCAATTTTATTTTTTTTTATATGGCCGGTACTGTATTGAGTAGCCATTGGGTTTCAACAGGATGGTGCACCCGCGCACGACGTGGTAATCTTTGGCCCGGTTAGTTATTATTTGTGAACATTATTGACGTTTTAATTAATTTTGAACAAGGGTATCAGATCTTATTTTGCCTATATTCGGCTAATAACAGCATATTTAGAAATAAATGCATATTTCATCATTCATATTTCTAATTCTTTGTGGGACAATAAAATTTTTGGAAGCGTCTTCCCCATTTTACAGATAAAGATGTGAGAAAAAGGTTTACTGCAAGTTAAATCATGGGCGGTGCACTTCCAAAGGATATAATATTTTAAGTCGGATAAGAAAAATCACCCCTTCTGTTATTTTTCTACGTGACAAAAGCCCCTTTTGCATTTTAAAGGCGATAATAAACAATGCAACGGTAGTAAAAGTGTCTAATTTCTGATGAAGTATATTTAGGAATAAGAAAACTTAATTCGGGTGAATTGTTTCAATATGATAAACATGAATTTTTCCTTCATATGTTTACAGGGTCTTAAATGTTTTCCATCCCCTCCATCGCGGAGATCAAATTTCCGGGACGGCCCGGGCCGGGCCCGGGATTGTCCATTGCCGTTTAGGTAATTCGTTTGAAGGTAATGAAATGGGTGGAATATTCACCGTTTCGTGCATATTTATTTGCATATTTCAACGTTTTTTAATGCATATCTTGCCTGCATATTTTTGGTTTTTTAATGCATATAAATACGGATTTATCATTGAGGGCTCGGGCAATAGAAATCAATATCTTCCCAAAATATTGCAAGTAAATTTGCTTTGTAATTTATTGTTTGCAAAAGCATGAAAATAAAGGCATGAGAAATTTAAATTGTTTTTTGACCTCGAAACGCAGACTTTGACTGTCGATAAAACTCGGAAGCAATCGTAATAATTCCCGTTTCGAAGTTGAATGACTGAGATACTATACTTAACTTAACTTAGTGCGACAACTTTATTTGAGCGATGTTGACTAAGTTCGCATTTACTATTTTGTTATTCACGCAATGTTCTACAGCTGAAGATGAGAGCCATTTACAACCGAGCAATAAAATTAATCAGGGTAGCCTTACAGGAAAATACATGGAATCAAGGAATGGTAGACAATTTAGCGCTTACTTAGGGATACCCTATGCAGAACCACCAATTGGAAATTTAAGGTTCAAGGTAATACATGTATAATTGTAACTGTTGTTCACTTGGGCGATGGGAATTCCAAACTGGAAAGATTTGATAACGACTTGTTATTTACACAAGTTAATCTACCTAGATCTAGAATATGCGCTTCGGTTGCTAAGAAAATCACACATTTCAGAATCTCTTGTCACTTTTTAATGCTTGTTCAGGAGTAACTGGAGCATGACAAAAATCACTCAATCTTGGTCTTTCTCGCGCTCCAATTGATTGGACAACACTAGTGCTCGGTTTTGTGTATTTCCCTGGTAACTAATTAACGCTTTGATTAACACATAAGCGATCAGAAACAGGCGAAAATTCTTCTTCCTTGATTATAGGCACCAATTCCCGGAGCACCATGGAAAGGTAACCTAAAAGCTACTGAGCATGGTGCGATGTGTCCACAAGAAGATCCCATTCTAAAATTGCCATACATGGGAGATGAGAATTGTTTATTCCTCAACGTTTACACTCCACAAGTAACGTTCTCTCCTAATGACTGGATAATAAATACCGGAATTTCAGTTGACTACTTCCGATAGCCGGTCATTTGCAGTGATGATATTCATACACGGTGGTGGTTTCGTTTGCGGTACAGGCAATTCTTATGGCCCAGATTACCTACTGGACGAGGACATCGTCTTGGTCACTTTCAACTATAGATTAGGTAATTCGCTCGTTTTCAACAGAACTAAATCTGAAACCTGCAGGCCCGCTTGGTTTCATGAGTACCGGCGATGAAATCCTGCCCGGAAATAATGGGTTAAAGGATCAATCGCTCGCGTTAAAGTGGGTGAATCAAAATATAAGGGCATTTGGAGGTGATCCGAAGCGAATAACCATATTTGGCGAATCTGCCGGTGCGGCCAGCGTGCATTTTCACATGTTTTCGCCTTTATCTCGAGGTGAGTATTTCCATTAAAAGCCGACAAGGATTTGAGTTACTCCTTTCAGGACTGTTTAGTGCTGCAATTTCCCAGAGTGGCACTGTGTTCAGCACTTGGGCGCTTACGGATAAGAAGTTTGTTGTCGGAAACACAAAGAAACTAGCGCAATACGTGGGCTGCTCGACTGACAACCATTACGACATGATCGAGTGCCTGCGCTCTGCGGATGAAATGAAGCTAGTCGAGTCCCGACGAATATTTTATGTATGCAATACCCATTATTCAAATTGTAAGAGTGATCTTTCAGGAATGGGACATAGAGCCGTTGATGGTGTTTACAGCTGTTGTAGAGGACGATACGGAAGGTTCATTTTTACCGGACAGCCCTTTGAATATTTTAAAGTCTGGGAAGTACGCCAATGTACCTTGGATAACCGGGGTGAACAGTGCGGAAGGCGCATTCAGGGTTGCTGGTATGTGTTAGTAATATACTATCTAGTAATTTTTTACAAATATAACCAGGTATTCACAAGGACAAGAAGCTGTTGCGAGAACTTGACGAAGACTTCAATCGCATTATGGCGATAACTTTCATTAGCAAAGATCCTCAGTTTGAGCACATCGCGAAGCGTATTCGAAAATTTTACTTTGGAAACAAGCAAATTGGCGAAAACACTATATTGGACGCTGTAGATGTACGTAGACTATAATCGCTGAAGAGTTTCATATTTCAGGTGTTGCTAGATTATTACAACTCTGTTGCATTTGTCTAATTTCAGTTATATTCGGACATCATCATCATTCCAGCCACGCATCTTTCGGTGGAACTCCACTTGAAGTACTCCAAACAGCCTGTATATTATTACCTATTTTCCCATTCCATCCAACATAGTTTCGCCGAACTTATCGGAGTCCCATCATTTCGATACGGTTACAAATGCAATTCGCAATGTGTATGTGACTCATTCCTCATATTGCAGGCGCTGGTCATTTGGATGAGGCACTGTTGCAGTTTCCTGTTGGTTTGATGCTTAGAGCAATGGATCAAGAGGACCTTCGTTACTCAAGGCTACTCATAAGCATGTGGACGAATTTTGCGGCATACGGGTAATACCATGCAATTTGTTATTGTCCTTACATTCTTTGGCCAATAGCAATCCAACGCCCGAAACCGGCTCACTGATCACTTCCAAGTGGGAGCCAGTTACTACAACAGCTTTGGAATATTATCATATTGGAGGTGGTGTTCATACATCAAGTAATTTGTACTCTGAACGGATCCAGTTTTGGAAACAGATCAATAAAGAAATGAAATTGAGTATGCGCGATGAGTTGTAAGCGACCTGTAGATTAAGATGGTTTAATTGCTCTGTGTGATTTATTATTTTTCACAGTTCACATGTAATCATAAAATTGAGCCAAAACAAGAAAATTTAAAATTTAATCAATTTACCTTTCTTCTTGTGTCTCGAAAAATGTTCCCCAACCCACTCGTATCCAGAGCGGCACATAAACATTTCTTCACTTCGAGGGCTGCTAATCGCGTGGGCGGATTCGGTTCAAATTTTGCACAGTTGCTCTATATGCCATCATGTAACAAATGTATTGAGTATTGGAAAATCCAATGACCCCGTCACACCGAAGTGCTTAGATCCGCTTTAGTGGTTTATTTATTTCATGCTCTCGACGAACCAGTTTTTTATTCCTTACTCGAAATCAGTTTTATTACATTTGCGAACAAATCTTTTGTCATTCACTTTTTTGTTTATGGTTTATATAGTCTATTTTTTAGGTGTTGCTATGTGAAATGGCAAACGGTCATTAAGCCACCCACAAAGCAAATTTCCAAAGAAATTTTCATTAACACCTGAAATAATTCTTGGTCACGAATAAAAAAATGTGACATGAAAACTCTATCTATTCGATTAAAAACAGTTTAAATGACAAAGACAAAAATTTATTCCACTAAACATTAAAAACAAAATTAAACAAGGCGCTAAAAGCAGTGGCGTAGCTATCGGGGTAGTAGCGGTTCCAATTGCTACTCGGCGCCAAGTACCGAAAGGCGCCGCGGTTAGTATCGTTTATTGGTTTATTTATTATATTACTTACATTTACATCGCGGTTGGGATTAATCAGAGTAGCAAAAATTCAACAAAAATAATCTTACAAGATTTAAATTTAATTATCCAACTGTGATACAGTAAACCTGTAAGCTTATGTATAAAAGAAAGACCTTTATTTAACATAAAGGCCTATTGTATCTCGAAACTTGACAATATCACATTTCAACTAAATGAAGTCATGCGAGGTGCACGTGCTAGGATGCGATGCGAAGCATTGAACGTTATCATTATTGCCCTGCACCTGCATGTGTATGAGAGTTAAGGCGCATTAATTGTTTTGCTACCCGGCGCATCGTACTCTAGCGACGCCACTGGCTAAAAGAAATAGAACCTGTTTTTTGCACATACCCCGCACGCATGCGTTCGACAGACAATAAAATAAAGAAATCTTAATCACTTATTAAATAATCCATTCGATCAGGTCGTAACAAATTTGCGAAATTCAAGCGCACTATAAAACACAAACGTTGGAGGCTTCTGGAACTTCACTTCTTCTTGATAACAATGAACTTGATGGCAAAATCTGGCTTGTTGAATTAGATGACAAAATTTGTTGGAATTCCAGACGGTAGAAGACTTTTAACTTTTAATGAAAAGAAAGCCTTAAAGAAAGGCAACAACTTGCCGACGAATTACTTTTTCACATACACAGGCGGACTGCCCGAAAACTTAGTTTAAAGCAACGTCAATCGCAATTAGATTAGATAAACGCGAGCCACGACCGAACTCTCCAAACGTTATAGGACAAGAAAGTTGCATTTTTTGTTTATGTTCTAGTCGCTATAATACGGGAGCAGTTTGATAAGTTAGTGACTTTTTGAATGAAAGCATATAAACGTTTTATTTCTGAACATAGTCCCCTTTTGGCTCGATACATTTGGTCCACCGTTTTTCCAATTTTTTGTTCCTTCCAAACAATAAGTTTTCTTAAATCCCTCAAAATTTGGTTTGTGGCTGAACATTGCCAAACACTACTTTGAAATGGTCACACGGTTGCGCTTATGGTCGAGTGTGAGATCGTTTTCATGTCCAAATATTATGAGGTACCCACTCAGGTGAAATGCCAACCTCGGTCACCTCACGCACTTTTTTCTCTGACGTTCCAATGTCATTCCATGGATTATAGAGGGTGGAGTAATAAATTCAAAATGTTACTGCATTTAGATTTGTGATAAAGTTCGTAGTTTCCACTTAAAGTTAACGATTATTTTTTTGTGCGAAATTAAAGTCTATAACGCAGTGAAAATTTGATGCGTTTCGGAAATGATTGGCTACAGTTTGCCGGAGTTACAAGAGAAGATTGTTGTCTTAATTAGTTCTGCGTGCTCGAAACCGCAGAATCAGGATTAGGTCATCTCCTGTATTGTAAGAATGCAATTCTGCAGAAAATTCAGATCGTGAATTTAACGGGAACAGCTAACTACCATGCACAGGAGGTACGGCGAATCTGACTGGCTTTTAAAAGAAAAATTGTCGAGGTGTTAATACTAGACGCCATTTTGAAACACGTTAATTAGTTCAAAAGAAATTAGGTAGGGATTAATCCGAAATAATTGTGAAGAGATTCGCTCCTTGGTGCAGTCGTGGGGGGCCAAGAGAGTGGTATATGATAATCCGAAATTTAGGGAAGCTGCCGAGCGACGATGACTAGGCGAGCGACTCAGTTTTCTGTCTTTCGCCCTGAAAGCGGGGAAAGGGGCATATGCTCTTATTCCCGTGAACCTATAGATTCGGGTCCGAAAAAACATAGGTGGTTTGGACAAGGTCCCACAAAATATCGAAGAAAAAGAAAAAAAATATGTCTAATTCTCACAGTGTTCTTTTAAAAGTAAATGGGCGGCTGGGGTGTGGAGGGAGGCCTAATTTCGGGATCGTACCCATTTCGAAAATTTTATCTCGCCGGCCACTGAATAATTAATACTCGTTTCAAAACTAAAAAACTACTAATTGACAAAAAATAACATAAAACACTTCGTTTATATTGTGTCATTATGATATTACAACCTCCTATCATAATCGCTTTCATTATAAACTAATGTTTTAATATATTATTTTGTGACTTTGTTATAAAGCAATTATTACGCACAAAAACAAGCGGACCGAAAGATAAATAAATTCCTTACCTGGATACTGTAAAGGGGACGGCACACGAGCAATCTAATTAACAATGGGCCGTATGAATAAAAGTAAGCAAATGCTTATATTTGCAAAATTCAAAGTAAATACTCGTAAGTGCTCCTTCGCATCTGGGCGACTTAGCAGCGCTTCTAAGCAGAAGGACAGGACGCAGTGCAGCGCTGCTAAACCATGCTAAACAGACCAGTATGAAGGGGCAGTTGCGAGTATTTACTTTGAATTTTGCAAGTATAAGCATTTGCTTACTTTTATTCATACGGGCCAATATTTCGAATAATTGACAGTAGGTATCTTTGACATTTCTTTCTCTGTATTGATTGGTTTGACGAAAGGTATTCAAAAACTCTTAAAACCTCGGCCATCACTACAATATTATTGATTGAATAATATTGTCAATATTTGTGAACGTGTACTGGCTCCTATTACATATATAGTGATTAGATACAGGGCCGCCGATAAGGGGAGTCAGCCGGGGCATTTGCCCCGGGGCCCGGTCATATTTTAGGGGCCCGGTCAAAAGAGATTTTGAAACCTGTTTTTTTAACAGAAATCTGCATATGCATATCTCTATATGAGAGAGTAGAATATAAAAAAATGCACAGCAGAAGATCTAAACCAAACCATTGAGCAAAATTTCCTAATTACGCCACAGTGGCAGAAGGCTCGCTAGGTAAAAAACCGTTTGAGATCGACTATGGGGCAAGATTGTTAGATCAATCTCGGTACATTAGATCTCGCATTAGATCTTGAAGTTCAACTTGCTAGAGAAATTAATTTTGAGCGAGTGATATTCACTTTTGCTAATAAGAAAATCCGCAGAGTTACATTGTAATTTGGTAATTTGAATTCTAAGAATTCATAGTAAAGGATGAAAATTACTGTGTCTGTATGAAAATTATTCCAAATGTTCCCTTTCCAAATTTAAGTAGTCAAGATTGAAAATGTCTAGTTTAAGATAAGGGTGATGGGCAACAAAAATTTCAATATTATAGGGGCCCGGTCAAAAAATATTCCCGGGGTCCGTCGAGGTTACGGCGGCCCTGATTAGATATTGAACTTTGACTCACTCTTCCTATTCTATTGACAATAATGTCCAGTTAAAGCGGCTTTAGTTACGTCAAGCTAAACTTATTGATCACTCAATTAAAGTCTGCTAACAACAATGCATGTGAAACTTTCATACATGTTTGTGTTGCATTTTCTTTACATTCTTAGAGTTCAAAGTCATGATGAAGGACGACCTATGGTTAAGCTTAACGAAGGGAGGGTAATTGGTACATATATGTCAACAAGAAATGGCAACAAGATAAGTGCGTATATGGGTATTCGATATGCTGAACCGCCTGTTGGAAACCTGCGGTTTATGGTAAGCCTCTGTTTTTTGAAACGAACTATTCCTGCCGCCTTTTTCCATTGCATTTACCCACAGCATTAAAATTCTGCAATTAAACTAGAGTGGATTTGGCGAAAAAGTTAACATTTCTCTTTAACGCTTAGGGGAGTTTCCAATAGTATTGCGAAAAATGGTATTATTTGATTTGCATCTTAAATGAAGAACTGCAAATTTTGAGACTTTACGTTCCCAAACGATTTTTTTTAATATTCGGTTGAATTGGAGAAAATTTTGGTCCATAAGTGCCAAACAAATCTATACAAAGTTATTATAATAAATATACGAGGGTCTTCATAACTGTCAACTGGAGCTTTTAATTATACTCTCTTTTCATATTAGATGAAAAAACATTCAATGAGGCCTATCCTATCTACAAAGTGCGTACAATACCAAGACAAAAAAGTTCAATTATCCACTACCGAAAGCTTGTTACACAAAGTTATACATTTTGAGTCCAAAAAATCTGCAACGGTACTGGCATGGCGGCGTGCTGTTATTTGCTAATTACTTGCTTCATTTAGATATTAGATGGGTCTAATGTCCTCTTTAAAATGATCAAATATCGGAGCGATCGGTCAACTGGTTACGAAGATTTTTTTTCGAAAAAAACATTACTTCAACTTTACATTTTTTTCCGGAGCAACTATTAACAATGTCGAAAATTGAGCACAAACAGCAACAATCGGAATACATTTGTGACATAATGACGTTCGGTCGGTTCAAATCGGTCAAAACTATAATCTGTGGAGGGAGAAACGGCTCCAAATGTCGGTTTTTTTCCGATATCCCGAAAACTATGTTGCCGATTTGGATCAAATTTATTCAGTAGACGCGCCTAATGTGCTCTATCAGTTGACACAATTTTTGGTTCTGAGATAGCTTAATTTTTTGAGACGAAGGAAGGCGGAAAACATTTTATATTGCGACAATTTCAGCCTCCAACACCTACAAAACCATTGACTGGTGACTGGGAGGCCACCAAGTTTGGCTCAATATGCCCCCAAGAAGATCTATTCTCACCAACACCAAATTATTTCCAAGGAGATGAAGACTGCTTGTTTCTCAACGTGTTCACCCCACAGGTAAAATTCGGCTTACTTCAAACTAGATGGTACTAGTCCTAGATTCCAGATGAATGAGACGAAAACGAAATCATACGCTGTAATGCTCTTTATACACGGTGGCGGGTATTTCTTCGGTTCGGCCAATTTTTATGGCCCGGGCTATCTACTAGACGAAAATGTGATCTTAGTTACCACCAATTATAGGATTGGTAAACGGTTTCGTCCTTATCTCCAGTGTAACTCATTTCTCTAGGTGCGTTGGGATTTCTTTCCACCGGTGACTCGGTGGTACCCGGTAACAACGGCTTAAAGGATCAAGTTGTAGCATTGCGATGGGTTCGTGATAATATTCAGGCGTTTGGCGGAGATCCAAACCGAATTACCATCTTTGGAGAATCTGCCGGAGCGGCTAGTGTACACCTCCACATGTTTTCTCCACTCAGCCGAGGTAAGTGGGCTAACTACAATCGAATAGTAAGTAGTGATAAATTAAAGGGCTCTTTAATAATGCGATATCTCAAAGCGGTACGGCTTTTAACTTTTGGGCATTCCGAGATACAAATGCCGCAGTGGAAGACGGCAAGGTCCTTGCTAAGCATTTTGGGTGTTCCACTGAGGACCACTACAGGATGGTGGAGTGCTTGCAATCCGTAGACGCTAAGGCGATAGTACAAGCGAGACGGATCTTTTACGTAAGGGTTGGGCTGATTGAAACAATGCCGATTGTAACTTTTCAGGAATGGGCAGATGAGCCGATCATATCATTCACACCTGTCGTGGAACCAATCCAAAATGGTGCGTTTTTACCAGTTCATCCGCTTAGCGTTTTAAAGCAGGGGAATTATGCACCAGTGCCTTGGATTAGTGGTGTAAATAGCGAAGAAGGTGCCATAAAGTTTTCGCCTATATTTTTGCAGAAAAAACTTCTGGAAGATCTGAATCAAGATTTTAATCACATTATGGCTTTAACTGTGAACACCAAAAACAAAAAATTTGAAAATGACGCAAGCAAAATTCGAGAATTTTACTTTGGAACCAAAAAGATTGGCGCGGACACTTTTGTAAACTCTGTAAATGTATGTGTTCTTCTGGTGCTACCAGTTTCCAATACGTGCTTTTTAGTTGTATTCGGACTTGTATTTTACTGTCGCTACTCAAAATGCTGTTAATCTTCACTTTAAATACTCCCAGCAACCTGTATACTACTACATGTATTCACATGCGGGCAGAAACAGTGCGACCGAATCATTTCTTCCTGCCTTCCGACACGGTAGTCAGTAATTTATTGTCTCACTATGTGTTAATAAGTCAAAAACTAGGTGCGAGTCATGCAGACGAGCTACTTTTACTATTTCCCATGGCTGGATTATTTGAAAACACTCCGTTGGACCACATCGATTACCATTACTCTAATTTGCTGGTGAAGTTGTGGACGAATTTTGCAAAATACGGGTAAGCTTAATTCGATTAGAATTATTCATGAATTTTGCCTTAGCGATCCGACGCCGAGCACAAATTCAATAATTACGGTAAAATGGCAACCGGTTAAGACAGCGGATTTGGAATACTACCACATTGGAGGAGGAGTACATGTTTCCAGCAACTTATATTCCGAGAGAATGAAATTTTGGAAAGCGTTTAAGAGCGGAATTGAATCCGTAGTTACCCATGACGAATTGTAACACAATATGTACCCAAAAGTCGGTCGTTGCATTTGAAATATTAGATAAAATTGGTTTTTTAGGAAAATGTAATAAACTTTGTCATCAATAAAATCCCAGGTAAAATCCTGAACAAATTGATCCATATTTTCTCAATATACCTACATATTGTAACTTTTTTAGTTCCATAATTGTTTTTAACTCAAAAGCATTAGGTAACTAAATTATTAATGTCCTTAAATATACCTAGAAAACAGGACAAAAAACATCAAAATTTATTTTTAAAAAATCACGGTGCTGTGCCTCACTATTGGGGGTACTATCCCCTAAAATTACGGCACTAGGTCAGCGAAGTACAATACGTGAACATTTTACTCTCAATTTTTCTCCAAAAAAACAAGATGGTGAGCTTGACGAAATCGTTAAAATGATATTTCTCGAAAACAGTATGCGGACAATTAGCGCCCGGATAATTCCCTCACGGACAATTCGCTCCCAAGTCAATTCGCTCCTAGGACAATTCGCGCTCGTATAATTCGCTCCCGGAAAATTCGCGCCCGGATGATTTGCGCCCGGACAAAGACAAATATCATATACGAGTAATATAATATAAGACGAATATCAAAATTCACGTTTTAAGAAATTATTGAAAAATAAACAGGCACAACCTCTGCACTAAAGTGTATTTTTGTTTACCCCCGACCCTCCCGAGCATCGATTCGGGGGGTCGCGAGCTACAGGTTGAACCGATTAAGTTCGGTCAACTTTTCCACGCGTCTATCGACTATAGGCCGACCTGTAAGAATATTAACTACATTGAATTCTTGTGCCCAGTTGCTGAATTTAGTAAATTTTAATTTTTCCTAAAATTTTTGCTCTTTTGAATTTCGAAGGCTCTTCCTTGATTTCTTCCGAATTTTTGTTTGGTGAATTTTCCTGACTTTATTGAAGTTTTGAGTTTTGAATATTTTAAATTTTGAATGCTCCTGATCTTTTTAATAAAGGATTGAATTACCAATACTTCAAATGTTTTTAAATTGCTTATTTTTTTAATTTTTTGGATCTTTGCAGTTTTAATTTCCTCAAAATTTTCGAATTTTTCTAATAATTTTCTGGAATAAAATAGTTTTGCATTTTTGTTGTTTCTATACATTTTGACTTTTCATTGAATTGTGGGGTTGTGTTTTTGAATTTGCGTGAATTTTCCGCTTTTTCCATGATTTTTGGATTTTCTGTTAAATTTAATGTTTTCTGAATCGTCATATATTTATTGAAAGTTCCAGTTTTTTACTTTTTGTGAATTTTTGTTTAGCGTGTCCACCTATACTTACGAATTTTGCAAAATTTAACTATAAGATGACCTCTTGTCGTATCTATGAGACATCAGAGTGCTTACCTAACCATACTAAACAAGCTTATGATTCTACAACCCCTTTACTGACCGAACTAACATGGCAGGGTGATAATGAAACACGATTAAGTTTACAATTCATCTTTTAGATGGTTAGCAGTCATCAATTCATCCTTCCAAAACCGAATGCGTTCAGGAAGCAGCTTCTTTGCAGTATGCAGCCCCCCTCCAATATACAGATACTCCAAGTCTTCACTTTTCACCGGTTCCCACAGTGTTGAAATCTCCGGGGTCGGTGCAGGTGTTGGATTACTGAAAGGAAGCTTACACTAATAGTTTATAGTTAGTAAATTACCAACCCTAGCCTTGCAAAATTTGTCCATAGTTCAGTCATCAACTTTGACATGCGTCGATCCAATTCGGTTTGCTTCCGATTTTCAAATAAAAATTCCAGAGGGAAGAGCAGGGGCAGTTCGTCTGCATGTGATGCTCCATAAGGCTCGTTTGAGACGCCAACCACCCGACTGAAGCTGTTGGGACTTTGATGATTGAAAAAATAATAATATACAGGCTGATTTGAATGTTTCAAGTGCAAATCGACGGCGGTTTCCACCCCTACGAAAAATAGATAATCGGAAAACATCTGAAAGGTGTGGATAAGTTTTGTGTGAATGTCACTAGTCGATACCACATACGTCCACCAAGTTGAAAAGTGTTGAATTATTAATACTCTGCTCGCCAAAGTAAAATTTCCTAATTCGCTTAGCGGCATTTTCAAAACTTGCGCCTTTTTCGAAAATGATACCCATGATTCGATTAAATTCTTGGTCGAGTTCGACGATGCGATCGGGATTTTTGTTCAATGCTGAAATGAAAATGAGCGAGGCTTGGATTGGGCGACGGTCCTACCTGCTACTTTAATTACCCCCTCGTTACCATTTACTCCAGTAACCCAAGGCAGTTGAGCGTAGCCTCCATTCTGCACGATCTCTAACGGATGCCTCGCTAAAAATGCTCCTTCGTGTTCTACCTCTACAACAGGTTTAAATGGAATGAAGGGTTCAATGTCCCATTCCTACAATTTGGGATTAATACCAGAGACGGTCGCTAACTGAAAGTGTACCATGAAAATCTTATCCTTCTCTATAATTTCGGATGGTTCTATAAGTCGCATGCATTCGACCATCACTTTGTTATCGGCACTGGAGCATCCTAGCGCAGTGGCTAACTTTGATGCTTTGGTCGCGACCAGCGACCTATCCGCAAGTGACCATATGTTAAAAGCCGTCCCACTCTGAGATATCGCACTGCTGAATAGACCTAGTAAAAGTCATTAACTGAGGTAATTCTAAAGAAATGGTAGGTACCATGTGAAAGAGGTGAAAAATAATGGAAATGCGCGCTTGCTCCACCTGCTGCTTCACCGAATAGGGTTATTTTCTTTGGGTCACCTCCAAACGCCGCTATGTTCTCACTCACCCATTTTATTGCCAAGCTCTGATCTTTAAAACCGTTATTTCCGGGAACCACGTCGTCGCCCGTTGATAGAAAACCTAGTGCACCTAAAATCCCATCGTCAACTGGTACTGTTGTGCAATGCGTCGTTACCGATTCTGTAGTTAAATGTGACAAGGATGATGTCTTTTTCCAATAAGTAATCGGGTCCATACATTGTGCCGGTGCCAAAGTAGAAGCCGCCTCCGTGAATAAATACCATGACAGGATACAGATCTGACTCATCTTTGTGAAGCTAGGGGGTTTTGCTTGTAGTTTGTCTATTAAGGCGACACTTACTTGTGGTGTGTAGATATTGACGAATAAACAGTCTTCATCCCCGACAACTTTTACGCCTTTTTGGTATCGATCCTTCTGAGGACAGGAAGGTGGAAGGGTGGTGGCGTCTCGGACACCTTCCCATGGATCGGCTGATATCGGAGGCTAAAAGAATTTCTGGTTTCATTCTGTTTCTAATTTATTCTTAATGAAAAAGGTCAAAAGTCATCGTTCTTCACCATCAGGTTTATTGCATTCTTTATATTCTGATTAAATCATTGCACCAAATTAGTTGACCAGGATGAAATGCACTTTTGTGACGCAAAAATCTCAAAAAAAATTAGACCTTGAATTTGGGACTAAAATAAACACTCATTTGCTGACATTATCAGTTGTTAATGACCCAAATGATAAGCTATTAGGCTATCGCTTTGAGGTGATATGACGGACCTTCATTTCAATGTAACTGGATTATTGAATTCATAAAAGGAAGTAGAATACCTTAAAACGTAAATCTTTAACTGGAGGCTTCGCATAGGGGATTCCCAAAAATGCACTAAACTCCTTTCCATTTCTAGCCCTCATGAATTTGCCATTTAAAATTCCTTGCTTAATTTCGATGGACGGGAACGTTGATTTGCAGCAAGGTATGAAAACAATCACAAACAGTGTTAACTTTAACATCTTATTCGCCGATAGTTTTCGTCGTGGTGTATTCAGTGTCGACCATGCGGTTAACCAACATTAGAGCAATAGTGTAAAATTAAACGCGTGTAATCCTTAATCGTAAATGATGACGTATTAGCGATATTTTGTGTAGGTCGTACAGGAACCATTATCTATTGCCGAAATTTTTTAGATTCTGACTTCAGTTCAAAATTATTACTGTTGGTGATTCAACCCATTAAATTTGATCCCATCTCCGCAAATAAAGCAGATTAAAAAGTGACGATAATTGAAACAATAGAGAGGAATTTCCACAATCTATCAAACTTTTTGATCTATTCAGTTTTGTATCTGTGTGTATCCTTCAGCGACAGAGGCAGATTTCCATTTTCCGAAACGCTTTATTTTGTAATGTAATGAAAAAGAACGCAAAAAATTGATGTTAAGATATACAGAATGTTGCAATTAAAAAAAACCAACCAACAAACATTTTGTATGTTGTATGGTCAGATACGTGTAACGATTTATTTTCTTCATTACACGCATTATTAGTGTTCACGGTATGTTTACTTGTTGAAAGATGCACCTTTCCATTCGTACTTGGGTCGAAGGTTCTTGCTTGACTCGAGACCATTGCATCTTCTTAATTTTTTAATTAACGTTCTTACTCAATTTCTTCGGTGTTATAAGGGGCGTAAATCGTTATAACTCCACTTCTTATTCGCCACGCGTCTTTCCACTCGTACTCGGGCTCTTACCATCTGCTGCCTACCCCGCCTATAGGCTAGCTCCGTTGTTGGTATCTTCACAGGTTGCTGGTACCGTTGGTCATACCTCGAAGTACAATGTTCAATGGCCGATTCCGTTGTTGACTCGTGAACCATGTTCATGGTCGGTTTGAGAATGAGTGGGTTTGGGGTAGAATATAAGGTGGTAAACCGTCACTTTTAAAAAATTGTAAACTGAAACCTTACACCCCAAATGAGTAAAGGTATTCGCTAAAAATATCTAAGGTGTATCCGCAATAATTACAGCAATAATAGTCAAATCGTATTCGACCCAGTGTCAATCTCGAGTAGTACAAAAGAAGTAGAGCGATCGCGAAGGAAAAAGTCTCAAAAATCGAAAAAATACCTGATCTGTACGATATTCAAGATCATATTGAAATACCTTTCAAACCAGAACAATTTTAGTCCAGTATGCAGACAATTTTGACCTGCAAAACATGGTGTAAAAGATTTTATAGTTTTAAATGGTCCAAATAACATGTATTTGAAGAGTGCACACTAATTTTTTCACGGCACAACTTTTAGCACCAAAAATGTCAAAACGTTTGGACTTTTTTCAGTGTTTCGCTTAAAATTCGAAAACGGTCCATATTTTATAAATAACACTTCTTTAGTAAATTAAAGAAAACAAAATTCTGCATCGATGAAAATGTGAGCAAACAAAATCGTTCCAATAAAAAATTTTTTACAAGCGATCAAAGAAACCATTTTTTCCAACTTTTTAAAAAAACTGAGTTAACCTTTTTTTAATGCGTTGTGGCTCCTAAAGGAACAATAAAATCTACTACCTCCCTCCCTAAAGATTGTATAACATCAATCAGAGTGTTCAAAAAGTATGAAAAATTTAAAATTGGACCAATTTTTGAAATTTTAGCTACCACTCTTTCAAAAATGGGATTTTACTAAGCTGGTTTTGTGCCAGGATTAGCTGGGTACACCATCAAATACGACGACGGTTTCTGGCCCATAGTGCTCACTGCATTTGGAGGAAAGCAATGAACTTTTTTTAAAACGGTCGAAAGGACGTACAACCGAACAATTATGCACGGAGACGTCATTTTTCCATGGTTTTTCCGGATGTGACACATCAGCAGCTTACAACATTGGTAAACTAAAATTTTTCACAACCACGGAGAAACATCCAGAGTTCGTAAATGAAACAGCGTTGTTCTATCAATAAGAGAGTCGACTCTGCCTTGCTCACTGTCATTGGTGAACGTTTTTCCATTTCTTTTTTGGTGGCACTACAGATGAGATGATTCTCTTGACAGCCTTAGATATAAAAGATTCGCCAAATCGGTGAAACAGTACCTTTAAATTGTCTTCATTTCTTCCAACGCAAGATACGGCCCGCTTCCACAGCTTCCAGATCTACCTTCAAGTCCAGTCGTGGCTCGGTAATTACAAGACTGGGACTGGAAAAATATAGGCCAATTTTGATGCCAGTACAAAGCTCAAAACCCCCGGCACACCCTGAGCTTCTGAAGTTGATCTTCTGCCAATGCAAAGGAACTTCTGGAGCAATGTGTGGAGGTTTGTATGTATGTATATATTATCGTGATGCGAAAAAATGGCTTCAAGTCGCTTGAGCCGACACACTTCGTTAAACAATTTTTTTCAACTACCTAGCTTTAAAAACTGCAAGAATTCCATCCTATATTGGAACCCCGGAATGACGGGAAACGCCCAGATGGAATGACATACGGACCATGGAAAAACGGACGACAATTAATATGGGATGTAACATGTGTAGATATCGCTAGCTAAAGCAACATTGTTTCATCGACGTCAACTGCTGGATCCATCGCAGAATCAGCAGAAAAAAAAAGATGCTAAAATATAGTAATCTACTAGACCGTTTTATTTTGTACCCTTTCGATATTGAAACACTTGGCGTTTGGGGGTCCATCTGCAAAAAATTTTAAGTGTACAGTGTACGGTAAATCTTTTTATGTTTTTAAACAATTTTATTTATATAATGTAAGTAGATACTTAATATTATGCATGTACAGTTATGAATATCGGAAAATAGTATCCGTTTCGCAGCGCTGTAAAACCATAATAAATGAATCAAAAAAGTTTGTAATGAAAATTGGACCAATTTTTGAAATTTTAGCTACCACTCTTTCAAAAATGGGATTTTACTAAGGTGGTTTTGTGCCAGGATTAGCTGGGTACACCATCAAATACGACGACGGTTTCTGGCCCATAGTACCTCTTTACGAATGTTGCGTTTCGAGACCAAACAACTTTATGAAGCAAGAATCCTCCGTTAATAAATGTGCAATACCTTTCATCTCTCTTGTTCGGGTCAAGTGAGGAACATGTCTTATAGAGTGTAGACTTGGTACCTTTCCGCATGTCCTCTTTACCAAAAAAGCACCAGTAATTCCCAATAAATTTCAAAAATCGGTCCAATTTAAAATTTTTGGAACTTTTTGAACTCTCTGATGTTCTACAATCTTTAGGGAGGGGGTAGTGGATTTTATCGTTCCTTTAAAAGTCACAACGCATTAAAAACAAGGTGAACTCAGTTTTTTAGAAAAGTTGGAAAATGGGGGTTCTTTGATCGCTTGTAAAAATTTTTTCTATTGGACTGATTTTGTTTGTTCATATTTTGATGGGCGCAGAATTGCATTTTCTTTAATTTACTAAAGAAGTGTTATTCATAAAATATGGACCGTTTCCGAGTTTTAAGCGAAATACTGAAAAAAGTCCGGACATTTTGAGGTTTTTTGGCTGACAAAAATTGGTGTCCACTCTTCAAATAGGTACATGTTATTGGGACCCAAATGGAACATTTAAAACGATAAAATCGTTTACAACACCTTTTGCAGGAATCGGACTGCTACGCATACTGGACTATTTCTATCGAACGAAAAAAATAAAGATAAATTAATAAAGATTTTAATAGAAGAATTTCAATTAGCAGGATGTACTTGTATTCAAGCAAAGGAAGATGCACATTCATTCATTATTATTAATACTGCATTCAAATCGCGGATGATGTTGAAACTGTTGTTGTGGAACAAGACATCGATCTTCTCGTATTATTATACATCAATTAAATATTGATATTATATAAAATGCCAAGGAAATTGTTAACTCATTACAGTACTGTTCATTATCATAATATTAAAATGCTAAGAAATTCCAAACCTAATACGTTCATAATTTTTTACTCTTAATTTTTCAACCAATCTGATAATTAAATAATTAATATTAATAAGAACTTTTTTAAATATGTACTTATATAATTGGTCTCACAAAAAATGTATTAAAACATTTATTATTAAAAATAAAATTCTCTACAACTTTGGCCCAGTAACTTTTAGTCGTAGAATAAAAAATAACAAAGTTATAAACGAAAGCTGATGAACATTTTGTAAAAAATTTCCAATTTATCTATATAACTTTTTCCTGGTCGTTTTACAAAAAATAACATTATACCAAGGGGGTTTTCAAAGAATAATTTTCATTACAAACTTTTTTGATTCGTTTATTATGGTTTTACAGCGCTGCGAAACGGATACTATTTTCCTATATTCATAACTGTACATGCATAATATTAAGTATTTACTTACATTATATAAATAAAATTGTTTAAAAACATAAAAAGATTTACCGTACACTGTACACTTAAAATATAAAAAATTTCATCAAATGCTGTCTGTGGCGGTAGGGTGCCTAAAATACAAGCGGCATTTCCCTTCTGAACAGCTAAACTAAATCTTTGTTTTAAACATTCAAAGCAACGTTTCTCCTGAGCTTTTTCAAAAGTTTTTTTACAAATTTCTGAAGCAATTTTTTTGCAGATGGACCCCCAAACGCCAAGTGTTTCAATATCGAAAGGGTACAAAATAAAACGGTCTAGTAGATTACTATATTTTAGCATCTTTTTTTTTCTGCTGATTCTGCGATGGATACAGCAGTTGACGTCGATGAAACAATGTTGCTTTAGCTAGCGATATCTACACATGTTACATCCCATATTAATTGTCGTCCGTTTTTCCATGGTCCGTATGTCATTCCATCTGGGCGTTTCCCGTCATTCTGGGGTTCCAATATAGGATGGAAGTCTTGCAGTTTTTAAAGCTAGGTAGTTGAAAAAAATTGTTTAACGAAGTGTGTCGCCTCAAGCGACTTGAAGCCATTTTTTCGCATCACGATAATATATACATACATACACACATTGCTCCAGAAGTTCCTTTGCATTGGCAGAAGATCAACTTCAGAAGCTCAGGGTGTGCCGGGGGTTTTGAGCTTTGTACTGGCATCAAAATTGGTCTATATTTTTCCAGTCCCAGTCTTGCAATTACCGAGCCACGACTGGACTTGAAGGTAGATCTGGAAGCTGTGGAAGCGGGCCGTATCTTGCGTTGGAAGAAATGAAGACAATTTAAAGGTACTGTTTCACTGATTTGGCGAATCTTTTATATCTAAGGCTGTCAAGAGAATCATCTCATCTGTAGTGCCACCAAAAAAGAAATGGAAAAACGTTCACCAATGACAGTGAGCAAGGCAGAGTCGACTCTCTTATTGATAGAACAACGCTGTTTCATTTACGAACTCTGGATGTTTCTCCGTGGTTGTGAAAAATTTTAGTTTACCAATGTTGTAAGCTCCTGATGTGTCACATCCTGAAAAACCATGGAAAAATGACGTCTCCGTGCATAATTGTTCGGTTGTACGTTCGTTCGACCGTTTTAAAAAAAGTTCATTGCTTTCCTCCAAATGCAGTGAGCAAGACAAGTATGTCGATTTCTTCAGCTACATTGGGATGCAGCAAAAGCAGAACGAACGATGAGGGTGTCTGCATCTGATTCTGATTGGTCGACAGTAACACCCATCTCTGACAATGAAGTTTTGAGAAGTACAATGAAACTAACCTTGTTCTTCTCGTTGCCAAGAAGTGGTGGTAATGTTGATATGGTGTTTTAATCGAATTGTACTTCTGTGAACTGGTATTTTTTCGTGCGACGCAAAGACTTAGCGCCTGCAACCTCCTGAGTAACCGTCAAATACAATGCTTGCAGAATTTAGATCAAAAACCACTTTATGTAAAAGAAAACCACCGTCGATGACGAAATGGCTCCTGGCACTGTTTAATTAGAGGATCATTGCACTGGTGTGAATGCATTAAACAAAGTCAACTTATAGCTTTTCTGATGCCATCATCAGGTGCTAATTCGTGCCTCAGATATTTTTTTATATCGCCGACTGTTTCTCTGAAATAATGCCAGTTCAAAGCTCAAAACCTCCAGCATCCCCTGAGCTTCTGAAGCTGATCTTCTGTCGATGCAAAAGAAACCGTCGACCAATTTGTGGATGTCGGACAACAGGCCTCAAATGTTCTGCAGCGTATCTTCATTGTTCTGGGGAGATTTGCAGGAACAAAACGGAAATATCAAAATTAATTAAGGAAAATGATTTCGAAGGAACCATCGACAATTATTGGGTCTCCCTCAACTATTTAACATTGAAGATCAACCAAATCCTGAGCCGCAGACCGAGAAAACAGTAATTATAGCATTTAGAAAATTAGAAAGTTATGTTAAATTATTAATCTTTATGTATAGGTACGAATACTATATAAAGGATAGTACCTATTCGCTTCGCAGCGCTGTAAAGCCATAATAAATGAATCAAATTAAAAAAGTTTGTAATGAAAATTATTCTTTGAAAACCCCTCTATAATATTGGTCTAATGATATTTTTTTGTAAAATGACCAGAAAAAAGGTATAATGATCAATTGAAAATTTTTTACAAAATGTTCATCAATTTTCGTTTAAAACTTTGTTATTTTTCATTCTGGGCCAAAGTTGTGGAGAATTTTATTTTTAATAAAAAATGATTGAATAAATTTTGTGTGAGAGCAATAGTTCGTCAGATAAACCATAAAAACCATTTGCGCCCCTTTTTCAAGAATGGCGGCCGTAGGACAAGGGCTGCAACCCCACAAATTTTAATTTAACTTTAGACTAACCCCTTCTTGATATTTAAAAAATAAAATTGCGTCCTCTAACTAACGCACACTAAGCCCAAAATTAACTTAAGAAAGTACTGACAGACAAAGTCTAGCGAAATTTAATGTGCTTCCTCATTGAGCTCCTGAGCCTCATAGTTAGCCCACTACTTCATTTATTTTACTCCCGCGATTTGTTTTGATCAATCTACTTCAGTGTAATATTAAAGTTACATAAGATATCTTTCATTGGTCCTTCGAGGTACACGTACCAAGACACCATACAATAGACTTCATGGTAAAACCTCTCTGCTATTCATCTTCGAGAACTCTTTTCGGTGGTGATTTGGGAGATCCAATGATACGATAATTCTTATCAGGGAGATTGAAAACAGATGTTGCAAGAAAACACGATCACGCGTGCGACCTTCGACGGTATACTTGACGTCAATATTATCCCAATACAGGCAGAAGCACTTCGCAAATAAATTCATGAAGTGACGTTACAGTGTAATTCAGCACGTGGTGGTGGACTTCATAACTCTGACCTCAAATTAATGAGAAAAAATCAAAACGCGTTGGAACTAACTGCGAACCCAAATTTGTCTATTATCAAAAAAAATGAGATTTAAAAAACACAATCGTAGACTAAGAGTAAATTTTCGTACTGGCCTAACTCATTTCATAACTCAACTCAAAACACAACGTTTTTTCCCAATTAAAAACCCTAAGTTTATGTAATAATGTCGATAAGCGATAAATGTATTTGACTATAAATAACACGAAACGTAAACGATGAACGTATGCATGGAATATTACCAATTGGTGTCACTCCATTTGTTTTATCATATAGCCTTAGTATTTCTAATTTTACTGTACACAAAAGTGGATCACCAGATGCTTTACGTTCTTTTGGCGTTAAATTTTCTGATAGCCCCAGGTGAAGCGGCAAAAATTACGACACAATATGGCACCATAGAAGGAGTCGTCTTCCGGACAAGATCGGGCAAGGAAGTGCTTGCCTACATGAGTATGCCTTATGCCGAACCACCGGTTGGAAAGTTACGTTTTCAGGTAAATTATCTACCATTGCTCACGCTGTAATGACCATTCTAGCCTCCGGTACCCGTGAAACGTTGGCCAAGGACGCTTAATGGGAGTAGAATACATGGGAAATGCCCTCAAAGGGCAATCTACACGTCAAGTGTTGCAAAAGAAGGTGACGAAGACTGTCTTTACATCAATGTGTACACACCCCTAGTATGCCTCGCTTGGAAATTTCTTAGTAATAAAGTGATTCTTGTAGAATGTGCGCGAAAGTTTACCAGTAATGGTCTATATCCACGGCGGAGGATATCGTACCGGTTGTGGTAGCTACAACTGCTTTGCTCCCAATGTCATTTTAGAGAAGGATGTTGTAATGGTTGCCTTTAATTACAGATTAGGTATCAATGTGTCCCTTGAAGTGTGCTAAGTATAAGAGTCATGCGTAGGTCCTCTTGGCTTTCTCAGTACAGGGGATGGTGTTGTTCCCGGAAACAACGGCCTAAAAGACCAAAACCTGGCACTCCGTTGGGTCAAGGATAATATACGCGATTTTGGCGGAGACCCCTCGAGAATCACGTTATTTGGCCAATCAGCAGGCGCTGCTAGTGTGCATCTGCATATTCTATCGGCCAAAAGTCAAGGTAACGCACTAAGTAAGTCTAACGATAACCTTTTCTTAGGATTGTTTCATAGCGCGATATTACAAAGCGGATCGGCTTTGACGGCTTGGGGTTTTGACCGAAACCAGAACGTTGCGTATACCAAAACCGTTGCGAAAAGCTTAAAATGCCCGACAACGGATAACCGTGCACTAGTCGACTGTTTAATGCATAAAAACCCTCATCAAATTGTAGAGGCCGATATTAACCTTAGAGTAATTGCTAACTGCAGCTTCGCCATATTCACCACTCTCTTTACAGAAATGGTCGATTGATCCCACCGTCACGTTTAAACCCACAATTGAGGAAGACACGAACGACGGTTTCATCACACAACCCCCGTCAGATTTAATTCGGTCAGGAAATTTCTCGAAAGTCCCATTGATCATTGGGATGAACACCGAGGAAGGCAGTATGAGGACCATTGGTACGGAATTGACTTCTCTAACATACCATTACAGTCAAACCTTGAAGGAATATATCGGGATCCCTTCGTCACGAAATACTTTAACGATCATTTTGAGCAAGTTGCTCCGGTCTCTTTGGGCATCGAAAATCTCTACAGCAATTTAGGTAGTGTAGTGAAACGGATACGAGATTTTTATTTTAAAAGTTCCCCTATCAATCATCACGCACGATTAAATGTGATAGATGTAAGTTGCTGACGAATAAGAAATCATGTTTGAGAGCAATTTCCAGATGTACTCAGATGCTCGGTTTAATAGTGGCATTGACGAAACTGTGAGGCTGCATAAAAAACATGCGGATTCGGAAGTATTTCTTTATTTGTTCGGACATAGAGGTGCTGGCAGTTACAGTGAAATGCAAGGCGAGATGTCCACTAATTACGGTAACCTTATGACCTCCTAGGTTTTTAATCACCTCTACTGTTGCAGGTGTCAACCACTGTGATGAACTTTTTTATTTGTTTCCCTACATGGAAACCCACTTACCCTTCAAGAAACCGGACGCTTTTGACAACAGGATTTCAAAAGTATTTACGAACCTGTGGACTAACTTCGCTGCGACTAGGTTGGCGAACGCCTTAACGGTTGCTTACCTAAACTACTATTGTTTCAGCAAACCGACGTTAACAAAGGATTCCGTCCCGGTTTGGGAACCAGTTGCGACGGATAGACTAGAATTTTATTTTATAGGCCAAAGTAGCCACATGGGCACCAATCTGCTCATGAAACGCCTACAGTTTTGGAGGAAATTAAACAAGGAATTTAGGAAACCCGACTATGACTAGTTTTTCGCCTTTGCTCGAAGCATCTGTTTTTCTGCTCTAGTTTTAGGTCTAGTTAATTTCATTTGTGAGTCGGATGGTACGATTCCAAGGGAAGGAGGTGGTGGTACCGGTCCTGCCATTACTGCACACGTATAGTTTCCGGCACCGGGGTCGTCGAAAATTAATTCCCCTTCGCGATCTCTCCAAGCGCAGTAGCTAACTTCGTAGATAGTCTAATTAATTATTTATGTTAGAATTGCTGATATATTAAATTATTGACAAAGTACCTCCATTCCTAACCTTTTTGCGACAGTTTGCATCGATAATGTCGGAAACAATCCGGCAACAACGGGAATATTATACGATCTTGCCACCCTTACTCCGCACATCATTAGTAGGTATCCTAGTGCTGCACAGATTGGATAGTTCCAGATCTACGCGACAAATAACTTACACTGGTGTCGATACTGTGGTAAAACGCAAAGCTCGTAATAGCGTAGGTAAACGTCGCAGTTACACTTCTCGTGGATGTCAACCCTTCGATTTATATGCGACCTAAACGCGACGCACTTCTTCATAGCTTCGCCTTCAATCAGTTGCACTTGGCTAAATACGCGGTTAAACTCATTCTTTCTCATAACCTTCAAGATTAGAACTCCGACGATTTTTAACTTCGCTTCCGATTCATCTTGTAAATCCTCGTCGTCGTGGACATAATCTGTAATTCTAATGAGTAGATGTGATCTTGTACACTGCAAGCTACTTAGATCTACAGCGATGATGGATGAGCTGTCACGAATTTGAAAACGGATGCGTCTCAAATAACAAGCCAAAGATTCCTCGTCGTTTAGGAGCTCGGTGTTTTTACACAAAACGTCATTCTCCAAAAAGTGATCCTAAAAGGTGCCATTTCCGGTACCTGTTTTATTTTATCAGCTATGTACCTTAAACATATTTACGACCTCCTCGTGTTGATCCTCCTTTAGATCTTGAATTCGGATGCCGTACGACGTTTCCTTCCACACGAGCGGCGAGAATATACGTTTCAGCTGAATCTTAAGAGGATCTTCGAAGATTTCTTCTTCTTTTACAGCTTTCGCCCTCTCTTCCTCGAGTCGTAATCTTCTACTCATTCTGCGAGGAATGGAAGACAAGTATGACAGTGATCAAGACGTTTACATGTCAGTAGTTTCATATATTTCAAATACATTTGTAAAGTAATAACTATTTTGGTTTTTTCTTATCGCGCACTTCGATCACTGGAGGAACTTTAGGTGGTGATACGATGGGAGGTGGCAATATGTTCAAATCCATAAGTGTACAACAGCCTACAAAATCCTTCGAAAAAACGAAATCGCCCTGTTCGTTCCTCCAGTCAGCATAGTATAAAGTATATAGTGTCTGAAATTATAATGTATTATTGAGTAAAGTAAGTAAGTAAGTCCAGTTCTATCAGCCTTATGCACTTGCGGGGGGGGGTAAGTTGCGAAAAGAATTACTTCTACGCTATCGAGGTTGTGTTCCCAATTTACTTGGTACACAAAAAAGTAATAAATTTCAACCTTTGGCACCGATCTAATGAATTTGGACGTCTCCTCAACCAAATTTAGTGAATATACACAAAGAATTTGATGTTGATGTTGTTTCTAAAAAATGCGTATCCAATCTAAATATTAATAAATAGTGAATTTTCTTTATTCCGGTTTGTTAATCTACGATCTCGTCCAAGCGGAAGACTATCGATTGTCCGTCCAAAACAGAATTAAGAAACCTCCTCGTTCTTGTCTCAAAAGCCTTGATCGAAAGTATCAGTCTTTTACCTTCTTAAAAATAGTGTATAATTTCCAGATGCCATGAAAATGACATTCCATTATTCACTTCCAGTTAATAATGAAATCATTATGAACCACTGTTAAACTGCTGTCAAAGCCTACTTTATGGAGGGTTAAAATGTGATTATAGACTCGTAGCAATGCAATAAAAGCGAATCGTATGCATTTTAAAACGTCCAGCGCCCTCTCAATTATGAAAAGTAGAACTTCCAGGTCTCAGGCATAACAGTTGCAGTGTTCTATAGAAGTAAAAGCTTTGAAGCATTATGGTTCACAAAGATGGAGAAATGTGGCTATTGGGCACTTTTTCTGTGTGAAATTAATTTTTACTTTCTTTCGACTTTCGATTATTCTGAAAATCGGGTTTTTGAAAATCCTTCGAAACTTAATTCGTATTGATTTTGAAGTTATAATGAAACGAAAATTAAAATTAGAAAAAATTGGAATCGATATTTTTGCATTTTAACAGAAGAAAAATTGTTGAAAACGTTGTTTCCCCTGGAAATAACATTAGTTGACTTTATCAAACAACGAATTCAGTGTCTTGAAGGCGACACTTTGTATGTTGAGCTTTCAGACGATTTTCATTGCACGAACTTTATTAATGAGCGACAAAAAGAAAGTGTATGATTTTCTGTTCGTTCGTCTGTGTCCAGAATAACTCGCGAACGGTTTCGAATTTTCCAATTCTCTTTTCAGTAATAGGTAGACAGTGGCCAAGGGACTAACTGATTACATTTTGGTCAATGCTCGTCAACCGGAAGTGACTTTGTCGCTCGTTGTCTGTATTGGTCCAGTTTATTTCGTTTATAATTTTATACAGGGCGATTCAAAATGGAGTGCAAAGATCCTAAGGGCGTATTTACCAGCCAAACTAAGAAATCTTAGTTTTCTATATACAGGCTGTAAAAGTTTTTAAAAAAATTGTTTCTTTTATCAATTATTCAAAAACCTTTCAGCAGATTTAAATGGTAGGCTTATTTGTCGTCATAAGGGCCTTCCTTTGGATTAAAATAAATAAAAACAGATTTTTTTCAAAAAACTTTGACACACTGTATCTAGAAAACGAAGCAAGTTAGGACAACCGATTACCTATATGAAAAAAATTTCTTTTTTTTGGTGGTAAATAAGCCCTTAAAATTTTTGCATTCAATTTTGATTCTAAAATTTAATAAAAAACGTTGTTATACGAAGCACAGAAGAAAGAAGGCACCTGCTTAAGTACACAATGAAATAAATTAAGAAATTCTGTACAAGCTTTTAAAAATCGACTGGCTTATTGCTTAGATCTTTAGAACAAAACTGAGGTCATCTTGAACATCCCTTGTAAATTCTTTGGGTTGCAGAAGTAACTAACTATCAGGCATATCACTGCATTGACATGTCTATTTTAGAATCGAACATACGAGTTTTATGCAGGAGATTTGTATGTTCAGTGTTAAAATTTACGCACTGTATATATACACACTTATGCTAAAAGAAATGTCTTTCTAGCACCAAAAGTAAGGTTATGGGTATGTCAAAACAACGCATTCTGGCACGAGACGCGTCAGACTTGGACGTTAGTGGAACTCTGTTCCAGCAAGCTGATTGATGCAGAGGACTAGTATCGATGATCATTACGGTGCTTGGTAGAATTTAGCACGTTTCACTAAGATTCTGCATCTGAGAATTTGGGTTGCGGCGATAAGTGGTTTTATGTATCTGTTACACTCCCCCTCTGTCTCCTAAGGGCGTCTCGGATTTTGGTGGGTTTCGGTGGTCTTCCCGTCTTTCTTATAGGTCGGATGGGGTTGTTCCCTTGGTATGGTTTTACAGCAGACACGTGGTATTTCCCGAGGGCCTTGGTTTTTTGGGCTTGCTATTTTGTAAGTAGTTCAGGATGCTTGTTGCATATGAGGTTGAGTTTACTAGTCTCTCCTTTGGTACGCAATGAGTGTGAGTTGGCCAAGACCTGATCTCCTGGTTGGAATTGCGGTTCTTCTTGTCGATTTCGTTCTGCGTACTGTTTTTGTTTATCTTGTTGTTCTTCCTGGACTATCTTCGATTGGCGGATGACAGCCGTTAATTGTATTAGTTGTAGTGTTATCTCTGTGATGAAATTTTCGCTTTGGATAATACTTCGTTGGTCCCGGTTTACGTCGACAGTTGTTGGGAGTTCGCGTCCAACTGTAAGGTATTCTTCATTTTTTTTATTTATTTATAACCTCTCTCTTGTTGTGAGCTCTCAACAGGCGTTCCACGGATCCTAGGTTGGTTCCTTCTCACTGGGATAGAACAGCCCGTAAGGCGCTATTGCTGGCATCTGTGTGCAGCAGTATGAGAGCTGTGGTAGTAGCTTCCGTAGCGTTAGTATGCTTCTTGTTGGGCCAGCGTCCCGGTGCCAAGTAGTGTCTTTCTTTAGGAGGCTGTTGAGAGGTTTTGCGAGACCGGCAATATCGGCCTGGGTCTTCGTGGCGTCCACGGACATTTCTTGTGAGCTAATGAGTTATCCAAGATCATTTGGACATGGCCCGCCACCTTCCTTCCTTCCACCAACCACTTCCGCGCCTACCTTAATCAAGTTACCCTACTCGCATACCTTGACGACGTAACTCTCCTCTCCTCATACGTGGAGAAACACATGGAACACTTGTTTGAGGTCCTCCATGTGTTTCACCACGTCTGAGGAGAGGGAAGTTATGTCGTCAAGGTACACAAGTATAGGAACTAGGGTAATGCCGCCGCGGAAGTGGTTGATTTGTCCCTGGAAGGTGGCAGGCGCATTTTTAAGGCCAAAGGGCATACGTTTGAAACGGTACAGTCCTAATGGTGTCACAACCGTAGTGTAGTCTCCGCCTTCGCACGTACTAAGATCTTCCACCACCCGCCATGTAAGTACCGATTATATGTGCACCAGTTACGTGCAGCCCATCCTAGGTTATGGGTAGCAGTCTGCTACTGTTACACTGTTTATCGATACACACACGCGTTGAACCGTCTGGTTTTAATACCAAAATCACTAGTTGCTTGTAGGGTAGGTTTAAGATGAGGCCCGGCTTCTTCGACAAAGTCCATAATATGTGACGTGCGGTTCTTGGTTTGAGGGAGGATGATAACCGAAGTTTTTTTTTTAAGGCTTTCGGGATCTTGCCCATTTTAACCTACATTAGAGAAACCAGAGGACTAAACAAAGATTTATACGTTTCACGCTTTGGGGCCGATCAAAGCGACTTCACACAAAACATAGGTAGGCCACGGAAGGTTGGTAGCACATAAGGATGACATAATACGGGTTACAATTACAACGGTAGTTTACTTGCAGCTACAAACTGAGAACATCGCGAGGGCGATGTTGCCATTAGAAAGGACGAGGTCGACTCGATGGAAAACGGGCAACCCCGGCTTTGGAGGACGTTATAAAATGATGAACCGGCGAAGTACTCGCAATCTGTGTACAAGAGACTACCTCATTTGGCATTTGGTGATTTTAAATTTTAACGTAAGAGATTCACAACTAAATTTCAAGCATATATAAGAGATATAACGCAAAATTTCAAAATTTAGACTATATATAAGACGTTAGTAGCGTAGCGAATATTTCAAAGCAACATCGGGGTGCCATCAAGACACTATCAAGTCGATAAGGTATTAGTCCCCGGCGATCAGGAACGAAGGCGCATGTGACGCATTCTTTGTTTGCTATATAAGCAAATTGAACCGTCTTTAATTTCAAGATTGATGCCGAAATGAAATACCGACATTCGCGCTCGTGTGTTATAAATCTACATAAATTTGAGTACAAGTGAGTGGTAAATAATAGCTGTGTTATAAATTTAGTGCTCCAAAATAAAAAAAACAACTGCAAGTCGTGATTCAAAACTTGATAGAAGATATTCGTATTTTTAAATTTGAATTTGAAATGAAGGAAAAGTATTCCAAGACAATAAAAGTCGATATAGTTGTATAAAAGCAATCATAGATAATTTAGAAAACGAAATCTTTGAAACGGAACGTATAAAAGGAGCAATGTAACATAACGCCGACGGAAAAAATTGCCAAGATGTGCAATTGTATTATATTTTTGAGTTTCCGTACAGTGCCTTCCACGTATGGCGCAGGATTGTGAGGAAGTTGCCCAAAAAACGCTTACATTTGGTGTCACTCTACCTCACCTTCATTCCTAATTTCTTTGCTAAGGTTTGTATTCCGTCATCCTCAAATAGACCCACCACAGCTGCCGCTCCCTTCGCTTTGGCAACGTCAATTCCACAACGCACCAAATGATTCGCTAGCCCTGCAAGTAACTTCTATGTGCAAAACGCTCACAAAAAATAATATTACCCCTGTGCCTGTACTCTGGTAATAAACACAAATCATAGTAACGAACAATCCGGTCGCACTTATATTTCGCGAAAAAGTCCACCTTTCCGTGCATGTGCTGTCTCAATCTCACGTACTCTTTCATTGCATCTCCAGAAACCAACCGAATGCGTCTCATCACACGCGCGTAATCAAATTTGTCGATGGTTCTCAAGACCAACACTCCCACTATTTTCCTCCGACCCTCTTCTGTGGTAGAATCTGGAACAGTTCGCCAGAAACTCATCGACCAAAATCAGTTCGTGTAGTTACTTTCATCAACGACGATGATCGACGAATTATTGCCCACGGTAAGCAGCAGATGTTCAGTAAAGGATCTTGCGGATTCCTCGTCCTTCAAAAAACCCAAACTTTGGCATATGTGATTGTGTGGAAAGTAGTGGCTCTGAAAAATAGTTCGATATGTAGTTTTGTATTATTCTGTAATTAATTGACCTTAAGTAATTCAACAATCTCGTGAAAACGGTCGGGTTTTAGGTCTTCAACTGTGAAAGCACCGGTTCGTCCCCAAACAGTGGGAAAGTAGATAGTATTGTCGGACGTCATATTTGACAGGTATGAAATTCATTTCTCATTGGACTATCGGCCGATATCCATGCTGCCAACATTTTCTAAGGTTTATGAGAAGTTAATTGCTTTACAAATCTCGAAATACTTCCTGGAAAATAATCTCTTTTATCCGAACCAGTTTGGTTTTCGGCATGGAGAGTGTACTGCTGATGCCTTACCGTCATTTGTCAATACAACTCTTCAATGTTTTGAACAAGGAGAACATGCAGCGTTATTTTTAGACCTATCTAGTGCTTTTGACAATGTTTCAGATGACATACTATTAAAGAATCTTATCAGGGTTTACAACTTTGATTTAACAAGCAGATTCTTAACTAAATCATATCTGTCTAATAGAAATCATTGCTTTAGGATTAATAACATAAACTCGTGTTAACAAGGGGCGTGCCGCAAGGACGCATACTTGGACCGGCCCTGTTTCTAATCTACATCAACGACTTTCCCAACTGTATCTTGCAATCTGACGTTAATAACTGCCTACTATATGCGGACGACACTACTCTTCTAATGAAAGATAACACATATCCGCGAAAATTAGCGCTAATCTTTATGTACTGCCTAGGGGTTATCCGGTAATATCCTAATATCCCTCAGCAGACCTTTCGGATGGCTTACTTTGACCTATGTCATTGTCACTCTACTGTCACTCTACACTCAGTCTCTCTATAATCATCTGTGGATAGTGCTCCTCCAGTAAAAGAATGTTTAAACTTCGTCATGCAATTAAAATCGTGGCTAACTAGGATACAGAGTCAACTGCCGATCTGTTTTCGTTCAGTACAAGATACTAAGTCTTAAGAACTTAGTACCTATATTACAATTATTACAAAGACAATCTGAATTACACTGTTACGATACAAGATCCCAAAATAATGTTTGTATGCCTTTCCATAGACTCTGAAAGTTTATGCACAAGTAAGAAAGAGATTAGCAAATAATGCGTATGTACTGCACTGGCCAGGTACAAAAAATTACAGGACTACTCAAAATATAGTCAATCTGAACCGGTGTAGACGAAAAGGGGAGGATGATGAAGAGGAAATGTAAGAAAGTTTGTTTTTCCAAAATCTAGGTTATATCGTCATTGGGGGGTAACTGTAACGCCCCGTTTACATTATGTTAATTTTATTTTTTATTTGTAATAGAGCTTCGGTAGTTTAATGTAGGGTCGTCGTTTGTTCCTATGAAATTGCGGGCGGTCGCTGTCACTTTTTTGGTTTGGTTTATGATTTTTAACCGGTTCAAGTAATCGATCTGCCTTAGACACACCAATCTTAAACTGAAATCCACGCCTATTCCCTAGTTCAAAATACCTACATGACTAATTCAGACGTTCTTTAATTAAAACCATATTTAGATTTTGCCATTTTGGGTAATTTTATACTAATATAATAGCAATAGTTCAGATGCCGCCTAAGCTTAACCCCTGACACAGTAAGCCCAATAATAAACTGTGAATTATGGACGGGCCGTGGACATCAGGAAAATGTTAATGGTTTAATTTTTTCTATCAACGGTCGCGGACCAATAGTGGCGGTTTCAGTCTGTAGAACTTAAATCTGATTGGGTAGTTTAAGAGCGTTTAAAATTGGTGCGTGAAAACAGAAAGATCGTAGGCGCTAAATTCGATGTAGAAAAAGGGGATAATTAGCGGAACGGAAGGCAAGTGGAAAGGGCCTGACGGAAAGCGGAATCGGTCTCAACGAAAAAGTGTTTTCTCACACTACTTTAGAAACAACTACTTTCATCTCTAAAAAGAGTGAGGAAAATGTGATTTTCCTCTCTAGGGAGGAAAGTAGAGAACAATCGCTGCGATAATCTTAATAATGACATTTAAAATTGAAACATACTCGCATCTGGACTGGTATGTATTAAACTTTATTATTGCATACTATAATTTTTCAATTTTTATTGCAGTTTTAAAAAAAATTATGTGTAAAACTTGAGAAGAAGGTGTTTTTCAACTCTCGTTTAATTACTTTTAACTCGAGTTGAAAAACTCCACTTTCTTCTCTAGTTGTACAAATAACCATTACGACCTATTCTCATACCTACCAAATATACAAAAAAACGTTTCATAAAAATCGGTCAAACCATTTCAGAAGAGTTCATCCACAAACATTGTTACTTGTGGTGTTTGTGGTCGCACTCCTCCGAAACGGCTTGGCTTGGCCGTTTTTTGTGAAATGTTTTTTGTATACTTATTATTAGCGGTTTGAAATACACTTTACGACTTATTCTCATACCTACCAAATATCAAAATTTCATAAAAATCTGTCTAGCCGTTTCGGAGGGATGTGACCCCAAAACACCGTAACACGAGATTTTTATATATTGGCCGTTCAATGCTTATTTTATTAAGGATCCTCAGAGCCTTTATAGTTTTGTATTGTCCGTCCGTCCGTCCGTGTGCGCTATAACTCTTTTTATAAATGTCCGATCGTGTTGAAATTTGCCGTATTGGTACTTTGGACATTAAGGTAGCACGCCATTGATTTTCAGGAAGCTTGCTCAACAGGAACAAAAGTTATAGGACTTCGAATGAATCGGGAACAGAAAAAACTGTGAGCTCAGCATAATAGAAATCCAGAGCCGTCCTTAGCAAATGCGAGACCTGAAGCGAAATATTTTTGCGGGGATTTTTTTAACATTGATTGCCGGGGGGGGGGCTTATTTCCATAATAAGCCAGCATTCATCAGTTGCTTTTATTTCAGAAAATAAATAAGAAATCAATTGATTTTTTTTAAATGGCAATGCACCTTTTCATTAGGCTCATTTGATAGAGATTTTGTTTCTCTTTTCGATGATATGTACCCTTATTCAAGAAAATTTTTCAAAAAAATGTATCATAATTAGATGAATAACATTAATCTATATATCCTACATCAAAATAAAACAAATAAACCTGTACGTTTCGTATTAAACCTTGAAGACAAAACGAAATTAGCAGTAAAATGGCTTTCATCGCAATGAATATTCAAAATGTTCAAATGGTACGTCATTGAAAAGAGAAAAAAATCTCTATCAAATGAGCCTAATAAAAGTGTGCATTGCTATTTAAAAAAAATCAATTATTTTTCATTATTCATTTGTTTTCTGAAATAAAAACAATGGAATGCTGCCTTATCAGGGGAAATAAAATCGTTATTCTTGCGCCGAAATTGTTGGCAAAAAGAACAAGAGCACTATATCAATTCCCTAGACATGAATTTGATGCATATTTTTTGTTGACCATATGTACTTTGCAAGGTTGAAATAAATGGTCGTTAAAAAGTGTTGGTAATACCGAGGATCCTTCGATATTTCGTTGTATCGGTTTATTGGCAAGCTGCAAAAAATCAACGAATTTTGTAGTTTCGTTTCCAATCGCAGGAGAGGTTTTCCTTGCGAACAGTTTAAGTTCAAAATTCAAATTTTTACGGCATTTTTGCAAATTTATTTGTAAAAAGGTAAAGGTAGTCTTTAATCTCACTTTTCCCGGCTGGCTTGCTGGTTGGCGGGCCAGAAGAATAGCGCTTTTAAAAAGACGAGGAATGCACGTGTACGGGGCCGTGCAATTAACAATTTCAGGGCCGGGGCTTGAAGCCAGCGACATCTGGGCGCCATCCCTGAGCGTTTTATATTATCATAGAGATTTTTCAGTTTTTTTCTATATTCTTCTAGGTTTTGGTCCGATTGTGTTGAAATTGGTATCGTCGGAAAGGTCTTGTAAAGGCGCACTATTCCTGCGTGACGGAAATTTGTTTTTTTTCCTATGGGCGAAATTAACCACCTTTTGCAAAGCGCGCGTCTTCGAGGAGTAGTCGATTTTGGGCGCGTAATAATGTCTTAGAGCTCTAATCGCGGTGTGTCGCCAATAGAAGCACGAGCTATGATGAAGTGCCTAAAAATGGAGTACTATTTTGTGGCGGGGTTTAGCGAATGTGGTAGCCCCCGACAAGATCTTATTGATGGTGGAGTCAAAACTTCAAACGCGCATTGTGAGTGAACAGGACGCCGGTAGTGGGTACCGACAAAGGGAATATGGGAACCCCCGTTGAGATCTTACTGATGGTGGAGTCAAAACTTCCAACGAGAATTGCGGGTGAACGGGAAGTCGGAAGTGACTACCGACAAAGGAAATGTGATAGCTCCCGACAAGATCTTACTGATGGTGGAGTGAAAACTTCAAACTCGAATTGCGGGTGAACGGGACGTCGAAATTGGGTACCGACAAAGGGAATATGGTAACCTCCGACGAGATCTTGCTGATGGTGGAGTCAAAACTTGAAACGCGAATTGCGGGTGCACGGGACTTTGGAAGCGGGTACCGACAAAAGGAATATGGTAGGCCTTTCACAAGATCTTATTCACGTTGGAGTCAAAACTGAAAAATAGAATACTGATCTGCCACACAAAAATACGCGAAGGTCACTTAGACATATTACAAGTTAAAATATCCAAAAACACAAACCGAATTTAATCCGCTAAACAAACCTTACGTACAATAAAGCACAGGTTAGTCATTAATTAGTGGTATAATTTAAGAACGAAGGGGGGACACATCTTCCCATAAGAAAGACTAGAGGAAGGTATTGTAAAATTTTACGAATCAGATGCTTTCGGATCATATGGTATAATAAAAATTTCGGATGAATATCTCGCCGAAAATGGCCATTGGAGCGACAAATAATGAATGCCTTGTAGGTGCGCATGCAACGAAACATATGGAACAAAACGGGCATGTTTAGAGGAAAGGTTTGCTACCGGATAAATATAAAACATCGCTATTTCTTGCGTTTGGCACGAGTGATGGAAAAAAGCGTACCTTTAGGACTTTGGGCAGTCAGCAGTTTCATAATTTAAACAAGCAATGGTAATTCCGCCCTCTTTGAAATGGAAAAAGTCGCCTGAAAGGTTACACGAAATGTTCTTCTATCAGCAGTCAAAATTTTCGCGCAAAAAAATTGCCGCAAACTCGAAACAATAAGAATTTGAATTTTTATCGAACACCGTGACGCAAGCGCCGCGTCGATTATCGACGCTTTGCGCAGAATCCGACGAGGTTTACCATATCAAAATTTTATCTCGCGCACTTACTTTAGTTCACCGTAAACGCTACATCTGGTTTCCTCGCACGTGTTTTTTTATCGTAGTGTTTTGTTTATATCGATGTTATTTAACTTTTTGTGATTTGCACGTTTTACTTTTTGTGAACAAAAGTGGATCCTTTATACTGTTACAAGGTAGGTTTTCACTTAAATGACTCGTCAATTGATTGTTTTAAAGCTCCTCAGCTTCTGTTTGCCTTTTTTTAAAATTAATTGCGATAAATGCCACCTGAGGATCTTTGACGGTATTGGCCATTTGTCTAAAATAGCGCTGTCAGCTATTCAGATGCAAGCTATTTGCTGTTATAACACAGACCGTTTGGGTACAGGTATTTTATCGTTAGTCACTATCTAATTGTGCGCGTGTTAGTCATTGTTTTTGTAAATTTGCATTGATTGATTTCATGTTTTTCACTTTCGCCCACGCTTCCGCAACAAAAAAAATGCGTTTACACTTTTATCATCATTTCAATCATCTCGGCGCTTTGTGCACTGTAAATAATCGAGAATGTAATGCTTGGCTTCAAATTTGTTTGAAGATAACATCAAGTTCGTGATATGACTATCCCGAAGTCGTCGCATTAGTAAGTTAGAATGTCGTGTTGCATTCATTACCATACCGTATGGTTAGTTGTGCAAACGTGTAGGCAATTGTCAAAGAAACTATGGTGGAGTTCTCTTGAATTACTGGTATATAAGGGCCCTCTTATGTACATTCCATAAAAGCTATATTAAGCACGGGGATGCTATTTTTAGACCCATTTGACTAGGTCAGTGACGTAGGCGTTTCCGTATACAGCAGGTTTGATAGTGTCTCGCCAACTTTTTCATTACTGATGATGATATTCGGTCTGGTCCGGCTGTCACAAATGATTAAAAAGCCAATTTATGTCTGCACAAGACGAGCCGTGACCTCAAGACCCTCTGACTTAACTACGGCACCCCTAGTGCGCATGGGGCTATCGGTTTCTTGACCTTAGTAGTAGGTGTGAACTAATTACCATTTCTTTCCTTCTTCCATTCGTTAATAAAGGTGCAGCGTTTTTACTTTTGCCTTGATTAAGTGTTGTGACTAAAAAATTAACGGCCCACTATTCATGACTGCACTTCCGTTCGCGAACAGTATGGCTTCTAATGAATTCCCCTTTATTTCCATTCCATTTTAATCAGGGAAACAGCTCGCTACTTTCTGGTGCTCAAATCTCGGTCTCGGTTTGAAGTACTCACAACTCTCGAAGTGTCAAATGTTTTAAAGTTGGCAGGGACATACTGCTAAACATTCCGGAAATTTCGCGAATGTTGGCCAAACTATCAAAACATTTGCATCTTATTAAGAATTTCCAGTTTCCTTCCTTGATTATATACTGAGAAAATGCAGCACAGAAACTTCAGTTGAATAATTTGTTGGAAATCTCTGTTATTATTTTCTATATATTTAAGAGTTTTAAAGAACTGCTACGTTTGCAAAATAGTACATAAATAGTTAAGTTAAAAAAGATTTACACATAAAAGATATTACCCCAGGGACGGATTTGTACAGGGTGTCCCAATTTCGATGTCCCAATATGAAAAACTTTGTTATCCACAAGAACATTGGGAAACTGTTTTCAAGGGATTCTTAATGCACTAAGCATTCACCCCTAACTTAAAGTGTAGTATGCGCAGCCGCTCCTCAACAACATAATCCTCCACTACTGTATAGGAATGCACATATTGTAACAGGTGGTCGCTTTAGGCTTTGAAGATTTTTTGTTAAATTTACAAATTGTGGTATAGGAAATTTTATACGTGTACCGCTTCATAACGAGAGTGAACAAAACTAATATGCGAAAAAATGAAGCGCGTTAGGATAAGAAAGAGTGTTCAACAAGAGTCGAAACACCACAGTGTTCCGGTTCTAAAAACCGTTGTAACGGAGCATGAGCGACTGTGTGCTATGAAAAACAGCAGGAACTGTGTGCGCATTGGATCCGTTTCGGTTTTTAATTCGACGAGTACATAAGTATTGCGAGAAACCTGAAGCGCAGTGTGTTCCTCGAGGGGGTACCATCTTCCCGCAATACTGTCACAAATTGTCTGCAATCGCTTGCAATCCCTCTGATTGCTGTCCCACAATCGCGTTTGCAATCTCACAATCGCCTAAAACAATCCCGCAATCAGATTCGCAATCCCGCAATCGTTGCAACAATCTGACAATCACATTGGCAATCGTACACGCCCCTTGTTTTTAGGTACAATCACACGCCTCGCGGTGTTAGGCAAAAAAGTTATTAGACCTAACCTTATTTTTTTAAATGGAACGTCCTGTATTATTTAATAATCTAAAAATATAGCATAGTAACTTTTAAAAAATATAATACACTAAGGATGATATTCAAAAAAGGCTCAAAAAAGATTTAAAAAATATCAAATGATTTGGATAAACACAACAAAATTTCAAAAAATTGTTTGGGTTTTCCGGTTTTTTTAATTCTTTTGAATCTATTTAAATCAATATGGAATTTTTGTAGTGTTATATTTTGGAAAAGAGTTTTTAATATGATAGTTTTTGATTCAAAATTTCAATTTAAAAGGTACGTAGGAAAATGAAAAATTGTCAATCTCAGAATGAACCTATATTTATTAAAGGAGATATGGAAAGATGTTTCTTACAAGTTTCTTTATAAAGACTGTTGAATAATCTGTCGTTTTAAAATAAGTGTACGGGATCAGGTAAAAAATGTATAGGACCTAACCTCATTTTTTTTTAGTTGAACGCTCTGTAGGTATATTTTATTCGAAAAAGAACATATTAAATTCGCTTTCCAAAAATGTAAAACTAAGAAATTTAAAAAGTGCAATATTAGATTTTTCAAAAAATTAAAAATTTCGGTGTGCTTTTAATTCTTTTTTGAATCATTTTGAACCATTTGTATTTTCCCTATTTATTGCGATTGCGTATATAGTAAAAAAAAGAAAATTTTAATATGCAATTTTTTCTATTTAAAAAATGAGGTGAAGTCCAGGAACTTTTTTATTGACATCGTATATGTGCTTATTTTGAAAACGGCAGACTACTCTGCAAGTAATTTTTTAATAAACATTTTTTCGTGTCTCTTTTGATTCTGATATTGACAATTTTTGATTTTCCCTTGTATCTCTTTAGCGAGCGAATATTTTCAAGTTTTTTTAAATATTTTTTAAGATTGGTCCCAAATGTCGCTTATATTAGAAGCTTTTTTCATAGCAGTAAAAATTACGAAATTCTTGCTTTATATCATTTTTGAATAGTTTGTCTTTCGCTATGTGTGATTTGAGTGGGCCACCTCTCTATTAGATTTATCGTACTGTATAGAACTTGTTCCATTGAAACTCTTCTTTTTAGCACATTTCCACAAAAATAAAAAATGCACTATTGTGGCCACTTTGTCCGTCTCGAGGTCCGTCTGTATGTCCGTTCCTAGTTCTTCAACTTTTTTCGCTATTTGGTTCGCTATTCTGTCAAGGTTTGCATCAAGGAAGGAATTTTTTTCTGTGCTGCTTACGAAAAAAGTTATGGTAAAAAAAACAATTTTTTCATATATGCAATGTACCATAATTTAACACTCATGCCGTTTATTAACGATCCTCGGAATTGTATTGTAATGATGTCTGTCTGTCTGCCCGTCTGTCAGTGTATCCGTCTGTCTGTCTGTCCGCCCGTGTGCACGATAGCTTTTGTATTTGCGTAATCCAATTTTTTATGTGTTAAATACTTGAAATTTTGTATGTAGACTTTAAATGTAGGTGTAGACCTCAAAAGTAAAACTAGTGCCGAATCAAAAAATATGTTGGGCCCATGCGCAATCGAATTTTTTTTATGTGTTACGTTATTTAAATGAAATTTTTTATGTAGACACCTCGAATACAGATAAAACTAATGCCTAATGAAATAATTTGTTTTGCGCATGCCCAGGCCCTATTGGTATGATTGGAAAGCATTTTTTCAGAGCTTTCCAACGCCGTACCTATCACACATGGTTGGTCACTATTTAAGATTTAAAAGTTGGGGTGGCTGGGGCGCAGGGGGTTGGAGGGGGTGCGTCGCCAACTATGTCTTTGTGATTCCCCCTCCGAATTACCGAAACGGATTTTGATTTTTTTAAATATCTCGTTTATTCACTAAGACATGGGGAGTGGTAAGTTTTCAAATTGCCACCCTGTATAAGCACACCATAATGATTAAACAAGTATAAATTGTGCACAACTCCTGTGCAGATAAAGCGCATTTTTTTAACCCACATAACTTATATAATATCACCAATGGATATATTTTTTGCAGACGTCTCAATCGTCCTTTGTGAGTACCCTCTTACGACAATCCGTTCTTGAGGTATAAGAGAATATACCCGACCACGATAAGAGGTCGAGGAGGGCTATGGTTGGTAGAAATTAATTCCTTTCGTTGAGACCTTTCATTAGAGTACCATGAAGGATAAAACTAGTTCAACTAACCCTTTTTAATTCTTAAAAAATGCTCTAAAAAATTGATTCATAAATAACGGAGACAATCCACTATAGATTAGAGATGTACTCCACACCATGGAGTTCAAATTCCCTGTATTCATTCTGTTAGATGTGCAAGTGACAATTTACAAGAATTTTAGATAATTCAGCCTCATGTGCATTGAAGGCGTTACCATTAACTTTATTACAGAAGGGTCCTTGTTTTCCCAAAGAGTATTTGCATCTGGCAGAGTTTTAATTTAATGACCTATTTAGTTATTCGCTGTAGAAATGTTTGAGGTGCAAATAGAATTAAATATTCCCCAATTTTCTATAAAAATGTGCTATACCTTGACACAGACTTCAATGATTAATTACACAAGTAAAAATAAAGTCCTCGCCTTAGCGATTGGCAAGGGTGTATTTTTCATATGAACCTTAGATTCGCGCGTACATATTTGACGTCCTTCACTTTCCTTATATCCACTTCCTGCACTTTGTTCTCTAAAATGCATCATATCTCCGTTGCCAAGACATTCAGTTTTCTTTTTGTGAGTACTTCCAACCTCGAGATATTCGCATTTGAAGCATGACTCCCATCGCAATCAGGATTGGAAAAAATCATTATTTTTACAAAAAACAATCTTTTTTTTGTTGAAAACATAAAACGT